AAAAACAACTGAAACTAACTGGCAAATTGAAAACGCAAGCGCGTCGTAGGAGGTTCCGTGCATTTTGGAGGTTTGTCGGTTCCACTTTTTTCACTAGCGATTTGAATCATCTTGCAGTAAGTGTTAAGTACCCAGGACTTGTCGAGCTGATCCAGGACATCCGTTAAGGAGTGAGACCTGAAGGACTTGTAAACATACAGAACTTTCTAGTTTCTAAGAAAAATCAGTTCAAAGTAGGATAGAAAAAAGAAAAGTATGAAAAAATCTCAAGACCGGTCGGCCGCTAATCTTGGAAAACAAAAACTTGTAACGGTTTTCCGCTTTTTGCTTCATTCAGTTTGCATTTATGGCGCTTTCATCGACCAGCTTTTTTCCACCGTGAAAACTTTCAATTCATATATAATTTGAAAGTTTTGCTTGCGATTATGAATATAAAATATAAAAGTTCAGACTTGTGCGATGGCTACCGGCCCCGCCCACTTCCTAAGGCCGACCCGGCAAACACGGCGAATCCACGAGAAGCTTCTCTAAAAATGGAGCGCCAAAACTTGAACTTTCAGATGTCCGTAAATAATATTTTTTTCATTCATACTGAAGCAATGACTCCTAAACTTAGTTCTAAACACGGTTTTCCCAGAAAAAAAATTTTCTGGTACGAGAAAAAAATCCTATCTTTTTGACCATTTTTTGATTAGATTTTTTTCGATTTTTCAGTCGGCTTCCCGCTACATAAAGTTTTTTCGGATAGAAATTTGTTTTTGTAAGTGCGAGATTTTCAACAGTGTTCAGATGTCACAAAAAATTTTGAAGGTTGAAATAGAGTATTAGTTCTAGAAGGAATTATTTCTCTTCATTTTAGATGTGATTTTTTGAGTACATTATTATTGTAGAATTTTATTCGGCGATTCCATAATAAATAACAGCCAGAAAATTAATTTTATTTATAACAAAAATTCTATCTCGCTTTTTGCGCGTCGCTTATCATGCATCCCGTGCACTACGTAAAACACTTTCTATTTTCCGCCGTTGCGTTGCGTGTTTCGTTGATTTGGTGCCGTCGTGAAAGGGCACCACAACTCTTTTTCGCAGCTAGATAAAGACAAAATAGTGTGTGTCAGAGAAAGAGTTGTGGCGCCCTTTTGACGCTTCATGTCCCTAGGGAGTGTAAAACTTTTGAAAATAGCCTTAGAGCGCGCTTGCTACTTCTTCTCGCGATATTCATATTTTTCCACCCGTTTTGTATTTGGTAATTTTTTTCGAGGTTTCTCGTTTTTCTGTTTCAGTAAATTTTTATGTTCTTTAAGACCCATCAATTCGGGAACTAGGTTATAGTCTGTTCAGATTTTGAATGTCAAGCAGCTAACTCCACCCCCAAGGCTAAAATATCTTTCGCGTCAATGTTTTATCTACATATGCCAATGGCCCTTTAATAAGGCTGCTTTTTTGACCTCTTTTTCTATCTTTTAGATCGAAAAAGATCAAAAATAGTCCCGCGCGATGAAATATCGACGCGAAAAGGTACCGTCTCAGCAGGGGCGGAGTTAGCTGGTTGACATTCAAAATCTGAACAGACTATATAGGACGCGTGTTTTGGGAGTGGTTCCGTCTGTTTGAACATGTTAGTTCAGAAGTTATTGGCGTGTTCATCGGAGAAACGGAACGTGCTTCAAAACGAAAAATCGTGTTCATCGGCGTGCCAAAGTTGCTCCAAAACGGTACTAATTTTTGTTTTGGAGCAATTTACTTGCGTTTCGAAGCAATTTTCGTTTTGCCCGAATTTTCGTTTTGCCCGACATCGCGATGAACACGCCATAAGACTTCGAAATTATTGAAAAAAATTTGACTTTCAAAAATTTTTTTGTTTTTTTATTTTTCGTGAATAAAAAGTTTCTTAAATTTTGACTTGAAAAAAATAATCTAATGTTTGATATGTTTTTGGCTGATTCTTATCCTTTATAATTGCTTTGAGCAGCAATGAAGACATTTTAGAGTATATTTCAATGCATGCATTGATGAAAATTTGAATTCTTTAGTATTTTCCGTTTTGATATTGAAGATAAATAAGCAAATATTCACTCTTTCTCTTTTTTTTTGGCTTTAGAAAAAGGTTTTCTGTCTATTTGGAAATCATAAAAATATCGGCAGTATGTTAATTTTCGTCGGCGGTGAATGTACAAGAAACATATTTGACGACTTTTTTTGTGGGCGGGACGTAGCTTTAAAACGCCGTGCCTAATTGAGCCCTCAAACAAAAAAAAAACCGTTCTGAAGAGCTCTAATTTTCTTCAAGAGCGAAATATTGTTTTTACTTGTTAAATCATAGTTTTTATTGTGAAAAAATGAGCAAAAACATCACTTTTTTAAAATTGAGGTCTCCTTAAGGCCGAGCTTGGAAAAGGGCCGGAGGCCAATTGACGGGCCGGCCCTCGCACAAGCCTGAAAAATCTGATCCGGTTTAGAAAACTAGACCACGCAAGTTCACCTCATGGAAAAAATTTCGAATTTCAAACTGTTCTTCTCGAATTTCGGTAACAAAAAGCATATGTTTCTGTGGAATCACTTAAGAGTGCTGACGCTACTAGAGTGGTCACTAGAAATACCCCGACACAACCGATTCGCGTTCGTTTTGCGTTACCAATGCATTGCGCAATATCCGAGTTTTTTTTTTGAGGCGTTTGAGATAAATCATGAAGAAACTGGCCCCCGATTTACTCTTCAACTGACTGAATGCTAATACCGACCATCTACCAATGTTCCGAGCTATGATAATGAGCGTCTCATTCTTCTTCTCCAGGCTTTCTTCCGTCGATCGCTTGACGAGTGGGAACAGTGAGTGTTTTTTCGCCTCTTTGTTGATTAAAGTTATTGAAACAGATTATCTGGACGAGAACCTTTGGTCAATAGCGGAATGCAGTCGTTGAGATTGTTCATGGCGGATTCGCGGACGCAAGAGTCTTCGTCGGCGAGAAGCTGCACGAAACATGGCAGGATGCTCACCACAACGTCGTGAGGACTTCTAGAACAGTTTCCATGTTTTCAGTTTATACTGCCTTTATAGGCATAGTCTTTTTGGGAGAGACCTTTTTGACCACTAAGAGTCTGAAAAGGCTGCCAAACATGTTACCAAAAAGGCGTCAAAATATCTTATGAGCAGCAACTTTGCTTCTTTTTTTTCAAATTTGGCGTGCTCATTTTCTTGATATTTTATTGTAGAGCTGGCTCTCAGACGTCTAAATACCGGCTATATTTGGAATTTCGAAGACAAGTTGTGATTTGGGAGCTGGAAAATAAAATGGAAAGTATCTTTTGATAGCCATTAAAGAAGGAATCTTTTGAAGAACTTCCTTTGTTTGCCTTTTTGAAAGCGTACAATCAACTATACTTTAACGAATCGGCAATCACAAAAAGGCGCTGAGCGATAGCGCTACGGACGTTGGAATTGGCGTCTTTGCAGAGCATTTGTACACAGGGCGTCAAGTCTTTTCGAACGCTGGAAAAAAGTTTTTCATCCTTTTTTTTCATTATTTTCTTACTCTTGCGGCGGCAGAATGTTGGCGAGTTTGTTCAAAAGTTTGGTGGCAATAATGCGTCTTTGGACTCGCTGTACAGGGTCTGCTTGTTGTTGGGCCACTGGAACAATCTGCAACATCGAGATTGATTCAATACAAGAGTATTGCAGATTTTAACTCACGAATTTTTTGACAGAAGCCAGCGACAGCAAGTCTGCTACTTCGACGATTGTTTCCAACCACGCTGCCGCATTCACTGTAAAATTTCTTATTTATTTTCTTCTTCTACATGTCATACATTTCAAAACAAAAATTAAAGGAAATTATCAGCACGCAAACGTACGGTGGTAAGGAGAGGCGTTGCAGATTTTCATCACAACTTTGCCCTTTTCCGACGGTTCTGCGATGCATGCCATTACTTTATAAAAGTGTTAATATTGGAATTTTAGGGGCGACGGGCAACAATTTTCTGTAAATTCACCGAAAAAACAACTCGCCTCGAAAGCCTTGTATTAATAGTTTATGCTCTTTTGAGCTCCCTTTGAGAAGGGGTTTTGACAAATTATATGATTATTAATACACAAGGTTTAGATCAAAGTGGAAAACATGTTACTTGAAATGTGGCATCGAAATATACTTAATCGAGTTTGTTAGGAAATGGAAAGAAACTCACGATTTTCTTTTTGATGTTGAATGTTTTGCAAAATACTGTCCAAAAGAACATCGACGATCCCTCTGTAAAATGGAAATGTTTGATCAAGCCTGTTCCTCGAAAAATCTCTTACGGTAACTTTGCTGTTAGCACTTCATTCTGAATGACCGTTTTGTACACGACAGCTGCTTCACAATGTAAATCCAAGTTCGACTTTTCAGAGTTTAGGGTTTTCTAGAGAAAAATATATTGGCAAAAACACATTTTGAAACTAAAAAACTCGCTTGAATGACTGGAAGAAGCTTCTTCAAGCAAACGTCGCCCTCTGTGTCCAGCAAATCGGCAAAAGATCGTATTGCAGTCAGTTTTTGGACTTCTTTTCCATTCCTTAAAAATTCAAATTCATTAATCCATAAAAAAATTTTATAAGTGTTCAAGACAAGGGTATCTTTTTAACGCTTCTTCCATGTTATCCCTCAAATCTCTTTTCACCCGATTTTTATAAATCCGCGAGACACACAAGCTCCAGTTGTTGATAGCTTGCACTTGAACGAGTGTTGTAATTTTGATTATTGATCCAGCTGCATTTATGCGAATCACTATACTTCCACCAATTTAAAACTTGCCAGATATACTCAGGTTTAGCTCTCGAGTCATCTATATTCCAACCGGGAAAAAACTATCCGTACAGCTAAGAAAAACATGTGAACACATTAAGTGGAAAAATGAAAGACTCTACCTGGGGCTTTGGCGGCTTGTAATTTTAGGGTAAGATCTCTCGGAATCCAGAGAAATCATCTGCTAAACCACATAGGCTGCTGAGAAAAAGATCCTAGAAAAATTCTAGGAAGAGTCCTCCACGCTCCTGGAGCTTCCTTTCTCACCGAGGTGGTCTGGGGCAGTGGGTGAGTCTCATGGTTGATTTTTTTTTTTTGAGTAGACTCGAATCTTGTTCAGTGTAAACCATTTTGCATTTTTCTTGAATAAAGAAAGTTTTTTTTAAATCAATGAAATTTGTGGAGAAGCTTTTCTTTTGGCTCATGAGGTTTTCAAAGACGTCAATTGAAGGAAAAAAAAGTCAGTCAGCTTTTTTTAGATGTACTGGAATTTTTTTTTCTTTGGAGCTGAAAAACTACTTTGATAAATGTTCCAAATGGGACAGGATCCGAACCTACTCAAAAAAGTTAATCATGACGGGACCTTGAGCCACTGTGCCAGGCCACTTCGGTGAGAGGGAAAGGTCCAAACGCTTTCAGGACTTTTCCTGGATTTCTTCAAGAAGCTTTTTCTCAGAAGCCAATGTGGTTTATCAGATAATTTCACTTGATTTCGTGAGACTTTACCTAGGTCTACCGCCAAAGTTTCAACTCGAAACTAGCCTTCGATTTCGAGTAGTTCCGTAGTAAAAAAAAATAGTTATTTTGTTTCCTACAGAGTCACACGCTGAAGTTTGACGCACTCCAAGTTGTGTATAGCGGTGTCGATAGGTCCGCGTAGGAGCTCCGCCATATCTGGATCTTCCGCCATACGGAAGAGCTTTTCGAAGTCGAGTTTGGCAACCATCACAGGCTCCTCCTCGGCTTCCTCGTCGTCCTGTAATCTCTGAATTAAGCCTCCAACATGACAAGTCATCCTGACCATTGTCGAAACTTGCGGACCTTTCATTTCTGCTTCACTTTGGTTCTCTACCATGTTCGAATTTGAGAGACAGGATCCAACTCGAATTTGATTTCTCTCAAAGTCTTGAAAATTATATACTATCTCAAAAAGAACATTAAGGATTCCATTCAAAAAACAAAAAAGGTGAATATCCGTACGAAAACGTCGTTGAGATCAATTTCAGAATTTAGGCGACATACGATTCGAAATCTTTTCAAGAGATTGGCAAATAGTGAGATTTTCACTCACTCGACTCGACGGGGATAAAATCGGTTGTGGTTTGGTCTTGATTCCAGAATAGTTTTCCAACTATGATGTAGAAACATTTTTTTTTTCAGAAGCTACAAAGACATATTCATACTTACTAAAACAGACAACTGATTTGAACGTTAATTTTGTAAGATGATGCTATTTCGAGTAATTACGAAAGGAGGCGAGATACGGGAACATTTGGAGGCAAGGAAAGGGCAGACAAGGTAAGGGTTAAAGTTGATAGTTCGCGTGTGCGTGATGGAATGTCGGCACAGAATCGTTTCGTGGCGCAGCTGCTGGGGCTGTTGGCTCGAGTCGCGGGGGTGTAAAAATCGCCGAGAGGGGCTCTGCTCGCGGGATCAATTGTGATAAAAACAGACGCAGGGAAGAAAAACTAAGACGATTGTAAACGCAGTTTTTGCTGAAATCTAACTATGGCTTTGTAGAGAAACTCGGGTGACAAAGCTAGTTTCAACTTTTGAATCGCTCAAATTAAAGAAATGAACCTAGAACTCAAACAAAATTGGTTTTGATTGTCCTAATTTCTTTATGTTCATTTCAGATTATAAACGATTTTCGATAGACTTTCATTCATAAAACAAGAACACTTTTCCACGTTTTCCCACTCATGTTCAAAACATCGCTAGGGGCATGATGCGAACGATCATATTGCGCCGTCTGTTTTTTTTTTCTGTTTCTGAGCTGTACAATTGATACTTGTTTTTTCTTTGATTATAATTTGTTGAGAACCTATCTCTTCAGGTAACAAAATAAGTCACGCCTCAAAAAAAAAAACGAAAATTTCCCTTTTATAACCCAAAAACCTTTTTAAACTACCGTATTACGACCGGCCGCCTTGAAAAGGCGAGAGGCCGGTGACCGGTCAATATTGCGCCGTTTGATTCGAAGCCAGGAAATTTTCAATTTTAGTTTTCTTTTTTTCGCAGCTTCATTTTTTTCATTACCAAATAACGTTTCTAAACGGAATGTTTCAATTTTTTTCTTTTTTTAATAAGTTTCCATAATTGTTTTGAGGTGTAATCTTGTTCTCCGTTGTGAGATGAAAATTTCAACCTACTGAGCAATTTTACAGAATTTAAAAGTCAAGAAAAGTTTACAGAAGAGCACACTAAATCCACACTAAGAATCATTTACTTGTCATAAGCCACGCCCACTAGCCCCCCCTCCCTTTTTGAAACGCCGTGAACTGATTACTTTATCAAGATTGTGTCCTGGTCAGTGAGGAATAAGAGACAAAGAAGCTCGAGGGCGCGTAGTAAAGGGGTACGGCGCCTCCCAATTGCAGGCCATTTCTCTATTCTCCACTGGATCTCGTACTAACGCTCGGAGAATGTTCTGTAGGACACCCACAGCGTTTTTGAATTTCCACTCTTCAAAAGCTCACCGCGTCCTTTACGCTTTTTTTCGGGTACGTTTTCCATGTATTGAATCCTTTACGATTTCCATCATATTTTTTTACTACCACTCTGCCTACTTTTAAAATCGGTTTGTCGTTTCGTAGTTACAGTTTTTAACATCCAGTGTGTTCTAAAAAAAAAAAATCAAAAACCCTATAGAGCACACCAACTCAAACCTACAAGGACCCGTCCACCCGCAATACGGTATTTTTAAAAAGGTTTTTCGGTTATAAAATGGAAATTTTCGTATTTTTTTGAGAAGTGACTTATTTTGTTTCCTCAAGAGATAAGTTCCACTGCGTCGTCTCCGCTTGCCATACTAGACCATTTTTTTGACCATTTTTTTCTATTTAGTAAAAAGGAACACGGGTTTTTTTCGACATAAATGTTCTGGAAAAACACAATATTTTACTTACTAAAGACGGATTTCTTAAATTAAGCCATCTTTCAAAAACTTGCTGGTGTTTGCAGAAGTTTAATTCTTGAAAATAATTTTGCATCTTCGAATGTCCTGGTCATGTTTTTATGCAAATTTTTCTTTCAAAATGAATGGTATCGCCAAGAAAACGCGATCGGTGTATGCACAATTTAAACCTAGGGTATGATAACCCGGACAGGCTCAACAGGTGTGAGAGACCACTTGAAATTAAAAAAATTGAAAATCTCTATAGGAACCACTTAAATTTTTCCACTTTAGGTAGCGCTATTTTGTCCCCTAAAAGGTTTCTTCTAAATTCTCTAGGACCCACTCTGGCGTTCCAAAGATTTTCTTCACATGCGCACTTTCTTGCATGATTGTTTTGTTTTGTTTGTTTGTCGAAAAGAATATAATTCAAATTTTTTTCGGTTTGGTTGCGTGTTGTGGTGTTTCCCAAAGTGTTTTTCATATCATTGCTTTCAGTATATTTTAAAGTTTCGGCAAAATGGCTTTTTTTTGGATAAGCCTGAAGTATCGAAATAGCACTTCTCTGAAAAACCACTGCGTTTTGATTTTTTTTTTTTTGATGTTTTGAACTGTGTGGAACGTTTTTTTATCTGTTAATTTCAACAAAGGTCAATCGAGGTAATCATACAGTCAATCAATAAATAGTGTACGCGGTGAGATAGCAACCGGTGTTCTATTCGGCAGCATACTTCTAAAGCTTCATTGGGAGAGTGTCAGAGTGCGCACCAATAGTTTTGAAATATCCGAAAGTTACACTCTGTAGGATATATTGATTGACCATTAGTAAACGCCGCTGGAATTTGAGAGTGTACTTTTAAAGCTTATTTTGTGGATACGCAGATTGACTAGAGATTGGTCACTTCTTTTTGCTAAATCTTCTGTGATTGTAGTCCGGAACGATGGCACTTTCAACGCCGGTACCACCAGCTTCACTTCTGGAGGAAATGGTCGTTCCGAGCCGGCAGCTCTTCGGCCCAGGGCCTTCCAATATGGCTGACACTATTGCAGATGCACAGCATAGAAACCTTCTTGGTCACCTTCATCCGGAATTCATCAAGGTATTTATCAGATGGAAATCATCATACTGATCTTTTCTCCATTCTTATAATCGTCTTTTCAACACGACCAGTTTGAAGTTATCGAAATTTCAATAGTTTTTTTTTCTGCTCTTGTTTCAAATATTCTCTAACAATAGGAGTCACTTCCAGTTGATTTTTAGAAGATCGCTACCAACTTGCTCAGAAACTTTCTAAAGATGAGAATCATACTCCCAAACTAAATTCATATCTGAGATTTTTGAACTAACTTATGATTATAGAACGTCCTAAAGTGAAATAATCTTGCTTATAAATCAAACTGGTTGACGTGTTAATACAAGGAAATTCTAGACACAGACGCTGTGGATGAAGTATATTTGTGATTGAAAAATAATCATCGGATATATCTATTATTATCATCTTTTCATAATTAGATGAACATTAACAATGCCGCTCATTTCAGATTATGGCAGATACAAGGCTTGGGCTTCAATATGTCTTCAAAACGAAAAACAGTTATACTTTTGCAGTAAGCGGAACAGGTTTTTCGGTGTTAATGATGATCAGAATAAAAATGTGACCACTTTTAGGACATTCGGGTATGGAATGTGCATTGGTCAATCTCTTGGAGCGCGGTGATCGCTTTTTGGTTGTTGAAATTGGTCTTTGGGGTAAACGGGCTGCCGATCTAGCTATTAGGTTTTTTGTACTTCATATTCCATGTTTCAACTTTTGAAAAAGGTATGATAGTTTTGTGAAAAACGATCCAAAAAGCGACTAAAAAAAGATAAAGTATTAAATAGAAAAATTTTTTTAATAATTTTAGAATGGGAATCGACGTGAACATTGTTGCTGCACCGCATGGCGAGGTTGTCGAGCTACCAGCTATCAAAAAAAGTTTGGATGAAACAATAAAAAAACTTTAAAAAAATCTTAAATATTTCTCTTTTTTTGCTCAACAGGAAGTTTTAAGAATTTTATTATAAAAATACTTCAAAAAAAGGTTTTTGGTTTTCTAACTTTTTCTATATTCTGTTGTGCGTTAATTGAGCTGAAAAAGTCAATAGGGACTCGAAAAAAAAAAAAAAACCCGCTTAAACGTTTTTTTTTCTGTTAAAAAACACTAATTTGAGGCGATCGAAGAGTATAAGCCGCAAGTGGTTTTCGTATGCCATGGAGAAAGCTCTACTGGCGTTGTTCAACCACTCGATGGCATCGGAGAAATTTGTCACCAGACCGGAGCCCTTCTTCTCGTCGATACTGCAAGTTTTTCTAAATCTTTGTTTCTTAACAAAAACTGTTTTATTTGATAGCTCTCGCTCGGGTAATTTGCGGGAACAAGATTTTTTAGATCTGTGCTCTTTTTTTTTATTCAGAGAGCAATTTTAACAAAGTTGATACTTTAAAGCGATTAAAACATGTTGGCCATATTGAAGGTGGCTTCTCTAGGAGGTGCGAGATTTGACGCGGATGCGTTGGGTGTTGATTGCGTGTATTCCGCAACTCAAAAGGTTTCTTACTGATCGAATTGGAATATGCTTTTTATTTTAATTCAGGTTCTGAATGCTCCTCCCGGATTGGCGCCGATTTCATTCAGTGATCGCGCTATGTAAGGTTTTTTTTTTGAATTTAAGCCGCGTTCAAGTTTTCGAGCGAGAAAAAAAAAATAGAAACTCGCAATTTAGCGGCCGCAACGCGCGTGCTTCGCTGCTGTTTTCTCCTCATGAAAATTAACCACGAGCTGAGCTTTAACGGGCTCTCAGCGGGTGTCGCCGTATTAAACCCGAAGGAGCACAACTGGTAGAACATTGAGCATTTTGACCACATCTGAGGCACCATTTGAGCCCAGTTGGGTCCGTTGAGACATCTAGTCAGCAACAGAGAATGATCAAAAAAAAGCACGCGAGGTCGAAAAAAGCGTTTAAAAATTTTCTGTTCGGAATTCACTTTGAACGAAATTTAGAGAGAAAATTCGGAATCGTAAAACTCGTGTAGCCTCTTTCTACTTTGACGCACTCGAGCTTGGAAATTACTGGGGATGTGATGCCGAAATCAAACGGTTGGTTTTTATTTAATTGTGCAAAATAACTTGATCATTATCTGATGAGATGAAAATTCAAACAGAAAAAAACATCATTATCGAGGTGAAATAACTTCAATAATACCCAAAAGTAATATAACTGAATACTCAACAGATACCATCACACGGCTCCCATTTCAACGGTCTACGCGTTGAGAACCGCTCTAGCTATAGTTGCAAAAGAAGGAATCGATGCGTCTATCGATCGCCATTACCAGAATGCACAATTAATCTACAAATTGTTGGAAGCGAATTCATTGGAACCCTTCGTCGAGAAAGAGGTTTTTATATTTATTTTTCGCGCTTTTTTGATAGTTACTTTACGAACATTTTTTGAATTCGAACGAATCTATCTTCTAAGCAATATCCGTATTAATCATTTTCTTGTTAAGGAATGGCGACTACCCTGTCTTACAACGGTCAAAGTGCCAGCTGGCGTTGACTGGAAAGAAGTGGCGGACGATTTGATGGCCGAAGGCGTTGAGGTGAGCCTTTTCACGTTTCTTCTCAATTCGGTACTACGACAGGATCGAGTTTTCTTTCCCGGACAAAACTATATTAAAATCCGCACTCTGAGTTGTGCAATTTGTGTGTTTGCACTCGTGTCGCGTACGTAGTGGTTCATCTTCGTTTTTTTTCCAATTCCTTCTCTGTTTTTTTTTTATAAATTTGAATTGACGGTTTTTGTAACGTATTGCAACAAAAGTGGCATGCTGGAAAAATTCGGTCGGTTCGGTCGCTCTTTTTTTCTGAATTAGCCATTTTTTTAATTTCGTTGTTTTTCTAAAAATGTTTATGTTTGCGTATAATTCTGGATTTATGGTTAAGTTTCAAGTTTCGAAAAAAACCAAATATTGGAAAAAAATAGCATTTTTTTCATGTTTTTTTTTCAATAATATCTATTTCAACCTTTCAACTTGATCTAAAAATTAAAAATATGTTAAGTGCGAATTAGTTTTCTTCAAGATTTTGAGCGACCGAACCGACATACTTTTTCCACCATCCCACAAAAGTGCAAACAAACATGATGAAAAACTCAAAATGCGGACTCACATTAGTTTTCGGATATGAATTTTTGCCATTACATCATCGATTCATTCTATTTTATTTTCAATCGTTAGTTACAAAAAGGTCAATCGAGGTAATCAAACAGTCAATAAATAAATAGTGTACGCTATTAGATAGTTATCGGCGAACTATCCGGCATTCACTTTTAAGTTTTAGCCCTTGCATTCCCAGTAAGCACCGGGACACTATCCGAGTGCACACATTTTGTATTGAAATACCAGTAATTTGAACTCCGTGTACTATTGATAATTACCATATCTTGATTTAATTGGTGCTACGACAAGAGCGAGTTTTCCATTTGCGAGCAGTACTGTATGCGGCAAAGCGCATTGCGTGCATGCACTCTGCGTGTTTACACTTTTTGTGGCGTGACGTCATCGCGCCGTACATCTGCAGGTTTTTCGGATTTTTTGAATTTTTCCGGCTTATTTATTTTTTTCGAAACAAAAAAAGAAAAACTTTTTTTATTGATGAAAACTCTGTTTGTCAAGGGGGCAGCTTAGGAATATGTTTCTTTATAGATAGCTATTAGGTCAACTCCACAAATATAGAAAAAAAAAGAAGTAAGCTAATATTGATATTTCAAAGAGGAAAATATCAAACAATTGCATCATAACAAATACCAGTAATTGAAATAAGTTATATCAAAAAATAAGAAAATAAGAAAATAACAATTTTTACAGAACCATCATATCAAAAAAAAGTCATTTTCCCAGAAAATCTTCAAGATTTTTCAAATGTACATTGAGAGATTTCAAGGGACTTCACATCTGTTCAGCCCGTCCGGTTTGGCACACTGTACGTTTAATCTGTGCATACACCAATTTTTGGGCGATATATTCGTTATTAACGCGCTTTTTGTACGAAAAAATAAACAAATTTGAAGAAAAACACACATAAAACATTCAAAGATACAAATTTAGTTTTAATAATCAAGTTTTTGCGAACGCTGGCAAGCCTTGAAAAATGGCCTAATTTGGGAAATGCGTCTTTAGTAAGTGAGAAGTCTTTTTTTCTGTAATTTGTTATCTATTAATGTCAGAAATTGCCTTCTTAATTGTATTCAATACAAAAAATGATCAAAAATGGTCTAGTATGGCCAGCGAAGACGGCGCAGTGCAAACCGGACGGGTCCCTGTAGGTCTGAACTGGTGTGACTTGTCAGAAATTTTACGAAAATTGGTTTCTTGTATAGTCGATGTGCCACGACTTGAAATTTCATGGAACGACACTCCGTTGGGTGGCCGTGGCCGTGAAAGCGCCTTGCCTTTGCGAATTTCGGTCGCGCTTTCCATTTTTTTGTTTTATTCGAAATTTTCATTATTTTAATTATGTTTTAATAGTTTTCTTCGCGCCAAAATCATAATTATCTTTTCTAGAGGATAGACTGTTTCATTGATAAAAAAATAAAGTAGAGTAATTTTTCGAATTTTAAGCGAAAAAAATGCGTTTATAATATTTGAAAGTTTTTTTCATGAGATGGTCTTTGGTTTTTGTTCAATATATTCCGTTATTTTTACCTTCATTGAGCCTTTATCGACATTTCTTTTTTTCATTCCAAATCATGTAAAAAAATATCCCAATCAGAAATAAAATACACAGTGAATGATTTTTTTAAAAAAATTGAATGTTTCTACATTGACGAATTTTTTTATTTAAAAAAACAGATACATAAGTTCAAAGGAAAAAAATTATTAGTTTTTCTGGACATTTCGTTCAGCACATCGTTTCCACTATTCCATGTGCCCACTGTTTACGCCCCATTCCTGACGCATAGTTCAGCAATACGATTTATCTAAAGCTCCATTTAAAAAAAAAAAGGAACGAAAACCTTTCTTCAAATTATGGTGCATGAGCTCATGGAAGTACACATCTTCATTTTATAAGGCGCTCACTTTCTGAAAAAAACAATTAACGGCTGCAAACAGAGGTGAAAAACATTAAAACATGGCTTTAAAAACACAGAAACTATTGTAGAATATTGTGGCGTTTCACCCGCAAATCCTTTTTGGTAAGTCTCTGAAAAACTTTTTTTGAGAAACGAGAAAAAAACAATATCAAAGCGATTGAAGAATACATGAAGTTTTTTTTCAAACTTTTTTTAAATCGCTCTTTTCGAGAAATGATCATGAAATTTACTGTGTTCTTTCTTTTTACATTTGTACAACGCAATCCTTTTTCAACGATAATATTACATTTTAAAAGAAATAAAACAATAAAAAACGATCGAAATTAGAATGAAAAACCAAAAAAATTAGCGTGGCCGAAGTTGGCAAATTCGCGAGATGCGCGCTACCGCACAAAATCGAAACAGCGGAGTGTCGTTCCATGAAATTTCAACTTGTGGCACATCGACTATACAATGCCGAGTGCATGCACGCAATGCGCTTTGCCGCATACAGTACTGCTCGCAAATGGAAAACTCGCTCTTGTCGTAGCACCATTTAATTTGAGAGTGAACTTTTTTAGATTATTTTGTAGATACGTCGACCAGTGTAAGTGAAAAAGAGAAGTTTTAAGATTTTATTTTCTCCAGATTGCTGGAGGACTTGGCCCTACAGTCGGCAAAATTTGGCGTATTGGTACCTTTGGCCTCAATTCGGATAAGACCAAGATCGAACAGGTTATTTCACTGCTTGCCCGAGCAGTCAAGAAACGTTGTAACCTTTGATAACTTTTGAAAAGCGTCTGTCCAACCAACTGTGTTATTATTGATGTTTATCGGTCTGCGTTGAAAAAAAAACTATCACTATAAATTTTTTTATTTAATTATCCCGTGGGTTCGGTTCAGAAAATCGCGGTGAATTTTCGTTCAACGATGTTAGCCAGTTCGCGGTCCACTTCCCGACGAGGTCCCCATAGATCGGGGTTCGGGTCGAAAATAGATGCGAATGGTTTCTTGTACTGTTTTGTCAACCAGACCTGTCAATCTATTTAGATTAAATGATCTCTTAAGAGAAGACCTTTTGATGAAACATGAAGACGAAAGGAAGCAAGATAGAAAACATAATGATAGATTGCTCTTCTCCAAATAATTCGGAAGAATCGTCACTATCGAAATGCATTGAAATTATGTACTGAAATTTTTTGCTTGTTGGAAAGTGCAAAATAGCCGGAAGATTTTCTTTTTTGTTTACGTGTCGAGATAAATTTGGAAAGAAGAACGGTTTTTTAAAAAAAGGATTGAAATTGATTGACATTAAAATTCATTTACTTTTCTTCCTCCAAAGCTTTTCTTACCACTAGCATGCATGGCGCCACAATCGCAAAATAGATCATTTGAACAGACCCAATTAGCCGTACCGTCAGACCCTGCTCATTACTCTGAAATTCAGGAACTCTATGTAGTTGGTCGAGCAATCTTACGATTGTGTCGAGCGTCATGCACAAAATGTTGGCCAGAAAACGACGTGAACCATAAATGTAGCAAACTGAGATGAGTTGCACGAGAATTAGCATTGTGCAGACGGAAGGCAGTGTCAAGTTTTCCAGGAGAACCATTTTTTTCATCCCGAGCTGAACCGAAAAGCTTTTTAAACCTTCAAAGAAAAAATTAAGAAACTTGAAAGGAAAAATTTGCAAATTGAAAAGAAATTATAACTTTTATATGCCCTGTTCATAGTGGTTCGCTAGGTTTTCAGCGCTGAACCTCACTAGAAAAGTGTTCAATTTTATGTCACAGACTTAGATATATAAAGATATATCACAGAATTTTATATCACATATCCAAGTTTTTTTGATTGGTGTATGCGCAATTCAAGCCCACGAATATTCGCGGACTCTGAATTACTTCCTGCCATCTTTTATGACGTTTCATGAAGCGACGAAAAATCAAAGAATCATCTTGCTTATTTAAATACTCTACAGCAGATGAACTTCAAAATTTTCCGCGACGCCATCGCTGTTTTCCTGATTCTTATCAACCTTACCGGCGTTTTCCAAAAGAGCCCCAGGATCAAGCAGACGTACAAAATGAGCATTTTGATGATTATAGCATGGTAACGCGACTCGCAGGCCGATGGAACGTCGTTCAGCTTCTCCAAAATCATTGACGTCAACATCTCCAGACGCACCACCTTCAATAAAAATGAACAGAACATGAATACGAATAGATCACAAACAGTATTGATTATAACAAGAGAAACGATGGAAAAAGTGAAGAAGAAGATCGCCACTGATTGCTCGTTTTTGTGATCGAAAGTGAGCACAAAGTTCGAAGAAAGGTAAGTCGGCGCCGCACTTCGAAACAATGGCTCATCGCGCATCCGTGCTTCTGAACACAGAACACAATCTGATAAGAAAAAAACCGCTGACAAACATTTTTTCGAATCGTTGATATCCAAAATCTTTTTACAAAAGGAAAAAAATATTGTATGTTATTTTCTCGATCAAAAAAACATACGAACGACATTTAAAAATTTGTGATGAATATTTTTTTCAGTGAATTCAACTTTCGTTCTAACTGTAACGTTTTTTTATATTAAATATTGCAGAACAAGAAAAAAACATTTCTCGCAAGAGATCTTATTTTCGAGTTAAGAGGCTTTAAAAATGTTTTTTTGTCATAATTTGCGTATTTTGCAGAACTTAAAGCTTTATAACTTGAAAACGAGTTCTATTGCGAGAAGTTTTATTCTTATTTGGCAATTAGGGGCTCTGTACACTTCAGCGAAGTTCCAAAGTTCAACCGGGGGTAAAAACTTCACCTATTAAGAACAGAAGAGTTGTAAATGAGCTATTTTGTAGTTCTTTTCAATGATGAAAATCAAATTCCTGAGGCAAACATCTATTTTTAGACTTTATCAACTTTTTCGTGTTGAATTATAAGGGTTACTTAATGAAAGAAAGGTTTTCGTATCGCCTCCGGCCATTTCCTGAAGAAACGCGTCGAAGCGGATCAGGTGAAGAAAAGCTCCTAACAGACTCATCAAAACCGTCGCCATCACTAGAATCATACTGTCTCTAAATAACTTCAATTGATCGAAAAATAGGGGAAGTTCACTCACATCAGAACGCCATTCCTAAACTTGTTATGTGAGCCGAGAAAGATCAATCCGCCTTGACCCAACTTCAATGAAGAGATTACCTTTGAAAAAATGGGTCAAATTCCGAATTTAAATAAAAAGAAACCAAGCTCAAAACTGGAAATAAGGGAATCGTATTCAAATCCTGCCAATGCTTCAACACAGTGCTGGCGTTTCCAAACCACAACAGTAGCTCGACACACATCACCGTGAGTCGCAAAATAATCACAGTTTTTATCAACTGTAAAACTCATGTAATTGTTTTGTCTTTTAATATTGGTTTTCGAAAATGAAAGGAACTGATTTGTTTTCATAGAAACGTTGAGCACCTGATTCCGTTCACATGAGGTAATTTATTGTGCAATCTCACCAGGGGCACGTAACGGCGCGGTACCCACACGATGACCAGAACACCAAAAAGAACAAAACAAAGATGGGCGTAAAAAATCGGCGTCGGTAGAGTTGTTTGCACCATTTGAGTGATATTCTCCATTCCTTCATACCTGAAAGTCGTACTTACAAAATTTGAATGGACCTCCATGAACCAGACTCAAAGTTCGGCTAAAGAATATTTCTCTTCGGAGGAGAATAAGAAAAAAAAACTAAGGACTTAATGACTCGCGACTTCCCTGCAGGGTCCCGCAAATTCCTGAATTTGTTTCAGACCACGAGAGAAATTCTCGATTTAGGAAAACGCTAATTGTTTCATTTCATTTCATCTGAAACTCGGATAACCGATTGATTACCACTTTTATTGGAAAGTCTCAACTCATTGAACTTATTGCTTTTTTGAACTTCATAACTTTATAAATTTGGATCTTTCGGCATGAGAAAGCAAAACGAACATGAGCTGCATGGGGCTGAGGCGCGCCAGCCACTGAAGGAAGCTGACCGACTTGTCGCTCACATCGAGAGGCTTCATAGCAAGCCGCATCTCTGGAGTCAGCGCTGCTAACACACAAATGTCGCCGATCTGACTGCAAAGGAACAAAACTGGCGCTATTCGACAAGAGCAAGTTTTCCATATCCGCATTTTTTCTAATATCTTTTCTATTAGTTTTTTTTCTAACTTACAAAGAAGGTCATTTTACATTGCGAAAACGAACGCTCCTGAAAATTGGTCAGAATACATTTCTTCTTCTTCTTCTTCTTCTTAAGCCTTTGTACCGCTTAAGCCGCTTCGACGTCCCAAGTCGAATGACCGAGGTCTTATCCTGATATCAGTGTGTGTGTGTGGACTGGTTCGAGTGACATATCCGTCCTCGTGTGACATCTGAGGATTATGAAGCCGTGGTTTCCCCCCTCCAACACTTCTTGAACCCCTTGGTTGGGTCGAGGCGCGGATCGAACTTGTGACCCTATGGACCGTAGATATCCTATAGGCACATCACCTGTTGTGCTACGGCGCGCCCCAGTATTTTCTCAAAAGAAACGGTCAGATAACTTTTTGATGTATCAAAAATAGATTCTGAAAGTCTCAAGATCTGCACAACTTTCTAGTTTTCGAGAATTAAGAGCTCAAACCTCTAAAACAGCCTGATTTTGAGGGCTTTCTTTGACTCTGAGGTGTCCTTTTAAAAATAGAAAGTTAAGCAGTTTGAGACTTCTAGGATCTTCTGTTGGTACATCAATGAGCGTTCTGGTCGATTTATAGCTATTCTCAACTAACAACTAATATTCTCAACAAGTGAAATGACCTTCGTTGTTAGAATGAACATTCGGTGCATTTCAATTGCTTCCAGTCGTTAAAATCCATTTTGAAAACTTCAAAATCAAAATGAAAAAATAAATCGCGGAAAAGAAAATTCGCTATTTCCGTAGCACCAAGCAGGTATCTTTCAAATTCTATGAGAAAATGTTTGAACGCACGTTGGCTTGTAAATCGAAAGTTGCCTCATTTCTGCACATGGGTGGACCATCGGTGTGCAGCCTGAAATCTTGAATTGAGGCGAGTCACAAAAACCCGTGACGCAACCATGACGATTGAACCAATTGGCGCAGGTCGACCATCGTGGAGTCAACTCCATCGTCGCTGGGTACGTCGAAATGAGCATTGTCACGGAATATATGCTCGTCGTTATGAATCCGATGTTGAGCAAGAGTTGCGAGACAGCAATACCTGATATAGCAGACGTTGAAAATGCGCAGAGGTGGTCCAAAAAAAAAAACGTCATTTTTTCCAGATTACAAAGCCTCAAATTTCAGAAAAATATCCCTCGAAATAACTCTTGTACACACCAGTTATTGATTTTTTCGCATGGAAATGTTTCTTCTTTTAAATAATTTACAAGCGTGTTCCCTAGAGAGGTTACTAACTGAAACTTCTAGGCCACTTTTGTAAGCCTCACTCTATGCAAGGCGTTTATTGCCATCAGCTCGATGAGAAGAAGCGTTTTCATGCGCAAAATTAGACAAATTTGCGTTCTTTGGACTAACGAAAAATTTGAAAGGCCCCCGTAGGGACCATTTAAGGGCCCTAAATTTTTATAGGGATCACCTAAATTTGACCCCTATAGGGAGCACTTTTTGCCCGCTTAGGTGCTTTAGTCCCCTAACCGCGATAGGTATCACATTCACATTCTTAAGTAGGGTCTAAACCCTTTCTGCCAACCTGAAATAGCAGGGACCATCTGAGAGAATAATCGGGCTGGCCCGAGCGAAGTGAACTGCCCAAGCCAAAATTCGAACGACATCAACGGGATACCAACTAAGATCATTGCGACGACGTAATAGAGAGCGAAAATGTCTGAAACAAAAAATCAAATTCGCAGTTTTGGAAATGCGTAACATCCGTGTGTCTCGATTTGTACATATAGTTTCATGGAGATATCGTAGCTGTATACAAACGTGAACATCACAAACAGAGCGCTCAACTTGTCGTCCCACAAATTTTGCATTGATATCAACCTCGAAAGTTTTCCAATTTTAACCTAAAATTTAATAAAGTCTTTTTCAAAAAATGAGTTTTTTTTTTGGAATGTTTATTTTTTAAGTACTCTCACCCGATATTACAGACTAATTCGCAGCCAGAATAACGCTATACCGCGCGCAATATCGCTTGCTTCTCGCCGAGCTATTTAGCTCTCTGGAAAATTTTTCTTCTAATTTTATTCATTTCATCATAAAAGTCAGAACAAAAATAAAAGTTTTTTTAAATTTTCAATCCCATGACAGAAAGAGATAGGGCAGCGAGAAGTTTTGGCTATACCGCCCGCGGCCCGCTGCGATATAGTCACTTACTTATGTGGGGTGCTTTGAGGCTAGAAAATATTTTGTTTCTATATTCAAATGTTTGACAAACCTTGAAAAAAAAATATTAAAAACTAACCATACAGTCGTAGTCAAAGTCTTCTTTGCGAACTATAACTTCTATGTCCTCAGATCGTAATGAATCATCGAAAGAACCCAAAGAATCAATATCATACGGGGTCGATTTCGTTTGAGCTCTGAGGGGCTGTGGGTCTGAATATGCTTGTTTCAGACTTAGTCCTCGAATTGGGGGAAAAAGAATAAAGGATATATAGTTGATAGACCGATAGCCAATCCACTCCTCTTCTTCGACCCATTATGTTTCTTCGTCGCTGCAGATGCCTTTCTTCTTCTGACATCCTTTTTCGGAGATGTCAAAATTTTTTGCGTGGTGCTTGACTGAAAAATAATTCTTCATGTAATTTTTTAGAGAAAAAGCTCACAACAACCTACGAACGCCATTTAGTCTGTTCAGATTATGAATTTCAAGAACAAACCCCGCCCCCAGAAACGCTCTGTGGATGGGTCGCTCTCTGATTGGTTTATCGCTCGCGTCACTAGAGGCACTAGGCTTTCATTTGAAATTTTTTTCATAATTTTGCTTAAAAATTTTCAAAAACGGCTTTAAAAAGTAAACACGAGATTTAAGTATCTTGAAATCACGGCATTATTTGACGACGCTATAGTCTGTTCAGATTTTGAATGTCAAGTCGTTGCTCAAGCTCCGCCCATAATGGTGCGATAGACCAATCAGAGAGCGAGTCATCCAAAGAGCGTTTTCGAATGACGTCATTCTACTTGACACTCAAAATGTGAACAGACTATACGCCCCCAAGTTTCGTAATATTCAACGTTTTTGGTGCAGGCACAGAACGACGCCAACTCGCATACTCTTTAAAAATCAAAAAAATTGTTGTTCAAATTTGAAAAAAATTGCTCCGAAAAATTAGTACTTTTTTTAGAAGCAAATCGAGGCGCCGATGAACACTCAAAAAAACCAGTGGGAAATCACTATATAAAAATATTTTGAATATATTCATATTTTAGGTTCAATTTTAGTCTCATTAGTTTGCTGAGAATTCTATTTAAAGAGCAGTGGAACTACATACTGTTTTCCTCATCTGTGAACGGCATGCAGTGATTGGAAATGAATAGTCACTGAAAAGTATAATAGAATAAACAAGAAAACAGACGTTTGTCAGAAATGGCGACGTGCTGATAATGGTGCCGTATAAAAGACGTTTCAAATGTTGCTGTACTTCAGTTCTCCATTTTCTCCATTTACCCAACTCACCACTCTACTAACATGCAAACGTACGTTGTTTCCACCGTTCTCCGAGATTTGTTTTTGGTTGCAGTAACTTCTCCTCGCCGCCCGAGATCGTGCTTCCTCGCGAAAGCGCGCCCGACACCCGCCGCAAGCTGATCCTCCGCAATCCTACGGACCGAGACCTCGTCGTCAAGCTCATCGTTCCTCCTTCGATCGTTGCCGAGCGACTCGCCTACCGCATCCGGCCACGCACCTTCATCGCCATTGAGTACAAAGTCAACAGTCCTCGCGCTGGAGTTTTCGAGGTAACAATTGAACGTCTCATGAAATGGAAACATAATCAACTTGTTGCATCATACTTCTTTTTTTCTGCTTTTTTTCGGAAAAGCCTACGATTTTTTTAAATTTCCCAATATCGAATTTTCTAAAGCTGTGAATTTTTGTACTCGGCGATGTTTTCAAGGTCATAATGTTTTGAAATTTAGGCCATCGGACATTCCCTTCGTGGCTACGTCGTTCCTTCTTACAAGCGAAACTTGGAGTGAGTGAAGATTACTAGTATAATCAAATACTTCGAATCTTTCAGAAAATGGCTCTCTGAAAATAAGAGCCACAAGAAGAGCGAGGAGGCTTTCAACATCCCGATTCGCTTCAGAAATGAGTTCTCCGCCCCACAGGTTGATAAAAATAAGACTATAGTTCAATTTTCTTTTTCTTTTTTCCAGACTGTGATCGACCTTCCTGGCCGTGCAGCCCTTGTGGAATCGATTCCCACTCCGATGGCGGCCATCGATGAGGATGACGTCAAGACCGCTTGCGCCGTCGATTTTGGTAGAATGACCCCATGGATTGATATCGTCGATTTTTTCAGATGTGGAAAGCGCCCATCAGTTTGGCTCCATGACGAATGTTGCCGTTAACCTCCGCAATCAGCCCAAATCGTAAGATTTTTCTATCCACAAGTGATTTTTAATCACGTACTTCAGATGTTGGTTGACGACGGCGCTGAGCAACGCGATCTGGAGCGAGCCCAAGCCGGTGGAAATCAACGTCACAGACAAGAAGAAGAAGAACGTTTCGGCCAATTCGTGTGGAGCTACGTCCAAGAAAGCGCGCCGCTCCAACACCGACCTCAATGTGACTCCCTGCGGTGGGATTGCCGCTTATTGACGGCTGAAGATTTGAATAAATGGTGCACCATTCAATGTCTTTAAACATCTGAAACTCGCTTTCAAGGATCTTTTATTAGTAGCCGATAAAGGGGAATAATAGAAAAATTAAAGGGGAACAGCTCAGCTGGCATAACTCATTTCTAACGTCCGCAAGGTCGTAGGTTCGAGTCCCCCCGAGGTCGACCAAGCCTTTCATCCCTCCGGGGTAGATAAAATTGGGAGCTGCATGCAGCGAAAAGGCTCAATCTCTGCCATCGGCCTTTGGAAAGCCGGCACCGTACTTCTTCCTACGACCTCTCTTGTACCTGATGTTCTACGAGCGAAATTCACAACTTCTGCCTAAGCCTAGGGACCGCAAAGCCACGCCCCTTTTCGCGATAGAAAAAGTGGCTTTTTTTTGGTTTTCAACTTTCATTTTGTTGTAGTTGCAAAATATGTGGAACTGGATAATAAATTTTGACACACATGTACAGAAAAGCTTCCTCTTTCGTTTAAAAAATATTTCACGCTTTTTTGATGCGTTCGCGCGGAATGTCGTACAAAAACGTGAATGGAACTCAAAAATTTTGTCATTTTTTGCTTTTTCATGTGTTTTCAGGTCGAACGCACTCTTTCTTTTTTTAAATAATGATTTTTGATTCAAGTAACGGTAATTTTAAAACAATAAAATAAAAAAATTCGTCTTTGCCAAAAAAATTTTTAGGGAGTGCCGAAAGTCATAATTCAAAAATATCGTTAATAAGCGAATATAATCGAGTTGTTGTTTTTTTAAAGTTTAGATCATGGGCTTACTTAAATATTTCTCTACAGCATCTGTGCTTGAAAAAAAGTTGTGTGATACACAAAAAAATGCTCTTGAAACTAGAGGATAAAATTAGCGGCGTTTATCACACACAAAGCGGTCGAACGCAGGTTTTTTAAACGATTATATACATTTATTAGTAAGAAATCTTTCAATTAAAATAATAAAATAAAAAATTCGTCTTTGCCAAAAATTTACGGGGCCGTTTTAATGCAGCGATCGTTAAACGAGGCAAAAAGCACTAAAAAAACAGTTTTTTCGAAGTGAATTTCCACGGAAAGTTTGAGTGAAGATTTGCGATCATATTCTGATAAAAAAATAGCTTAATTACTTCAAGTTTTTTTTTGATATAGGCAATCTGTGCTATTCAAACGGCTCAAGGATATGGCGGATGGAAACTCTCCTCGCTAGACCTAACAGCTTGGCGCAGCGCGTGCGCTTCGAATTTTCTTTTTGAGGTCGCGAGTTCGATGCCCGCAAGCGCCAGTTTTTTGTTTTCTGGAAAATACCGACTTTTTCGGCAAACTAGCAAATTTTCATCATTTTAGCACTCTATTATGATTTGTTACATCATAATAGACCAGTATCAAAAACTTGTTCTAGAAGAAAAAAATCGAGAAAAAAATGTCAAAAAAATGGATAATACCAAAAATTTCAGTACTAAAAAAATGGTGCGCGGCGCGCCACATTTTTCGTCATAACTTTTTCATCCTTAATCTTTTTCGAAAAAAACTAAACGGTTCTGAGTTTTTGAATCGAAACAGCTATCAAACCATACAAAGCTCAATGCTGAAAAAAATTTTTTGAAAATTCGTCTGCGGTCCCTACCTAAGCCACAGCTCCTGCCGCCGTTTAAAAACACACTTAAATCAATGAAAGTCGATTGCACATGTACTCTTACATTGAAGATGCAATAAACAGTTTTTTTTAAAGAGGAATTTTGCTGCAGTGAAAATCTGCAATATGTAAAAAATACCTTCGTATAATGGGCAACAACGATTTTTAGCGTCCTAGTCTCTCAAGGCTCTAACTTGCCGTATGTATCCAAATTAGCATAGCAAGAAGGAAGACGCGACTTCCGATCCGTTTGATTAGCAGCTCCGACACTATTTGCTGTAGATGTTAATGCGCCTGCCTAATGCTACAGTACTCTGCAGATCAACTCGTATTAAGTTGAATGCTTTTTTTAGGGTTTTCTAATAGGAACTAGCTGTAGCGTCAGTTTACGGCTTTTAAAATCTTTCAAAATGTTTCTATATCGCTAAGTCGTTTCGATTTGCGATTGGGGAGAGCCGGTTAAAAACCAAAAGTGTTGGTAAAAGAAAATGAAAAAGCCTTAGAGATTAATAGGTAAGAGGCAAAGTTAGAATTTATGCTTTTCAAAATACATTCATCGTCATGTCTGTGCTCGTAGGTGGTGGAAAGAGCGAAGAAATCGAAGACTTATCAATCAGTCTAGCCAATGGGAATCGTCAATCCCATCCTCAGTAAGTCATTTTAGTAATCAGAGTCTGAGTGCTGAATTTACTCCTCCTAGGAGTTTCATTAAGCTTTTTCCCAGTAAGAAGTTGGTAAAATATGGCCTTTGTGACAAATCTGGCCAAGGCCAGTGGCAAACGATTTGAGGAGCTCTCGAAGCTGCCGTTTGCCCTCTCGAGTGACCGTGCCTTGTGTTGGAGTGTTGTTCCGCTAACACGACATCCTCCGTATCTTTGCTCGTATCCTTCAAGTGCACTTGCAAGGCAAACAGTCGCTGTTTAGCGGCTAGATGATAGAAATCCTCACTTGGATTATTTGTAGCTTTTCTGTTAGGTTTTTTTCTATTTAGTGACTGAAGAGAGATACCTTTACCTTAAGAAAGAACACGTTTGTAAAATAAGGAAAAATAATAAGAAAACAAACGCCCTAATTTTATGTGACAAATATGATAGCTAAATAAAAGATTTCTTTAAAGCGAATAATTCCTTCAAAATATATGAATATTGTTTAAGTTTCGTCTTAGTTTAATTCTTATTTGATGTCAAACATTTTTATTTCTGCCTATTTTTATCATAATCTTTTCAAGAAACCACAGGGGTGGTTGAATTACGGAACGGATTTTTCTGAGCGTTACTTTTTTTGGTTGGGAATGGAATCCTAATTCATTTTTTTTTTTTTATTTGTGTAACAGAGTGTCTATTGAAAATTTTCCGAAAAAGATTTTGTTTTCGTGGAATAGTGACTCTCAAACCAAGCAGTACTTGAACTATTTCGTTCCAGGAAAAAGGATAATTTCGTTGATAGCAGGTCCAAAGTTCACTTCATTAAAATTGATTTTGAGAAGTTTCGAACTCGCAAATAAAATTTTTAATCAAAATTTTTGCCACACCGACTTTATGAAACTGTTTTTATGGATAATTTCGAAAGGCAAAAACGTTATGGCCTCAAATAAAATTGAATACGGCGCTTAGCATTGATAATTTTTTGAAGATTGCTTGTAATCCGAAAAAAGTATTGTTGATACAAACAATTAGTCACTGAAATCAACGGATTCTTCACGATTAATTTATTTCGAGTAGATTTAAAGTAGCTGTTTTAACGAAGGCGATCCTTCTAGCTGCTTCTGATTAATTTCTGAAATTCTCGAGTTTTTCTGTTTGAAATTTCAAAAATTTCGAGCAAAAATTGGAAATGTGATATTTCTAGAAGCGCTTTGAAACAGGTCGTAAAAAACGCGGCAATAAAAAATTCCTCAAAATTTTTGTCGTTAAGAACATCGAAAGCGGAAACCGTGTGAGTATTGTCGCAATCGTAGCAATTCTCAGAGTTTAAATTCATATTCTTTCTAGATAAAAAAATTGATAAGGCAATTCCATTCTTCCTCCGAATAATTTTATATGCTACAGTAGTTTTCAAAATGGAATATAATACTTTGTGCTAAATATTTTATTTAAAATTGCAAAATACAGACTATAATCGGTTTCAGAGTTCTTCAATCAACTTGGACACGAAATAGAAACTTTAAATATTTTGCAATCAAATTATCATTTGGGGTATCTGGCAAAACGCCATAAAAAACCGTGGAAAGATTTTCCAGCTCATTTTTTTACTCGGAGTTGCTCATCAGAACATTTCTTGAAATTCGCGCCAAAAAAGTAACTCTGTACAAAAATCGCTTTCAAGAATGCGCTCCACAGGAAAAATGGCGGTAAATTTATTAATTCTTTTTTTCTATTTGTTTCAATTGTCTTAAACATTACTTTCGAATTTTTTTCGATAATTTTTTTCCAACCTAATTATGATTTATTACTGGTGATGTTTGGCTTATTTTTGATTTAAAAATTTACAATTTAACTTTTTTTAAATTTTTTTATAAAAAGTATATTTTTTTAATTATTTATTCTTTTAAAAAAATTCTTGAAAAAAACTTGAAAAAAATGTATTCACACGGAATTCTTTCCAATCACTAAATGATTATGGATTTTCGAACCTATTGCAAAAAAATAGAGTCTCATCTGACTAGAGGACGTTTTTTTCAGCCCTCAAAAAAAAATATTTTTGAAATAGATCTGGTTTTCGAGCTAAGGCGCTTCAAGAGCTTGAAACAGCGTTTGTTTTTTTGTCATAATTTAAAGCTTAATAAATCGAAAAATTACCTGCAAGGAATTTTTCTTTCTTGTTCTTGAATTAGGAGGTTCTTCATAAAAGTTTTATCAAAAGTTCACTCGGTGGCTAAATAAAATTATTAGTTAGGCGATTATTTCGCTAAATTCGTACTTCGTTTAAAATTTTGAGAGTTTTGCTGATGCAACTTCAATTTCGATTTCTGCTTGGCAACGCTTTTCACCTGCTCTAAGCTCCTGAGCTTTCTCTGGCTCCCCGATTTTTCTGATTTTCGTATTTGTGGCTTAAAGTCGGCGGTACTTCTTGAAGCATGCTATCGTAAACTGTTCGTCGAGAGTTCTCGATGTGGGCGTGACCTTACAATATGCTCCGCCCATATCCTCAAAAGGTATACGAGGCGACCTCACAAAAACTCGGCCTCCACCCTGTCTTCTCAACGTTCACTGTCAACTTTCCAGTCTCGTCCCTAACTTTTCTTCTTTCACTTGATGAATGGCGTCTTACCTGGACATTATTTAGACTTTAGTGCTCTAATACTGTCAGGTAATGACGCTGGTCAAAAAGTGAATTTTTTCTGTGCGAATCTATTTACATTCAGAGTAAAAGCGGCATTGTTATGCGGGTTGCCTCAAAAACATTTTTTTTCTAAAAATTTTGTACATTTATTCTATAGAAACACCTACGCACTCGCTCAAAGAAAATTTCCGAAAAAGATGAATAAGTTAAATATATGAAGAAACTACCGATCTCAACTAATCCGGTCAAGTTTTTTCAAATCATTGATTTAATGGTTGGAAATATGGTAAATTTTTATTAACATAACAAGGTTACCAGTTAGCTCCAACCCTTTGCATAGAACATCTCATATTAAAAAGAAAAAGTCACAGCTCCCAGAGAAAAAAAAAACAGATCTATTTCTAAAAAAAAAAGAAGAGGAAAGTCACTTAAACAGCTCTAAAGTATGAAAACAATGGTCAAAAACGCTAGCGAATGGTTTCAAACATAAGAAAATATTACTTCGGGCGACCACTCTTGTTTGAAGTCCAGCCGTCGTTAAGAATCGGTTTTGGCTGCTCTTTGGTTTTCAGGTCGGTGTGAGATAAGAAAGGCGCCTGTGAGAACAGAGTGTTGCCATTGAGCGAGAGACCCGGCGGAGGAGACAAAATCGCGTTTTCGAGTCCCGGAGGAGGTCCAATCAGCGACAGACCTGGTGGTGCTGTAGGTGAGAAGAGACCTGGCGGAGTCTGAAAATCAAAATTTATACACACTTTTTTAAAAAATTTGACGCAGACGTTTGCATTCCGGAAAAATTCTCAATAGGAAACGTTGAAATTTTGATTGAACTTTGTGTGATTTCGGGGTTGTATAGTCTGTTTTTCGCGTTTTGAAAGGGCGGGGCTTCTCTGTGCCCTCCTCGTCTCTCGACGACCCTCTCTTGTTGACGCGCTACTTTCGCGTTTCTGTGACCTCGGCGGTGAGAAAGCAGAGAGACTCAGACACTCGAAAACTGTCAAGTCGCGTCGGACGGACTACATACGATAATGCCAATAGTTTCACCATAGCTTCAAAAATTCAAAGGGAGAAGGCCAAATGGCTAAATGTGCTCTTAGCCCATGTATATCTCTAGGATGGTTTCCCATAGGCACAGGGACAAAAAAAAAACAAGACTCACCGCCGCAATGAGTGCCTGAAGACCATCTTTTTCTACTGTTCTCTTTTCGACAATTTTATTCTCCACATTCGCACCTTTAGAAAATTCGTTTTTTATTCTGACGTCTTCCTGTTTTTCCTGAAGAAAGATGTATCAGTACTACAAAAGAGAAGAAAAATCCCCAACCTTTTTTTTCTTGTTCTTTTCGGCAGGTTTCGTTTCATCTTTATTGCTCATTCTTTCAATGAGTCCACTAATTTCGGCGAGTGTCTTCGGAGGAGCGTCGATTTCCGTAGGAGCTGGCTCTACTTCATTTTGCTTCACAATAATGTTTTTATCTTTTTTGTTGTTTCCATTTTTTTTCTTCGCTGGTTTATGAATCGGAATCTGTGATTTTCTCAATAGGAAGATGAGGTGAAAAATACGAAACCTCTTTCCAGTCCTCTTCTATTGGTTCCGCAGAAAGCGAATGTGCCGGCTCACGATTCGGCCATATATCGGGTTCTGGTAACGGTCTGGCTTTCTTCCTCTCGCTCGGTTTATAGGACGAAGGCACTGAGCAGCCAGTTATCACTCCCTTCGTTCCGGAGCCCTATGCACACATTTTTTTAATATAACCATTTCACATTGAAGATAAAGGACAACTAGGTTGAGTAAAATCTATACTGCTCCACGTAATGAAAATCGAACTTTCTTTTTTTGAACTTTTCGTTTCCAAAGGATAGAATTTTTAATCAAATGAATATGACTTCCGACGAAGTCCTCATTGAAAAACTCTTTCAAACGAAAAAAAAAACCGAAATTTTAGTTCCTCATAATTATATATCCACCTGATAACTCCAAAATTGTCATTTTTTCAATTTTTTTTGAAACATTAATTTTATTCTCATCTTTTTTATTGAGATTCGGGGAAACAAAAGCAATAAGCTTTTTGAAAAAGTTGAGACAGTTTGAATTTGGACAGAAAACGGTCGTGGTGGTGCTTTGTGTTCCAGCTCCCCAGTCATCAATGTGAATATCAAGTTTTCATATTCGCGTGTAACTCAGAAGTCTTGAAAACATTACGAAAAGATTTTTGAGCGAAAATGAAAAAATGAGACTAAGTAAAAATAACGGCAGTTTTACACAGAAAGTTCTGACAAAACTGCTCTCAAAGAAAGAAAAAACTCAGAGAAATAAGAGTGAAAAATTAATTTTTCGTGATTAATTACTTTTTATATACTTACTGACCGTGAACCAGTTCGTGATTTTCCAAGTTTCACTTAAAAATTTAAAAAGCAATTCTTTACATTGAAATTTGTACGATTCCACTTCTAAAAGACCATACTGTCCCGACTAACCTCCAGTAACAATATTTATTGCAAACGCATTTTCTTTCTGCGCCAAGCATTATATTTTACAAAATAATTTCGCAGCAGTTAACTAAATTTTCGGGCGATAAATTACCTGCTTTTTGATCCAAACAGAGGCGTTTGTCGATTTAGGTGCAGAGACAGGCAAAGAAGGGAAATCGGAAGCGATTGGTAAGCTTCCTTGAGGAGCCGATGGAGCTGACCGATTGGGCAGCTTGCTCACCAACTGAACTGTTGGCTTGTTGGCAGCACCTGCCAGCTGAGAAGACGACGCAGTGTCTTCATAAACCGCTCTTTTAAGCTGTAATATAAATGATTATAAATGAAAATATTTGTTATTGATGGTGAAAATAATGGGGAAGAAAAATTCTGTCCCTTATTTTATGGGATTGATCAACTACCTCTATTCTTTATTTCCAAACGTATGTACTCCCAGAGTGACTTTGAAATGAGACCAGGCATTTTGAAATAAATTTTCAAGTGCATGGCAAATACTCACTAATTGACTGAAGAATTTTAGCTAAGACAACATCTGTGGAATAATTTTAGGGTAGCTCACAAAAGAAGAAGAAAAAATCAATGTAATTAGCTTTTGTAAGACTTTGGCAGTTTTGGAAGTTCAGGCCCGGAATATCCGTGAAATTAAGCAACTATGGTTGTACTAGAAAATTTCTAGAAATAGTAGCCTCTCATTCCGAAGTCTCAGTGTTAGTTCAGATCGTTGCCAAAATGTTTTACTTTGGACTTTGTGATACCATATATGGGAAAAAAAGTTTTGAGATTAGCGGTTTAATGTATATTACTGAACCGGAGGAGGTTGTCGCAACGTCGCTGATAATGCTGGACGAAGCGGTTTCAAACTGGGAAAGTCTTCTACTGGATTTGGCGTTTGCACGGCGGAAGCCCCTCGATTTGTTTTGTTCAACCGTGGGAATTCATTGGAGCGTAATGGCTGTACAGTAACTTTGATAGGTGATGTAAAAAATTTCTTTGTAAACCGGTGGAGCGTTTGAGGCTGGTGCAGGGCCCAGACTCGGAAACTCTTGATCACGTGACGTGTAAGCTGGCCGCCTTGCGTAAGTCAAAGTTTGATTTGAACTTTGAGCTGAGGGAACTATCGTGAAACTTGCGGCGGCACTGAAATTCCAAACTTGATGATGAAAACATAAGGTTAAGTCAAGCTCTGAATACTGATTTAGAGGTGGAACGAGTCTTCTAAAACCTGAAAAAAATTCAAGCTTGTTGAGAAAACCAAGGTAATAACACAAATTGGTTTTTTGAGTGAAAGCTCTTCCAAGCGGCTGGTTTTCAGAGATTAATAAATATTGAAAATTTGGTCTGTAAAAGCGTTCGAAGCAATTAAAAACATCATAGTTGTACTTCATCTATTATTGGTAATGAAAGAGGGTGAACAATAAAAATAGCCTTTTTGGAGCAACTTCCCTTTACTTTTTCCGAACTGAAGTTTTAACTGTCTGTGGAAAACGAATAAACAGAGAAAAGAAACCTTTGTGGATTGGAGGCGCTGTTTGCCGGGTTACGTTCTTCTCTTGCGCTTTGGCTGCGACTAGAAATTGATAATAAAAAGAAAAAACTAAACCGACACTTCTACATTATTACAAATTTCCGAGAAGTCTAACCCTTCTAATTAAATGACGAAGTACGATTATCTTCCTTATAACCAAATAATTGATGAAATTTGAACCACATTCGGAAACCATTTATAAGCAAAAGAGGGGGTTTTTTTTAAAATTAAATTTACTACAACTAACCATTTTCTTTCGAGTTCTCACTTCTTAAGAAAACCGCAACAAAACGATGATTTCATGAAAAAAAAATGTAGCTTCTTACTTGCTTTCATTGCCCACTCGAATACCTGAGCCGAATAGAGTAAGTTTTTGAGCATGTTCTCTTGTCTGAAACACCAAATAATAAATTTAAAAAAAAGCTAGAGACGAAGAGAGACCTTGTGCAAATCGAGGTCCAACTGAGTAGCGAACGCGATCCCCATATCGCGACATTCTTTGACTTCACACGGATAGTGCTTCTCCTTGTAATGGTGAAGCAACTGCGCATGTTTCCTGGATAAAACAGTTCCGATGATCGCCTTTTTTCGGACGATACCCGAAGAAGACGTTTGTCGTGGTGCCGTCTGATTCGCAAAACTGACAAAAGAAATGGTCTTTCCGCAAATGTCTATAACGGCCGTCTTGGTCGAAGAAACGTTGTTCGCAGAATAGGCATTGAGGATGACCTGGTTGGAAATTTTCATAAGAGGTTAAATTAAAGGAAAATAGAAAATTTTTAAAACTGGTGAATTATTTGTATTTTGTGCTCTACTATTAAGTAAGGTCACTTTACTCAGCACTTGGGACTTTCCTAAAAATTAGCCGGAATACGCCTTGATGTCCAAAAAATCCTGAAAGTCACAACCTGCATAACTTCCTAGTTTTTGAGAAAAAACACCTCAAGGTCATATAAAATCCATGAACTTTGTTAAAATGAGCTATGTTGGGGCTTTGAGTCGTTATTTCCCCACAGTTAAAAGGTGTTCTGGCGAAGTTTCAGGAAACTCCCAACCGCAAAGTGAAATGACATTTGTTGTAAAAAACATCAAAATGTCCTCTCAAACTCTCCTTTGTAATAAAACGTCGTAATGAACAGGAAAGAAACCACAAAAAGAGGTTAAAAAATAAATAAAATCATAGTTGAATTTTTCACATGTTGCATGAGTAAAGCTAACCTTTGAAACTTCGATCGTCTTGATCACCAATACGGATGTGCCGCATAAGATTGCTTTCCATATAAGTTCTACGCTCGCTGAAAACTTTCCAGTTGGTTATTATACATGAAAACCATTACCGAGAAAACAAGTTGAGATTTTCCATACAAATATGACAATAAGCAAGACGATGGACGCTCGACATGTGCTGCCGTAATGAAGTGAACGTCGGAAACTCAAGACGTTCCCCGTCATCGCTGAAATATGATAAATGATTCGAAACAATTGAGGTTTTAAAAACTGCTATGCTTCAAATGCTTTTGAGAAATCAAAAAAAAATATCGTTCCGCATCAAGAAGCTGCGTTGAGAATTTCGAGGAAACGCCGCGAATCAGATTGAAACGGCCACTTGAGATTACTTATCAGTCCGCGAGGAAACCATTGGATCTAACTTGCCGCGCGCGTCAAATTACCTATGAACACGGCACCCACGGCGTTTTTTTTATTACGCAAGATCAAGACCTCGTAAATTATGATGCTTAGGGTGTAAGCACACCGAGACGCACTATCTCATACTCAAAATTGTTTTTTTCAATTTTTAGAATTCGCAATTTTAGGATAATAACTCCTGAAATGTTCGAAATCTTGTCAGTTTGAAGAATATTATGTGAAAAAAACATTCACTTACGTTTAAAAAAATTAGGAACGATTTCGGAGGGGGAAAAACTCTAAATTACTGATTACAAAAATTAAAAACAAAAAAATTATTATGAAGGTAAATTAGCTCCCATTGAATAAGCAATTATAAATACGAAAAAAATATTGAAATGAGGGAAATTCGAGGAGCAAATGAAAAAAAGAAACATTTTATATACCTTGAAAACCTAGCTTTAGAAAAAAACAAATAATGGATAGAAAGCAGAAATTTTTAGAAAAAAACCTCGTATGGCGAAATTTTTTTGATCCAAAAACCATCAAAAAAACTAGAAAAAAATATATAATTTAGATGATTAAAAAAACAAAAATCTTCAAACTGCATCAGCAAATTCAATTTGGCTCTAATTTACACGAAACCGGTTTCAAAAATACGTCTAAGGAACTGGGTAATATCTTTTGCTTATAGAAAAAAACGTCAAACAAAAATATTAAAAAAAGTAAAAAAAGCAAAAAAATTATGCTTTTTTTCAATTAACTCTTTCCGTAAATCTTGCGAGAGCTTTAAAAGGGTGGGTCTTGTAATCCAAAAAAACGGGTCCTGAACAGATCAAATCTACTGTAGTCGTACGATATCTGCATTTTCTTTCACTGACAAGAACGCCGTGCACCAAGAGAAAAATAAAACTCGATCCTTCTTTCAGCAACCCGTTGAAAAGTTATTTCATAATTAAATGAAAAATATTATGCCGTATTCAAAGTAATTCCGCGAAATGCAAAACTATTTCTGATTCTCCAAATTTCAGTTTTCTGTTTTTTTTTTTTTGACGGCTGTTTCGGAATTCGTGCTATAACTCAAAACACGGCATTGAACTGGAGAACTAAAAAAACATAAAAAACCACTGTTTGAAATCACAGTGGAACTCCTGACTACGATCTATTAGGTTGGTAATGAGCCATTTATAAGAGTATATTTTTTTAAAAAGGGTTTTTTTTATCAGAAAAAAACATGTTCTTACGCATCGTTCGATTTACAATTTGGCTATATTAACTATGTATTTGTACAAGAAAAAAACTTATTAGAAAAGAACGACCGAAAAAAATTGCTTCTGTGGTCGCATTTTTTTGGTATGATTTTTTTTGAATGATAAATAGTAAGTACAAAAATTTTGGCCCTGTTTTTTTAAAAATATTTATCAATTGTGCTTTTGTTCATTGAACCAATAACATTCAGAGTTCCGACGCTTTCCGGACGGTGACTAGAGCTTTGAAGATTAAAACACGTCAAATCATCGAAAAAAACGTTTCGAATTGACTTTTTTTTTAATCCACGCCAAATAACTTCAAAATCAGCACCACATTTTGACATTGCTCATATTTCTATTGTTGTTCTAGAAAAAAATATAGATAAAAGCGGAAAATAGGGATTTCTAAGCCACCAAAGTAATCAAAACGACTAACCTCACAATCGCCGGAATTCTCACTCACCGCGCCACGAGAAATTTGTTTTACGTTTATATTGATGCCTACAGTGAAATGTTGATCCAACAAAAAAATGTAATAAAAAAATTCTACAGTATTTTAACTCCAGTAGAGTTTCTAAACTGCCTTCAAAGCCACATAACCAAAAAGAAGATCAAATGTCTTTTCGGTGTATCTGTGAAGGTCTAGTGTATTGGTAGGCTCCGGGTTCTTGTCAAATCTCTACCTCGGACCTACATAAAAGATAATTTGAACCAACGGACCAATAAGACAAACGTTAAGATATGCATACGGTGTTTACAAAATAGCCCCCTAAACATGATTTTCTGCTAGTTTCAAAAATCTCTCACCAGAAAATCAGAAATATAACTTCAAAGCTCTCTTTCATCCACTGAACAGTTTAAACTTGGCTCTTTGCAGCTACTATTAGATCTAGACGTTTCATTACCTTTTTGATGAAAAAAAAAACTAAAAAGACCGCGCCTAAGTCAAAATTTGAGTGTCCGAGTGCTGCGAACCGCAGGCGGACAAGTTCTTCAAGCAACGCATCCATTTTTTGCACAGACGTTGTCGACAAGTCATTGATGAAAATGAATCATACCTTTTAAGAGTATCTTCACTCATTCCGTTTTTATGTTGAAACGAATCGCACTTAAAAAAAGGCTCATTGTTTTTTACCAACCTGATAGTTTTTCAAATTTTTTTATTTCTAATGACTGTTGAACCAAGAAGTTATGAGTAATTGAATTTCGTATTCTGTTTATAAACAAAAACGAATGTGATTGGGTACGTCGCTAAAATTTTGAGCGGCTCATCAAACTTGGCTGCAAACTTCGGGCTCAGGTTCGGAAACGGCGCCAAATATTGCACTCACAAGAAAGTTCAATTTACTTTGTGATTGAGAATTTCCTGAAAATTGAAAACAGAACGCTTATTGATGTACCAGGTGAACTTCCTGAAAGTCCCAGCCTGCAAACCTTTTTATTTTTTGACAAAATACAGTTCAAACTCATAGAAAGCCCTCTAAACCTGTTAAAATAGGTTATTTTTGAATCTTCGAGTCGTTATTTATCGAAAAATAAGAATTTGTGCAAGTTGAGACTATCAGAACCTTTTCATGTTACATCAAGGAATGTTCTGACCAGATTCCAAGGAATTCCCAACCGCAGAGTGACCTTCTTTGTCAGTGCTATTTGCCTCAATGAAAGTTCTTATATGAGCTCCAAACAAGTCCTGATATTCAAATATGTTCGCGTTTCAAGTTTAAAGAAGGAAATTAAAAAACAAATTATCCCACAAGCAAACCTTTTGCACAGCTTACAGACATGGGCAAGGTACTTTTCGTATTTTGAACCAGAAATTGGACCATCGAATCGAATTCCGAAGCGATTTTCATGAGGGTGACCCGAGAGAGGGAACTGGAGGTCCACTGTCATAATATCCTTTGTCGTCGTGCAAAAAGAGAGCTGGTAAAAAAACTTCGGTCATTTTTTTGAAAAGTGTTTCTTCTTCTATTTAACGAACAGAATCTGCGTCGGTTCGGCAGACGGGGCACGATTTGCAGCCACCCAACACGCGCATACGAATGGCGCATTCGGCACATACTGGATGCCTACACTGAGCCACCTAAAAAAAATCCTAATTTTTTTACCCGTGAATTCAGCTCGCACAAACCCCGAAAACATCATTTGGCTTACAGCAAATGACGCAATCCTCTGTTTTGTTGCCGCAAGGAATGTCCGAAAAGTTGTCCTAAATCATAGCATTAAAAAAAACTGAGTTTTCCCATACATGAGCCGCATTCAACATGCTTTCGTATTTTTTCATATTGACGGACTTTTGAAGGTTCTCAGCACGTTCTTGCCTGTTTTGTGGGGTTTCTTGGGACATTATCACCAGCTTAAAAATTATTCAACGCGTATTCTCATTCCAATTTGATTCAAAACCTCTTCGACCGTTTTCCTCATGTTGTGAACTGTTCGGCGCATTTCGACCGTTGGGTCGCCGACCTCCGTTTCCGTTTCCCAGATACTTTTTACCCTTTTTCTCGTTCTTCGGCTTAGATGCTGTAACTCCTTGATTTGTAGCTTCGTTTTGATCCGACATCTGGAAATTTTTTTTATCAGTTTTAACAAAGGTAAAAAACGTTGTGCGCTTCAAACAATCTTGTTACCCCGAGAGATCTCTCGGGTTCTTTAGAAATAGGTTCTATCGCGTAGCTGGCTTGAGCCATCAAAAAAAGGGTCCTGACACGATGAAAAAATAGACAAAGCCTGGTTGATGGAGAGGGCAGACAGGCCACGGCCCCTGAGGGTTCTAAACTGACCATAAATAGGCTCTATGGAGATTGCGAAAAAAAAAAGAAAAAATCAAGATTTTGAAAAAAAAAAAAATTCCTGGCTTCGAATTAGAAAAAAACAAAACAATTTCTCCAACATGCTCTCATCACCCCCTCTACAATGTCGCGACAAAAACTTCCTAGATTTGCAGGACGAGGTGATCGACGGCTGCTGCAATGTTTCACACGGTTTTTTTGCAAAGATGCGGAACAACCGCTGGACTGAAACGAGTTAAAATAAGTTCAAAAAAAAACTGCATTCGAGTAAACCGGGTGAAATATTGTGGCACCCGCCGATCAACGTCCGCATCATTAGATGTGTGACTTTCTCACAAAAAGTGAAGAAAAAATAAACTTTTGTGCGAGTAGTAAAGGAATAGACGAGAAATAAATAGAGATAACGATATAGGATAAATTTTGAGAATTTCACGAAAAAGCGACCTAACGGCTACTGACGACACTTGGTGCGCCTTTTGTCAATCACGTTAGGTGAAGAAAATTGTGCAGTTTTTCGTAATCGGAGAGTTTGCAGTTCATATAATCGGAAAGTTTGCACTATAGTGAGCTGGAAGTGCTTCAAATGCTTTAGAGGTTCGTAAATTGACTCAGTGGGGCATACATTCCGCATTGTTTTGATCCCCGCCTGGAAGGACCTCTCTCTCATGCTGGTCAGGCCGCTTTAGCGCTGTCTTAACATGCGTGCGGCAGTATATATACTTTGAAGATAACTGCCCAGTCTGGCGCAAGATAAATGCGAGGTCGGAGGCGGTATACATTGACAAACTCGCAAAAATTGTCCGTCTTCCCGCGGATCACGCTTTTTTTTTGACGGTGAAACCGGCGTGCTGTTCCGCGCCAGATGTGTAGTTTTTTTCTTGCGAAAAAAGCCGTAGACCAAATTTGATCCAATTCGACTAACTTCGATTATCTTTTCTGTCTTTATTTCAGTTTTGTAGAGCAACTGTTTTTACGGTAGCGTTTTTCTCACCTGTTCATTTAAAACGCGACGTCTCGCGCGGAACGCTTAACGTTTTAAATATTTAAGTAAATGTAAATGCGACCGCCTAAAAAAGGTCCCCTTAGGGTTATTAGTTTCCTTTTGCACACTTAACATATCATTTGTTCAAAGTTCAAATACACTGATTATAATGAAACAGTTCAGAATATATTTATTGGAGTAATATTTGAAAGTAACAATTTATTTAATGCGGGCAAGAATTGCTTCTTTAGATAATCGGCGCGGTGGCAATCTTCTTTTTATAGGAATAGCCTCAAGCTCTGGTCGGAATGTTCGGCGAGGTTCTTCAACAGCTCGCTCATTCTGAATTTCGAAAAAAATTTGATCGTAAAAAATATGCGTTACTTTCGCTTCTCTATCTCCACGCTTTGGGAAGGAAGATGAACCATCTGAATTTTCGGTAAATGTGAATTCCACTGGCGTCGAACTTTCTTCTAAATTTTCAACTTACTTGAAAAATATGAGAATTTTAATCAAAAAATCAAGATATGTGATAGACACCATTTCTCATTTGATGTTTTCGTTCGTGTGTCTTTTTATCGCTTCGTCGCATGTACTTTTTTGGGCAGTAGGAACAGTTAAATGGACGTTCCATTGTGTGAACTGATCGGATGTGTGCGGCCAGAGCCTGAGAAAAAAAAAATAGCAGGGCCTTCAAGACACGAAAGACTTTTGGGCATTTGTACCCAGCATGAGTGCAGCCTTCTTCCATGTAAGGACAGTAACGCACAACGTTCTCGTGCACCATCTTCACGTGTCTTCGCAATCCATTGATCCTGCCGAATTTCATGTGACATTGAGGACATTCGTGGCGAAGAACCAGTCTAAATATAGAAATTTATCTTTTTGAAATCTGAAAAAAAACGCACTGATGAACAACATCGACGTGTTCTCGCAAAACAGAAGCTGATGAGTACACCTGGAATGGATGCAAGCTTTATTTGAAACTCATAATCTTTCGCTACTTTATCACAATTCAGGCAGTAATGTACACGAGGGAGTGGTTTCAAACTGTGAGCAAACTTGTAATGCCTATCGTATTTTTCCGAATTCGGGAAGCGCTATGAAACCAGAATTTAATAACCTAGTTTTTTCTGATTACCTTCGAGCAGATTTCGCATTTGATCGCACACTGGGCTTTTCGGAGCTTTCGGCAACCCATGTGATACTTCAAATGAGTAAATGTAAACAGATATTTTAAGTTTATCAAAAAAAAACCTGAATAAAATGTTGCTGGAGGTTGTGCTTGAGGGTGAACATTCTATCACAATCGTCACAAGCATACTCTTTGTGACGAAAACGGCTGAACCTGTAAAAAAATAAAAAAATAAAAAGAAAAAGATAAAAATATTAGAATTTACTTTCGCCTTTCGTTGCTTTCTGTGGTTTTGAAGATTTCTTTCCTATCATTTCTTTGAAAAATGGCTGAAAAAAGCTTTTCGAATATGTTATAAAAATTGTGAAAAAACCATTTTGCGGTGTGTACTCTACACGTTGATCGACTTCACTGACATCAGAATCGTTGAAGATAGTCCTAAGACTCCCACTCTGACTTATATTCTACAAAAAGATATATTCATATACGCAAGGATCTTACCGAGGAAGATGTAGATTTGAGTAGATCCACGGCAGAAAACGTTGGAAAGAAAGTAAACTTACTTTCTGAAAATATATAACAATCATACGCCGATGGAAAACTTACCCAAATGTGTGTAATCTTCAGGAGCAGCTATGGACTGTTGGTCGTATCGCTCTTCGGCGGGCTGTTGATAGTAGTGGTTTTCTTGCATCACCGACATCGTCCGCGGGTTGAAGCAGAATGCGTTTCATCATTCGAATTTAGGTCGTCTACGTGCAAAACACGTGGCAATGCTTTTTGTTAATAAAGTAAACATTTTTTCTTCTTCTTTTGATTTAGATCACAAAATTGGCGCCTTGTTTATGTAAAGTGACGCAAGTTGTGTGCACTGGCTCATTTCGATTTACGCAGCGAGCAGCTGTCAATATATTCACATATACCGGTTTCAATTCACATACAAAGCGTGCTTATAAGGGCAGTTTTTGCCTCAGGTTGAACTTGATAAGAAGTTAGGCTGAATTTTACTGTTTTACTACCTGATTTTATAACAAAAAATATGTTTCTAGCAAAAGATCTTTTTTCCGATTTGTAAAACTTCAAATCTCTAAAATAAAAATTTTTTTTTGTTCTGAAATTAGAAGGGACTGAAACACATTTTCAGCAAATTTTCAACCAGGAGCCTGAAAAATTCCTTATAAGAAAAATGAAGCTTGTTTTTTTTTGATAGCTTTCAAGCACATCTCAGTGATGGATTTTTTATAGGATGTTCTGTTATGCGTTTATTTTGAAATTTGCATATTTTTTTGTCTCCCAAAATGTCTGTTGTACTTTCTTAAAGAAAGTTCCTCATATATATTTTTTTCCGCTTAATCTCAGAGGGAGACAGAGAGAGAGAGAGAGAGAGAGAGAGAGAGAGAGAAAGGAGAAAACTTAAATGTTGCAGTAATGATATCCAGCACAATAAAGGCGATCATCTCATTATTCGTCGCTGCAGAAAATTTCTAAACAATTTCGTATTTCGCAGAATTTAAAATTGGAAAATTGACATTCTTCGTCTGTTTATTGCCATACGATGCAGCAATAAAGTCAACGGATGATTAAAATTACGAGGCATGAGTAGTCCGGGAAAAGATATTGAAGTTAACTTTGCGGACTACTTCGTCATAGCTGGTTATGACCCTGATTCGAACCTCCAGGTTAATTTTTTTTTCTCGATAAGTTCAACGTCTTTTTGTTCAGATAGATTCGAGTTATGACTATGCGCAGGCGCCTGGCGAGGTATCTTCGCCACAAGAGAATCCACCTCCACTTCAAAGAAGCTTCTTAGCGAAAATTCTAAATCACTTTCCTCAAAGAAGGCCAGAAAATCCTTTTCCGAATGAAATATTACCGGTGCGTTTTTTTTTTCCTCATCAACAATTTCTTTCACTCTCAGCTTTGTATGCCGAAAGGGTTGCGATTCTACACGGAGAAAGACGTGCCTCAATGCCCAACAGTCCATACTTTTGCAAATATCAGGGAAGACGGTTCGAGGATAAATGGGACAGCTATCACATTTTATGAGGTTTTTTTAATTGAAAATTGCGCAGGAGTTCCAACGAAATTAATCTAGCTAAGTGCACAAATGAGTTTTTAGAGAAAGATTGTCGCCTAACCTCCAAAAAACTCGTCTTGTGGAAAGTTTAGAATGAAAAACGCTTTTTTTTGCGTCTCAAGCCAGTGATAAATCAATTTCAATGATTTAAACAGTTTAGATTCCCTTGAAAAAGCCTATCATGTGGAGATTGTGCACGAAACTTTACTTCACAATTCAAAAATGTTCAATCTCAGTTTTTTAGCACGTTAAAGATGCGGGAATATGCGACGCGATGTGGCAACTGCACCAAGAACACGTCCGAGAATTGACGCAAGCTCGGGATCCGCGTCACCAAAGGGCTTTCGGCGAAAGGGAACGTGTACCTCTTCCGCCAGGAACTGTTTCAGGTGCAAAAGATCATTTGCAATGGTTATATATACTACGAAGTTTCAGGAGGAACTCACACTTTGCCAAGGTCTCGAAGAGATCGTACCAAACGAATTTCTTACTATGATGGTGGCGGGCACAACAGCCTTTACATGTTAGTTAAAAGTTTGTCCTACTATGGAATTAGCATTGATTTGAAATAGCGGACCGGCTTAGTTTTGAGAGCATTTCTAATTATTGAAGTTCCATCGACTTGAAGAAGTAAAACCATGAACCAAAATATATATCTATTTATTGTCTCACATATACCAGTTGATGTACTTTAGTTAATGTCAAGCTCACTCAAAATTCAGCTAAAAAGTAGAGATAAATCAGCTTTGTCAGCTTTTCGCTATCGTTCGAGTCCGGAAGGAAGTTATTTTTCAATAAAGTTTTGTTTTTTAGCCGTAAATATGCTTTTCAAAAACAGTTGCGACAAGCTGAGGGAATGGGATAAAAAGGATTGCTAAAGTTAGCTTTCGTTCTCTTTTCAGGTGAAAAAAGGATTCAAATGTTTTTTATGAGTTTGACTTTAGTTGAGGAAAAACTTTTCAAGATTCAAACCGATGAGCTCAAACAATACAATTTTTAAAATTAGAAGACTGATTTAACAAATCACGAATATAGAATTTATTGGGCGGTCTCAGAAAAACCTTGTGGTCGGTATACATAATTCTTTGTGATTGGTTTTAAAAAGATTCCATAAACTCGGGATTGTGCAAGGATTTTTTTGCTTGAGGGCTTGAAGCCGGACCGGAGCCGATAGATTGACGGGCCGGCCCTCGCAGAAACCTGCCAATAACTGCTTAATTTAGGACAAAAACACTGTGTTTGCTCACAAAACTGCCTTTGGTACACGCCTCCTCGACTTTCCTCTCGGCTCTGCATTCACTGTTGTCCTCGAAGACGCCTCCCCCCCTTCCTATCGAAAGCTACATTTACTGGTGTTTAAATGAAGTCCCGATGCCGTCTCCTGGCACGACCTTGAAGGTAACAACTGTTTCAGAGCGGTTAACGACGTAAATGAGAAAATAGCTGCGAGAAAAAAAGTAGCGATGAACCGTTCATAAAGGCTGAGATACCACTGAAAATTCCACGAATTCACAATTCTCCTCTAGCGAAAAAAACGTTTTTTTTTTGTCGAAAAAAAGGTTTATCTTTTTTTCTAGATTTTCAATATATATATATATATACAATATAAATTTTAACAAAAAAATCAAACGCCGCTTGGACACTTCGATAGGAAAATCTCAGCCCTTTTTATCTTAAAAATAGTAATTGGGGCAGAAGGGCACCTACATCTTGTGTAAAAGAAAACTGTCCCGATCTATTTCCGGGAGTTTTCATCAAAAAATTCAAAAGTAAAATAGTATGTTTAGGTTCCTCTGTTGGACACCTACTTAATTGTTCAACGGCCGAGTATAAAAGAGCTCCCTTTCTTCGATGACTCTATTGGAAACATGTTCCGGGTTCAATAAATTCCCTTCCAGCCTTGTCATTATTTTTTTTTCAGTTTCTCTCGGTCGAAAAGTTTATTCGCTTGTTTTCGAGCTTTCTTCTAGAGCACCAAATACTGCTTTGTTCAAAAGGTTTGACTAAAAAGTATGCATAATTTTTTTTTTTTCTAGATTTATCTCGTTTAATGACCGTCTGTGAGTCTCTTTTGGCACTTTCTTTTCCTTTTCGATGGCAAATGGTCTACGTTCCAGTGCTGCCGTACTCGCAATTGAAGTTTCTCGAAGCGCCAGTTTGTTTTCGTATTGTTTTTTTTTTTCTGACTGTGAATGAGGTTGAAAAGTTTTCGTCTTTGTATGATAGTACTGGGAAAAACCGAAGGATAAAATAGTGGTGGCTTGTTAAATGGCAAACATTCATTCAAACCCGTACTTGCTTGAAACCACAGCCAACTCGGACCCATCCGAATCATGCAAGTACGAACCCACCAATAATCATGCGGACCTTTTTGGTCATGCGGACCCCTCAGTTTGTAAGTTTTAGTGCATCTTTCCTTCTTCGTTTTTTAAAGTTTTTTTTTCTTCAGAAAAAAATTTTTCCCAGAAGGGCGCGGTCGCAAGACAAAGTTTGTCCTGTTTGGCTTCGCTCTCTGTTCAAAAATCCGTCCCGTCCACTTTACCGAATACTCGAGATAGCTAATCACTGTATGGAAAGCAAGAGCGCATATCCTTAACATTTGCCTTTTTAACATCCTTAGGAACGATGACTCCTGGCTTTTTTTACAGAGTGGGAGAAAGAAAAACGTCAGAGCATTTTTGGTTTTGGCATTGTGTGCGGAAAACAGCTTTCATCATTGATAAACAAGATTGATCTACTCTGTTTTGTTTTTTAGATGCAAGAAGAACAGCTGGTACATAATCTGCTTCAATCCAAGTTTCGGAAAGATAACTGCAGGAAAACTAGATTTTTTTATATTTCAAAATCGGAATAAAAATTTAGGAACAAATGATTTTTGAGAGTTTCATCTAAAAAAATTCCACTTTTATGTAAAGATTTGAGTAAAATGGAAAAATATGGGTGCGGAAAAACACTTAAATAATGTTTGCGTCCGAATGATGACAGTGGTAACCAAAGCCGGTACGTATTTTTCGGATGAGTAGGGTTCGGATGTATGTCTGTCACTGTGAATAGTCTATAAAATTGTAGTTTCAGTTTGAAAAAAAGTATCTGATGAGTGCTTTGAAGGTTCCGTACGTGATGGGCTGGTGCTACGAGGATTCGGTCCCTGAAGCGTTGTTTCAGTCGAATGTTTGCGTCGTTGATCTGGACACTGGGCGAGCTGAGCTGCCGGAAGACGTTCCCGTGTTTCCAGACGCGAAAAATCTAGCTCAAGACATACGAAATGCTATCGATAGGTTTGTCTAGTTCATCAAGAAAGGCTTTGAAGTTGTTTAAAGTTGCGGGATGCGGTTACGACCGAATGACTTCTACCATAATAATTAACAGTATAAAAGCGAACCTGACTCGATTTATTTTAAAATTTACCTTGAAACATGGAAACGAGACAAGGCATGTCTCAATTTCATTCAAAATTTCGAATAGAGCTAGCGTCCGCTGCAGGATGTGGAAACCTTAAAAAAATTTGACTGTTACTGGACGTTTTTTGGGTTTTGTAGTTCCACGAGTTTTTTAAAGTTCCTATTTCATATTTTAAACTTCTAACACTCCTCTATAATGTTAAACTTTCAGACTATCGGGCTGCTCGGAGAAAGTTTCTGTAGGGGTCCTCGAGGGAAAGCCTGATAATGAAGTTGTGGCGCGACGAGAAAACGGTAAGAAAACGGCCGAGTGGTGGGCCAAAAGAATGAGTCGCTCATTCGATTTGGACGATGGCACTCTGAACGAAGATGTGACAGGTATCATCTCGAAATCATATCTTTTTCCATCGAAAAAGGTCTAGGCGCTATGCGTTCTGCCCGGGCGGGTCTTCAGCCACTTCCTTTGGAAAACGTCCTACGCAATAACTCGACGTTAGCTAGGTATTGTTGGTTTCAATTCGTTTCCCAAACGAAAATTGGCTCTTTTCTCTATATTTCCCATACTTTTCTAGAGTTGCCGAAATCGCCAGACGAGCTGGAGTTTCAGTCGACGTCGAGAATATTGAGGCAGAGCTTGGAGCTTGCCAAAATATCGATTCGTCGTTTTCTCGACAGTATTTCCTCGTAATAATACATCCGATTATGTCTAGAGAGCTTTTTGTTTTCCAGAATGCCAAGTTGAACAATGCCATCAGAGAGTGTGTTCTGAACCGCTTTGTTGGGATGTTTTACTCCTATGAACATTTTGTGATCGGTGGACAAGGTTGTGAGAATCGGGAAAACTACGAAGCGAACAGGTTCTAAATCGTTTTCTCACATTGAGAAATCTTCGCATTTCAGGGAGAGCATGGCGAGCTTCGACAAGGCGTCTTTCTTGTCGGATCAGCCTGATAGCCACTTGACGTTCCTTGCAGCTTTTTTGGAGACTCAGGTTATGATTGTTCTCGTGCAATCACCATTTTTTATTTCGGAATATTCTCTTGATTTGAAAAAAAAAATATTAAGAGCTTGTTAAATTTTTCATCAATCGCTTATTTTGTTTTTGGAGTCATAGATACAATCTAATAGGCGGGGAACAGGATCTTTAAAGCTATAACGAACAACCGCCTTTGGCGAAAGTTCAAACACGAAGTCGAAATTGTCGAAAGCATGGTCTACGGTCCTTTTCCTCGCTCTTCTGTGCGTATTCCATTCAATCTGACAAGCTCAGAAGGCAGCAGAGTTTTCAGCTGTCTTCTGGCCGTGCTCTATGAGATACGACCCCTTCGAGTGACGTCTTGAAACGGAGTTGTATCAGGAAGCAGAAATACTGTATTCTGTAGAATTTTCAGGAATCAGTTGACAATAGAATATAGACATGGAAATAACTAGCCCTTTTGTGTTATATTGAAAACAGTGATTTTCATTGAAGATGTTCACGTCATTTATCGATGCGAAAATAGTCTCGCAGTGGGAAACGCCAGAAGACGGCGTTTTGCTGTTCGATTCTCGGATTTCCAAGATGCGAGATCAACTCGGTCTCTCGATGGTGCGCACGCCGACATATGAAACGACGCCTCCTTTTGCAGCTACTGGTTTGGTCGTCGTCGCATAGGAAGTCAAAGCGAAACCTCATTTTCAGAAGAGCTTATCAGCAAACGAGAAGAGACGGCTGACTACGTCGTCGCGGGTCCTCACTCTCTGCCTGGAGCTGTGTCAGTCCGCTACGATGGAGCATGGCCTTCGCATCTGAACACGATGTTACTCGACGGTGCCAACATGATGAGCCCCGCACCGAGTCCTTGGAAACAACGCTACCCTCGACTTAGGCCCAAGACACTTGAGGTTTTTCCTCTTGAGACCGTACGAAAATTCTTACGAAGTCCCTTTTCTCTCTCTCTTGCCTTTGACGGACGAAACAAAAGCTTATGATGAGAGCAGTTTTTACTGTGTTTTTATGAATTTATTCTTTTTTATTTCAAATTTTACTTAGGACCTCAGAACTTTCCAAAACTTGGCTGACTTAGGACCTCAGAACTTTCCAAAACTTGGCTGACTTAGGACCTCAGAACTTTCCAAAACTTGGCTGAGATTTCAAGATTCCGTTTATCGATTATTAAGAATTTTTGCGTTCGAAACTGTCCAGAAAATAGGTCAAAAAATATTTGAGATCAAGGCATGGCCAATTCGAAGCTATTCGGCGGGTGTTAAAATCATATCTCATCACTCTTGACTCTGAAATTTCGTTGACAAAAGAGAAGTATCATCTCATTTTTCGAGCAATTTTTTCCTATATCGGAAATAAAATAAAACTGAGAAATGTCTAGAATAACTTATTTTGTGATCCTCCGGAAAAAAATGATTCGTTTTGTAGAATCTTTCGAATGGAATCACGAGACCCACTAGCACTTATGGCGGAGCTGGACTGATAGCTGATTCTAGCAATCTTGTGGCACAACAACAGTATGCCTTTGTTCAGCAACTCCTCAAGGAAACGAAAGGTTGTGCATCTGTGGTCGAGTCGGAAAACTCGTAATTTTTTGCAGCAAAAACGAAGAGAATGCTGGTGGATAAGATGGGGAAAGAAGCTGTTCAGCTGGGTCATCTAGACGCCGGCATCACAGGCGTCGAAGAAAACACACTTGTCGCTTCGTTTTGCGACTTATTGGAAAGAATTTGGGCTCACGGCCTGAAAAACAAACAGGTTTTCTTTCAATAATGTTATTTGCTGGAGTTTTCGTTTAGGGAAAGTCGGCTCTTTGGAGTTATGTCCTTCAGCATGAGGATTTTGAGAAACCTGGCCTTTCCGCTAGAGCTTCTTCGACCTCTATGCTCACTCCAGGTAATATTCTCCCATTTCTTCTTTTCTTTTTCTCTTGCACTCGTTCGTGCCCTTTCAACTATAATTTGAAATTCCATTTACTTCTACAGCTCTTGCGTGGTTGGTATTTCGAAGGAGACTCGAAAGTAAGGCCATTTTCTATTAGTTTTCGCTATTGCGCGGGGCTGAATCAAAACGCTGTTCGCGAGTTAAATGAGACGTTGCGCAACCGCTTTCTATTTGAACATTATCGTGTGTGTATGAGAACGCCAGCCTTTTTTCTCGGTTCATGGCTGTACATGTTGTTCTTGTGAGTTTTGCGAGGTGAATATAGATTCAATTTCAAACTGCTTCGAATATATTTTATCGGGCGGATGAGTAATCAAGAAAGACCAATTTCTCGTTTTCTAATCCAAAGGACTTCCCTTCAATTTGGATTGAGATATTTAATAGGAACATTTTTCATCCTAAGAATTGAATCACGGCATGTCATTGCTATAGGTGGTTTGCGTGCGTTTCGTGCGCCGTCACTGCAACCGGCGTGTTCAAAGAGGCAGCTGATCGACGAAGTTCCGGCGCCGATAGTCCTCTCTCCGAACGAGAACGACGTGCTCTCCACCATCTCGGACATTGTCGACTCGATCCGCGGCGCCGAAGAACCCTGGTCGAAGAGCATTCTGCGCGCGGCGACGTTCTTGGCTGACAAGATAGCCAGCGGACAACAGGATCTGGAGTCGTTACCACCTCGTCCAACTCTTCCTCCGACGCCTTTCGGCGACCGCCGCAGCAGGAATTCGAGTACTGGCTCTCGGAATCTTTCTTCTCTGAATCACATGAAGAAGTCGAGCAGCGTCAGTGGTGGGTGTTGTGTGTGCGGCATGGTCATTGTTAATCTAACTTTTTTCCATCTAGTATCTTTTGATTTGACTTTTAGTTTGATGCTTTGTGGTGGAAAAACTTTTCTGCATTTTTTGTTGTTGATGATTCTCCCAATCACCAATTTTCCACATTTTTTCATTGCACTGCATGGCTTCTTTGCCGTTTAAACAGTACTGTTTTTTCGACACGTATTGCACGCTTTTGCCACGAATGCTCTGATTGTAAAGGTTTTTACATTCGAAACGCAAGTTTAATTGCTTCTTGTAAGGCATCATCATGGGGTGTATGAAAAAGCTTCAAAATTCAGTCTTAACGACGAGTGAGTTTCAGATCTTTTTCATATACTTTTCTAACAGCTATGCGGGAAACTAGAGGGAGAACATGTTTGACGGAATCGTAGTTTAAATAGATATAATTAGCAAGAAAATGAAAAAAAAAAAACTAATCGAGTATGGAGTACTACTGCAGTGTACACATAACGCTTTCCATTAATCGACTAACATTTGTTGGTTTTCAACCTCTTTTTTCTCATGCATAGCTAATTTCATGGTGTTGCGAAATCTGTCGACGATTTAATTTTTAGATTTCACGCATCCGAGCAGGTCGGACCTAAACGATCCATTATCAGTGCATTCCAACGGAGTGATGAGCTGTGAGAGCTCTCCTAGAAAAGTGAGGTCACGGAGCCAAACGCGGAGTCCAGAAGGCACGCGTGTCGTTCTCTCTCCTCTGCCCACACATGTCGCTTATGATTTGAAGTTTGTTCGAGCTTTTCATACTGTTCTCAGCGTTTTTCTTTTCCATTATAGGAACGTTTTACGTATGACAGAAATCAAGGCAGATATTGGCTACGCGCGGGCCTTTGTGCGACTTGCTCTCGAACGCAAGCTCTTGCATAAACACCTCGGAGCCCTTCTGTCGAATAGCAGGCTTATGAAGTATGTTTGAACCATTGATTCTCCCAAGAAAGGACGCAGGTCTTTTTGGAAAAGAAAGAATTTCGAAAAAAGTCTCTTGAAACATGAACTTTATGTTCGAGGAATGTTGATTATTGTAAAATTAAGGTGCACATAATCAGTGGAAGCAAAGTTTTTTTCGGTTTTAAAGCTTTCACGTCATAAAAATAAAGTTTAAGACCCCTATAGAGACCAATTAGCTTCAGAACCCTAACCCCTATAGAAGTGTTTTTTGTTGTTGTTGTTTGTTGTTGTTCTTTATAGTTGCGGTTTTTTTTTCGTTGTTTTTCCAACGGATGGAAAAACGGCAACTCTTTTTTCTGCATTCATTTTTCTCCGTTTTTCGCAGCTATTTTGTCATAGACTCGAACTTCGAACCAGAAAATTCATCTTTTTTTTCTCCGAGCTGAGTTGCAAGTTCGATATTATCGAGCTACAAACTTTTTATTTTCTTTACATCGAGCACTGTGGCTTTTAAGCGATCTCTACAAAGGATACGCTTTCGTGAGGTCTGAGGAAGAGCGGGAGCAGTTTTTGCTTCACGTACTATCGCTGAACGCGGCTCAGTTCCGTTGTTTCACAAACACTTTCACAAAGACGAGTTTGCGCAGCTGTTTCTTTTTTGACCGGTTTTTCCGTTTTTGCAGAGATGGATTACCAAGTCGTCATCGTTACAGGAATGTGGCGCGGTACTCTGCCTGCCATTTGGGTCATGGTACTGAAAGAAAACGTTTTGTTTTTTTCATCCTTTTTGGTTGCTTTCAGGTCGAAGGAACTTTGTGTTGTAGTCCTCCTATCAATTTGAAACCGAATACACCTCTGTTCAAGTTTGATGTGAGTTGTCACGTTTTTTTTCGAGATAATTTTTCGACTGAACTTTTGTCGGTATCGTCATTGAATAATTTCTCACATTTAGCATAAAAATCTCGGAATTCTTTCAACACTTCGAATAGGACATCAAAAGTCGGAGAAGCCCCAGAAATGGTTCTTGGACTACGTAAGATTGATATCTTTGCCTGATTTTATTGATTTCGGATGAGGTTCAGGTGCTTGTGAGAAACGAGATAACTGGACAGTCCTACCGGTTTCCTTGTGGTCGTTGGTTTGGCGAGGACCGGTGGTTCGGCAGCGGCGAAGACGGCACGCTCGAAAGGCTACTCGTCGCCGAGCCCGTCGCGGAATCAGACGCCGGCGTCAGCAACTCGACGTTCGCTCAGTGCTCTCCAGTCAGGACACGGCGGACGAGCTCGCGAAGCCAAACTCCTCAACGCGATCGTAGCCCCAGCAGTGGGAGAGCACCCGATCAGACGTCTGGCGGATCTAGAAGTAAAGGCATGAAAAGTCACAAAAAACTTTTTGCCGCGTTCTCATTTCCTACATAAAAAATTGTTTATTTTGACCGCTTTTGGGTCTTCAAATTTTTTCATCGCACTGGCTCCATTTTTTGAGTGCTCATGGTTTTAATAATCGGTATATGTACTCTTAGGTTAACAGATCCAATTTTTAATTTTTGAACAGTTTCAACCTGCACAACTTGCTAGTTTTCGAGAAATGAGGCTTCAAAGGTTCAAAATAGCCTATTTGAACAGATTTTCGGGGGTTTTCTCTATGAGATGGGCATGTTTGAAAAATAGAGAGTGGTGCTATTTGGGACCAGAATAGTAGATTAATCAAGTGATTTTCTCGCCGTTTTTCAAAAATTTCACAATCTCAAAGTGAAAAAAAATAACCTTCACGAAGCTGAAAATCAGGCTAAAATTATGATTTTTTGACTCATTTTTTTTTTTCTTCTATATTTCGGCTACTTGGACATTATATCACATAAAATAATAGTGACAATCCCAAAAAAAAAATTTTGAATGGAAACTAGAATTTTCTCAGGAACGCGTATCAATGAGATTCAACATCTTCTCGGCGAGGCAGTAAACGCGCTCGTCAAGTATTTTTGTTCGGAACGCAAGGTCGTTTTTGATGTTGGCTTGAAAATGTAATTAGTTTTTTTTCGTTCAGGCGAAAAGCGAACTCGCGCACTTGTTATGTGGTCAGCGCGGACTGGTGATGGCCATCGAACAGGTGAGTGAGGAATTGGACTTGACTCCAATTTTCGAGTACGCGTTTTCAATTTCAATTTCAGGCTTTCCAATTCGGACGACAAGAGTCGTTGTGGACGCCAAGAATGTTCCGCAACACTTGTCCTTGGGATTATATCGGTGAGAGATTTGCAAATCAACATTTTGAGACAAACCTGTTGTATAGCTGATGAAATATTTCGAACACCCAATGCAAATTCTATTTTTGCATAATTTTTTATCAACAAATTTGTTTGCATGAAGTTATTATCATTCAAGTCCGTTCTCGACGGTAGGTCGAAAAGTTTAACTCGCAATTATACGTGGCCGAATCGGAGCGTCTAATCACGTGGCCGAACCTGAGAGCCATTGAAATAGGCCCAAAATGAGAGTCCTCGAAGTTTGAAATTGCTTGCATTTAAAGGGGATCCAATTTCAGTAATTGTTATTATTTTTTTTCATTCAATTTTTCTTCAAAAATCTTCTCGAGTCCTGATTTTCATTTCTGCGTTAACCCAGCCCGGCGATCCCAGTGTTCGATAATATTTTGCAATCAAAAAGTCAAGGTTGAGCCGTATTTCTTTCTTCTGCTATTCCAATTTTTTTCTTGTCTCATAGATCCTCAAGGTTCAATTTATGTCGACTGATTATGTTCCTCAAATTTAAAAGAAAATTGACGGACTTTTTATCGATGATAAATATCGAAATTCCTAAAAACTTGCTGAGAATGGAGGCGCTAGCTTCTGAGCAAACAAAAAGAAACGAAAGAGTTGAAGAAAAAATCTAAGATAAAGTTGAAAAAAAGTCAAATTTAAGCAATTTCAAGAATCTAAGGGCTTCTAAATTTAGTGGTTCCCAGAGGCAACGCAATAAGCACGGCCACGTATTTTTGCGGACCAAAGCTTTCGTCGCCTATCATCATCCCGTCCTTAACAAAAGTAGGAAGAAATTTCAGAACGCACTTGTGCCTGGTTCTTCGACTTGTGTCGACGAAAAGAAGCGGAGAAAATGCCGAAAGATGAGAAAGCGTTAGTCCATTACGCGCTGAGGCTTTATCGCAAGATCGATGCAAAGTCTTCTTTGGGGAAAGACGGCAAATTTCACGTCTTCGTTCTTCTCTCCATTAGGTGAGAGATGATATTTTCATCCTTCTGAGTGAATATAAAATCATTGAGGTTTTGGGTCTTGAAAAACGACGAGAAATTCGTATCTTGTTTCGTGTCTTTGAATTTAGTCTCCTTTTGTCAAATTTTCTGTCATGGTGCGACACTGAGAACGTCTTTTTGAGGTCATGAATTCTACCTCACATCTTCCCATACCAAACCAACTTTTTGATTTTGCCACGTGTCTTTGAACAACTTTCCAAGTGTCACGTAAAGGTTTTTATCTGATGTAGCGTAACGAACATGTTTCGGTTAGAAAAAAAAAGCAGACTCTGCTATTTTTTGTTCTGAAGAAAATTTAAGGTTTCGCGATCCGACCCCCCACGAATTTCTTTCCAATTAGTTTTTTCTCGCATCTCGTACAAAAATTTAAATGATAACAATCTTTCCACGTTCACGCCACAGCAAAGTTGGCCCAGTCGACGGATTCCTTTCCTGGAAAAGTTCGAAGAATCGTTTAGTGACTTTTCTTCACTCAAACCCTACGATTCACCATTCACACCTCACAACATGTAACCGTTAAAAGTTTTTGGTTAATTCCAATCTTTTCCTTTCCGACCTGCTTTCGTTTCATTTTTTCTTTTTATGAAATTGGAACGTTAAAGGGACCGCGTCCTGTCGGGACTTTTGCGGATGATGTCATGGACTCCAGTAACCAACGAGCTCTACAACGAGCCGTCGTTCTTGCGGACGCCCGAGCATCTCACGTACCTTTCCCGGCTAATTTTCTCTCTCAACGAATTCCAAATAGTTATCGATACGACTCTCACCTATGGAATAGAATGAGGGTTTTCCAACTTTCCCTGTAATTCTTGATAGGGCCTATCCAAGAAGAAAAAGGACTCTTCAATGAAGCGAGAACGGTTTTTTTTCACTATTGAGAGATGTTTGGCCTAAAGAGGATTCTGCAGGGAAATGTTACGTGTTGCTTCTCCATCAATATCAAAACTGCCTCTCTATATAGTTTTGTAATGCTTGCCGACTTGGAAGGCGATATGGTCAAACGCAATCGTGGGAAAAATTTGGAAAAAAAAGACTTTATACTCTTATTTTTACCTTTTTTTCAACCAGAGCTCCAAAACTCTATCAAAAACCATTGAAAAATCAGCAAAAAAGAAGAAAGTTTAATAAAAAGGTAGGCCACGTTTGATCCCGAGTTGCCCGCCAAAGGCCGCGTCGCGTCCGCAAACATTTCATCTTTACCGATTCTGCCCATGTCGCCTTTCAAGCTGGAAAGAAGGGACTGAAATTCTTTCGACCGGTTAGATACCTCAAATGCTAGTTTTTTTTCTCTTTAAAATGTGTTTGCACAAGAAAGCTTGAAAAATTTTCATACTTATGTTTTAATGAAAAATACATGTACATGGAAATGTACACAAATTTTCTCACGACTCTGGTAAAAACCCTCGTATGTTGTTATGTTACTAGTACATGTTGAAGCTCGGGGATTAACTTGACGTTGTGTTTTTTTTTTTCTCATTTTTCATTTTTCATTTCTCATCGGAGCGTCTAATCACTCGAAAAATGAGCCATTTGCAATAATCATGACTACAGTTTCTTGACATTCGCCTTCGTGTTGCCATATTTTTTTCCGAAAAAATTGCCAATATCTGTATTTTCAAAGTAAATATTTTCCATTTTCCTCGTTTGCTGCTTTAATAAGAGGTACACTAGCCCTTGATTTTTTTTTGTTGCATAATCATCTAGTTACATTCTGGTTGTTTTTCCTTTTCAGGGTAAAATGACGCAGTCGCCTTTGCTCAAACGTCTGCTGTCGGCTCTTTTTTACGGTTTCGTTTCCATTCTTGTGGTTTTTGTCAACAAAATTTTGCTCACAAATTTTAGGTTTTTCCGTGTTCAGTTTTCGAGAAAAATGTAATGTTCAAGGTTTCCCTCTTTTCTCTTTGTTGGATGCGGCCAAATGGTGGCCACCGTAGTGATACTCTATGTTGCACGGTTATTTCGGATAGTATCGTTCCCATCTTTCGACTCGTCGGTGCCACGGAAAATAATGCCACTTCCTATACTGTACTTTTTCAACCTAATTTCTGGCCTCGGAGGAACACAAATGATCAAGTTGGAAAAAAAAAGTGTATCGTCCATCAGTCTCAAGTTTCAGCCTACCAATGTTCACCGTCTTGAGAAGATTTTCAATCTTGATGACAATGATTTTGGAGTATGTCATCTTGGGGTGAGACGCTTCTTGTTGAAAGCATTTGGACGTTTTTTTTTTTTCAGAATCGACTCTTCGAGAGCCGTCAGGATTTCAGTGGGCTTGATGATTCTCGGTAGCTTGATTGCCGCCATCTACGATCTCGCATTCGACGCCCTGGGCTATTTCTTCATCATAGTCAACGACTTTTTCACGGCGGCCCTCGGTGTCTACACTAAACAAAAACTTGATGCCAAGGTTTCAATTTGCTTTCGATTATTTCATGGATGTCAATCTCATTAAAGGACCTTGGTAAGTACGGGCTCATGTACTACAACTGCTTGTTCATGCTTCCACTGGCCCTCGCGGTCGTCTTTTACACTGGAGACTGCGACAAAGTTTTTGCTTTTTCTTTCGTACAGTGCCAAAATAAACTGATGACATCAAGGCTGTCAAGTTCATTCTGAGCGATGAAATGACGACGTCCGTGTGGTGTTGCTTTTTGATTTCGTGCATCTGCGGGTTCATCCTCAACTACTCGCTCGTCTTGTGCACCCATCACAACTCGGCTCTCACCACCACCTGCGTTGGACCAATCAAGGCAAACATTTTATCTCCTTTTTCCTATAAAATCAATGATAGAAAACGGACTTGAGTTCTGCCTGAAAATGACCCTTTTCATAGTAATGAAGTTTCAATTTTCAGAATTTGTTTGTGACCTACGCTGGCATGGTCTCCAGCGGCGACTACGTCTTTCAGTGGGCAAACTTTATCGGGATCAACGTCAGGTGTGTTTTCCAATCTTCCCAAGGACTTTTGAGCTGATTTGCTCTTCTAATCAACTATACCTATGGGGCCACGAAGCCAACTTTTTTTGCTTACAAGAAATTTATTTTGGCGGCAGCGAATTTTTGTACTAACCATGTTACTAAAACCATAGAAAAGTTACAACAAAAGTTTTTAAACTTTTTCTTCTTGTTAGCAAAAAAAATAATCGTTCGCAGCAAGTGGGAGGAGCTTCTCTATATGCAACTTGGGCTACTGACAAGTGTTGTGTTTAGCGTGGCTGGCAGCATTCTCTATACCTACGTCACTTTCCGGACCAAATCAACAGCGAACCCGTACAAGCCGCTGAGCACTGTGCCGCCGGTTGTCGTAGATATGTCAACCAAGTCCTCAATTTAGCCCCGTTGCATAATTGAAGAAATGAAACAATAGTTAGCTTTAACAAAATTGATTCTCTTTTTGCATGTTGTCAAGTGTAAAACTGTTACAGACGGCGTTTTAAAAATTTGGCATTTTTCCGTGCAATATTGCAATATCGCATCATATACATATATATATATATATATTTTTTTAGATAACTTGGTGTCACAACGGTGATTTTTTTCACTTGTCTTTTTCTCATAAATTTTTCACCATCTCTTTGCAATAGAAAATTCATTTAAAGAATGTCCATATTGTAAAATTTTTCCCGACTTGAACGGCGAGTTTTTCCAATTTGAAAGGCGAGTTCAAACGTTGCGTACGCCGCCACTATATCCATATCGTGTCTTTCCAGTCGGGATGCATTCACTTCTATATTCTTTCATCTATTTGGCAACGAAAATAAACAATGTGATTATGCAGTTTTCAAAATTAAAAAGAAGCGATATGAAAGATTTCGTTACATGATTTGAAAGCAAAAGCTGTTGTTTAAAATGTAAGGATGCAGTTTGATAAATTTAGATGAGACAGGAGGTCTCCTGCAGTAAAAAGAACATCCAAAAACGATTTGGATAAGCAGCATGTCACAACCGCAAGTTCGAAGAGCTGCTATTCGCAAATACACGTTGTCTTTTTTGGCTAATAATCTAATGGGGCAAAAAAAAAGAGAATGCAAGCTAAAAACCCACTATTATGAACTATACCGCCTCTCGCTGTTGATTTCATCCTTATAAAAGTCGAAAATAAAGCGAAAAAAGTTTTTCCAATTTTTTGAGGGGAAGCGAAAAGCCTTGGATATATCGCTGCGATATAGTCCTTTTTGTCGGATGTGTGAAGAACGTATGTATGAACAACCGCGAGAATAAAAGCGAAGCGAGAAAAATCACAGATGGATAAAGAGAGAATGACTGCAACGGTCCACTGTTTTCTAGGGAATGAGAAATGAGCAAACTAATAGAAATAGCAAACGAGTGAGAGAGCTACGTAGACGGTTGTATTTTAGAAGCACCGCCGTTGGCTTTTGGCGCTTGCATCTTGATTTGGCCGGCCATCAGTGGGTTAATGGCATAAAGCCAGTCGTACATCTGCAAAGCCGAGACTCTTGGAGATAAACGGAAAAAATATAGGGCCTGAAAAGAGATAAACCTCGTCGCCAGGCATCATCTGCATGAGGAAGCCTCGATGACTCGTGCAAACGGAAAAGGTGTTGGGCACTTTGAGCATGGCTTGTTGGTCTTCCGAGTACTCGATTCGTGCGTTTGCCAGATTGATTATGCCTCGAATCACCTGGAATCGAAAACGCTCTTTTGACAGAGTAGCTTATTCGTACCAAATCGCGGTCGTCGCGGAACAAGAGAATGTAGGGCCGACGGACGACGACCCAACGTCGAGTCCAGCCTTGTGTCTTTTCTTCCAAAAAGTTCATGTAGCCTTTTTTGGAGACGACAACGCCGACACGTTCTTCCAAAACCTGTGTACATTTAAAAACTTGTTGGACAATGAGAAAAGGGAGCTACCTGCGGGGTTAGCACATCCATCCGAGATATTTTGCTGCCGCTGAGGCTTCGTTTCATCTGTGAACCGTCCAGAAGCTCGCCGTCGTCGTTCGTGATGGCCAGATTCTGGTCAGACTTGGACTTCTTGCCGGCAGAGTAGATCGCTGCTGTGCGACTGCGACGAACACTTGACCATTGACTTGTCTGACGTGATGCTGTTCGAGGTGCTGTCGTCGCTGAGGTCGGCCACTTTGTTGCCCGTCGGCGGGTCCTTGTTCATTGGAATTCGTCGTCTGATCAGGCCGAGGACTTTGTTTGCAACATCTCAAAATTTGACCTTTTTTATCTCCCAATAAACGTCCATTTTGAAAGTTTAAAATGACAAAGGACATTTGCTTGAAATTTAGTGCTTGCTTTGCTCACGATTTTTTCCAGAAATTAAAAAAATACGAGAGAGTTTGAGAAACGCAGAAATTCAACCAGCTCTTTTCAAATTGAAAGAGAAATTTGCATGAAAAAAAAAAACCAACCCTTTTCCTCTTGTTCCAGCTGTATTTCGCCCGGGATCGCACAGACGGGGTCGCACGGCGACACTGGCGTCTTCAGCTCGCCCTTTTCTCGTTTTCCCTTCTTGAGCCGATCCCGAAGGCGTAGGAACAGCCTGACTCTTTCCACCTCGAAAACGTGATTGAGCGGAAAACGGCGCGAGCTTTTCGGTACCTGTTGTAGTCTGGTGAGCTTCTCCAGCTCCCACTGATGCTCGAATATCAACGAGTCTCCGCGAGGACGCCACTGACCAAGGTTCTCCTCACCTCGCACATATGATGATGACGTGTCCAGCACCCGACGTTGCCGACGAACTGCGCCTGAATATTTCTCATTTCTCGAACAGCGAAAAATTTCAACGAATAGTTTTCATCACCAAAGTTTGAAAACGAAAACACGGGTATTGAAAAATGATGACAAAAACCTGAAAAACTTCAAATTCCCACTAGAACTGACTTATGCGCGAGACTTTTTCCCTCCAAAAGATACAGACACGTGCGTGCAGCCAACCAAGAACATGACAAAAAGCCAAGAAGCCGTCACCTGGGCTACCTGTGTCCATTGCGTCTTTGAGGCAAAGTTGGTAGACGCCCGGCACGCGGTTCATTTCTGGCGACTTGGAGATGCCGCCAATCAGTGAGCGGCAGAACCTTTGCAATTGAAAATAAGCAAAAAGTTTCCGGTGGAGGAATAGTTTGAAGGAAAATAATTCAACTCGCAATTTGAAACCACTTAGCTTTGGCTCAAAAAATCTCTGATCAAAGATTTCAAACAAAAAAGAATACTTTAAAGAGTTGACCAAAAGAAGGACAACATGAAAAAAAAAACTTTGAGAAATTCCTTTTTTCGCAAATTTGTCATTTTCCGCTGCTAGCAGTATCGAAACATATTGAAGAGTCTTTCAAACCCAGGAAGATTTTAATGAAAACTGCGGGTAGAGCTACCCTGTTGAGATAGTCTGAATGATGGGTGCGGATTCACATCTCGATTGTAACTTATTTGAAATAGCCTTGTCAAAAGTGTGTTTGCCAAGTGAATAGAGTGAAAAATGCATTGTCAGGACTATACAAAACAAAAATTGTAAAGAAAAAAACCTGCTAGCGGCCGAGATTTTCGAGTCGCGTGCGTAGATCAAAACGCAGAGATCTTTTGTAATGACAGCCGGCTGCGTACATTCTTCGACCTCCATATAGGCCGAGAGCGTCATGTAAATCTAAATATTCGCCCTTGCCTTTTTATACACTCTGAAACGGCGGTGGCTACAAAGTCAAAAATCATCAAAATCAAAGGAAATAAAAATTTCGCCTTCCTCTCATTCACGAATCCATTCAGTCGGGAAAAGAAGCGGTTACCTGATCGCCATAGTTGGACACGCGGTTGAGCAACGGCGAATTGTGTAGAGAGCTGTCCCAGGCAGCCTCAAACTGAAAGAATGTGCGGTCGTCCATGCTGAACTCGAGGAACGTGCCGGGGAACAAGCCCAACGAGAGGACATCTAAAACAAGGGCCACATTAGAGGGGGTTGAAGAATCAAAAAAGGAAGAACTCGCCGACGTCGTCGCCGCCCGTCCATTCGGGTCCCGCTCTTACGCGGCCAACTACCAGTTCTTGACAATCCTTCCATTTCATGCCGGGGGACTGAAAATTTATAATGACGGGCAATCACACTGAGTCAAGTTTTATCAAAAAAAATACATCTTTTTTTGTTTCTTCTTGTTTTGAGCAAAAAAAAAAACGTGTTAATTTTCCTTCATCACAAGCAAATATGATTTGGACACGTTCATTTCCTTCCCAGTCTTTTTCTTGAACATTCCAATTTTCAAAGCTTTTAAAACTGGAAGGAGACTCGACCTTCTCATGACAAACAGTTATCTTGATGCGTCTCTGGATTCCTTGGTGGAGCAAAAATACGCCATGAGTCGGAAGGCCCTGGGCGTGGTCGACAATCGTAGGCACATACTCGCCATTGTTTGCCAGCTCGCAAATCTCGAACCAAACGAGCAAGTCAATTTTGGACTTGATCTGCGAGTTGCTGAAACGTGTAAAATAAGACTTGTCAAATGACAGCGAATTTGAATATTCCCAGCTTTAATTCCCATGGAAAGCTCACCTGTTCAGAATGGGCGCGTTGGCTTTCTTGCTTTTGACCGGTGTCGAAATGACGAGCGAGGGCTGCTGGAACGTGAGCTTGGTCGACAGACGCCTTCTTGAAATGTATCACAATCGAAACATTTTCAAAACTCGCGTACTGACCCCAAAGCGCTGTTTTGTCGCTCAAACTTGAACTGTTCCGCCTTTGGCTGGTAATGTCCAAAAACCTGAAAGAGGCCGTTTTAAAGGTTTATTGAAAAAAAAGGGAATTTTACAGGGGCGATTGACCCGTCAATCAATTTTAAAGATCACTCCGCACAGTCCGTCAGTCAGTAAACTGCATAAGCAATACGAGATTGACTTTATCGTTGGCTAAATTTAGGGGAACGCCGATTGACCAGTGCCCTAGAAGAGGGGGCTTTAAGAAAAAAATAAAAAATAAAATTAGGCTTCCGTAATCTATTCGTTTCTTTTTTCATTAAATGAAATCGAAAAAACGATCTTTGCATTTTCTGTTCGAAAGTCTGGTCGAATAATATTCTAAACAATGCGCGAAACACGTTTCTGTCGATAAATGAATACCAGCAAAAAGATTTTTGTCGATAAATGAAATATTATTCGACGAACATGCCGCGAATTTTTTTCCACAAGCATTTAATCGACGCACCTCGAAAATGATTGGGAAATGGTGCATGTAGTGAAGAAATGTGCGGCTCATCTTGATGTGCAGATTCTGCGTATGGTCAAAGGACAAGGGCGATTTTTTGTTCTTCATGGGCTCTGTGGAAAAAGCCTCGTCGTGTCGATGTAAAAAGCTAAAAAAATCTAGATTTGATGCGGCTTTTTTTCTCCAGCGACGCACTTGAACTGGCAGAAAACGTCAGAATAGGCTTCGGCGACGTCGATGGCCTGTAGAACGACAACGCGGAAGCAAAACTCGGCATCCTCCACCATGTGTTGAGGGAAGGTAAGTTGCGAGCTTTCTATTCAAGATGCCAATTATTTTTCCCATTTTTCAAACTAATCCCATTTTTCAAACTTCATTCCGTGTAAAATCTTCATTCCGTGTAAAATCTTCACTCGAAGTGGTCGCTCTCATTCTGAGGCTTCCACCTAGAGCACGGTCTCCGGGCTCCAGCTCAACATCCACTACATTCTGAGCTCGTCAAGGCGCAACTGGATGGACTACGCGCAGAAGGACGAGGCGAAGGACCGTAAGACCATGCTTTCAACTCTTTCGACTACACGTTTGGACTTCTAGTTCGCCAAAGGCGGTTGTTCGTTATAGCTTTGAAAGTTCTTGTTCACCGCCTAGTCGATTACATCAGACTAAAACAACAAAAATAAATGATTTGATTGAATAAGAGTCGACTTTCATTTTTTTTTTTGTGTAGGGATTCCACAGAATTAATGTTGTACTTCTTTGAAAACTTTTTGATCGATAAAATTAGTCGATATGATTCATTAGAGTCTTTTGAGCAAACATGCAACATTAGTCGAAAAGTGAAAAAATTTTTTAAGTTTCAAAGTTGTTCGGCTTCATCGTTACCTTGGTTGGCATCTTTTTGCCCCTTGATGAAGTCTTCCTTGCGAAAGTAGAGTTTCGCCGTTTGCCGAACGCCTTTCTTCTGTGCTTCGCCCTCGCCTTGCTTGACCGGTTCGATGGCCACTTTCAAGTAGCCTTTCACCTCGCCCTTCTCGTTAACAATCGCCACCTTGTGTATCAACGGCACGTTGTGCAGAAGGTTGCTTAGGTAGACAAAAGCTCTGAATGGAGGTGTTTTTATCTCTCAGTGGAGATGTTCAAACTACCTGCCAATCATGCGGAACCACGGAAAACGGTCGTAGAAAGGATCTGTGCCCATGAGAGCTTCCATCATGGGATCTTCTGGACCAGTAGGACTCATGTCGATGTCGGCCTCGTACATGTCTCGCATCGCTTCGAGCCTTTGTCTGAATTTTTCTTCTCGGTTCATCAAGTGTGAATTTGAACAGCACTCATGTACAAGAATGAACAAACACCAAGCTTGTGAATTTTTTTTTTCTGAAAAACGCAAGAACTGCTTAGGGTAAGCCCTTCAAGTTTCGAAACACGACAAACCACTTTTTTTCAATTGAATTATTTTACGATAGGAACATTTTCCCCCAAACATGAACACAACACATCGCCTTGCAAGTCGGTATACTGGCTAAATTAAACGACTTGTCGAGTTTTAACCTCTCGATCGCTCGAGAAATTTAAATCAAAACAAGAATTCTTCTTTTTCTAATATTCACTAACTTTCCGTTAGCTGATAAGGGAACGTTTTTTTGGCCTTTAAAGTTTTAAAACACACGAATAATGGAATGAACTGCTGTTTAATAGTTTTGCAGGGTCATAACTCGGAAACAACCTCAACTGCATGAAATAATTATTTTCTTCTGGAATCAGAAGGTCCTGAGGAATATTTCAGCCATCTTTAATCGAAGGTTTAACCGGGGGCTAAAAAACGTTCCCTTGTAAGCTGCGAAACTCGGAAATTTAAGTCTTTTATTTGTTTTTACAAAGGTCCACTTGACGTTTTTTTTTTCAAATAGAGGAGAGAAGCACTTTTCGCATGCCGTGCAAGGAATACACGCCAAGGATTGCAAAGCAGAGAGAAAGTTTGAGTTTGACGTCTCACTTTTGGTAACTGAAAATAGAGCTGCGAAAAATGCAAAGCAATTGTTATAGAGAGAAAAAAACAAATGTAAACGATCCAAAGGTCGTTTTTGAGCATGCAATCTGCATTGACAGGGTTTGCTTATTCTGGGCTTGTTTTCGAAAATTTCGAAAAAAAAGCGGTATGCCAAACAAAGAATTGTTCTGAAAAATGAAATTTGCACCCCGATTTTTCGTCTCAATTGCTTTTTCAACTTTTCTTTCAAGTCTGAACGAGCCATTTTCGCAGCAAAACTTCCAGTAACCTGTCGGGTATGAGACGCGCCGGATTGAGTTGCAAAGCAGCCAGCCAGCCCTCGGCGACCGACGTGTAAGGAGGTTCGGCCGGCGTTCCTGCTACCGACAGCTCTGCGTTGTAGAAAGTCCGCATGTCTTCGAGCCTTTGCCTGAAGCCTCGTCCACTTCGTGTCCACTCTCTCTTTTTTACAATTTCTTTTTGGTAGACGTCACAACACGGCGGTTACGTTCACGATAGCAACTCGAGTTCAAGACGCGGAACTGGTCGAAAAAACTTTGGTTGTGAAACCTTGCAGAGGTGTTGAATTATTTACCACCCCTAGTACTGCACTTCTTCAAGCTCCTCAAAACAGAGTGCGATTCTTCTCCTTCCGAAGGGTAATGTTTTTGAAAGTCTGCACTTTGCGTGTTTGAACAATTGGAGACTATTCTCGTTTTTTTTTCTCCATATTTAGTTCTCGTTATTTATAATCAAAATGAATGGTTGATGTAATTCAACTTTTTTTTATAGATATAATCCATTCCGATAAAATTTAGTTCAAAACTGAAACAAAAAACGCGGAGATGGAGCCACTAACTAGGGAACTACTCAGACTCGGGTACGCGTTTCGAGTTGAAACTTTGGTGGCTTATAGACCCGGGTGAGAGCACTTGGAAACAAGATAGATTATCTGCTTAACTCCATAGGCTTCTGAGAAAAAGCTTTTTGAAAATGAACAGTTCAGGCTTGAAAATTATAAAATTTTTGCTTTCCTCCTTCTTTTGGCTGGAAAAAAGTTTTTTAAAATTTATCATAGCCGGATCATTCAAGGCGATTGTATTAAAATATAAAATAAGGTAAAAAGCAGTATTCTGAAAATTTTCAGACCTAATTTTCACATTTTCTACTAATTTTTTCTCAGTTCTCCATCGGGTTTAGCAGATATTCTCTCTTGTTTTTAAGTTCTCTGACTTGGGTCTATGAACCACTAAAGTTTCAACTGGAAACGCGTACCCGAGTTCGAGTAGTTCCCTAGTAAGAATGTGTACTTTTGAACACGCAAAGTGCACACTCCAAATGCGGACTTCCCCATACAGTACCCTTTAGGAAAAGAAAAGACATTCTTTTCGTCTACCGTATTCCACTGCTACTCTGGAGCTCCGGTTGGGGTCGACAGTGGGTTCAAAATTTGAATTTCTGCAGTTGGCAGCCAAAAACGCGTTGCTCCACATCGCGTCGAGGCTCTCACTCGAGATTCAATCCGTGGCGTAGACTATACAGCATTTGAAACTATGTTTTTTTCTTCTGTCTGCACCTTGTTCAGTTCTAAACATGGACCCTTGATTCCGCCTGCAGTCATGTTTGTGGGACGAAAAGAGTTCAAATTGGCTTTTCAAAAGATGAGGCACTTGTCAGAACAAGTGAAATGTTTTTGTTTTCACGCCATTTGAAAGTTTTCGGAAAATGCTGTCTAAACTGCGGAATGGCGGAGAAAATTTGAGAGGAAATGAAAATGAAAATGGTTTGCAATATGTGAGCAGAAGCTGAAGCGGTACTAGTGAAAGCCATGTGAAAAAGTGCTTCTCTACCAACTTGTACGTATTGCAAAAAGAGGTCTGCTGCCCGTTGAGTGTGAAGAGAACATGGAACTCACTTGAGCTTCTCGATACTCCAGTAGTGGGTGGCGCCGTTCTTCAGATCTTGCACTTGAATGGCGACGACCGTCTTGGGGTACGGTCGGAGAGTGAGATCTTCTCCAGGGGGCAAAAGGTCGGGAGGAAGCGGACTGAAACGATTAACCAAATCCATTTGTCAATTGCCTCGAGGTAAATGAAAATGCTGTTGCGAAAAACAAAACGCCACTCGAAAAGCTGAGACGGTTATTCACAGCAATATTTTCTACATGAAAAGTTGGTCCACTGGCGTGAGTACCAAGGTAGCAAACTGCTATTTTCGGGAAAAACATGATGACTTTTGTAGCAGACGTACGAGGCTTATTTTTCGCAACTCTAATTTCATTTACCGTTTTTTCCTTGACTTTACCTGTACATGGTGTCGGTGAGCAAGGCGAATTGGAACTGCACCTTCTTTTTGAGTTCGACCGAGATGGCGTTGGCTTCTTTGACAAAGATGGCGTTGCCCCAAAGGTCGTCGCGAACCTGAAACGTTATTCCTTCGTTTCTCGACTATTTAATTTTGATTCGGTTATCAAGATTTCATTTTTTTTTTTTTACTTTTATACAATTTTTCGCGTCAAAAAGTCAAACCGAGGTGAACTGATGATAACGCCATTTGATGGCCGCCTTCCGAACGACTCTCTCTTGATCCGACGTCCACTTCATTTCCTCGACTAAAATTCAAATTGGGTGAAAAATTGTGACCGTTTTGAAGAAACGCTACCGAATTCCATGAGAGAAGAGGTCAAGAATCGCTCGCCCTCCCAGGTCGAGCCCACCGAGGAGATCATAGATTGAGCGAGGTCGACTTGCCGTTGCAGTGACTCGATCCGCGTCTCGTACTCTTTCGTTTGACGGAGCATCTTGAGCTCGAGCTCTTCCTTTTCTCGCCGGTACTGGCTCTCCATTTCCAGCAGCTTCTTCTCCATTTCGGCCTTGAGATCGATCCCTTGTTTTTCGAGCAACTCTTGCTGCGCGTACTTCCAGTCGATTGGCTGTTCTGCAAGCATGTTCTTGAGCCAAACCACTATCTCGAAAAAGTGATGGACAAAAAACTCTATCCGATAGATTTTCACGTTTCTTTTATCACAAAGCGCTGAAAAAATGACTCTGGAGGAACTTTCAACAAAAGACGAATCATTCGCTTTTTTATTGTGCGTATGAGACCAAGTAAACTAGACGTAGTTCTTTTCAGGCTGAGTCCAAATTTGGCATTGAAAAAATTTGTGCCGAGGTCTTAGAAAAAAAAAACGTTAAGGACTTTCAAACTTTCAAAAGACGAAAATTTCTCAGCTTGATTTTTGAATGGTATCTGAATATAGAAATTTTCTTTTTTTTTCTTGATGTGTTTTTTTAAAGTCTCGCATAATGAGGGAATGGTTTGCCTTGCTTAATTGTAGACACACAAACTTCCGACATTTGGAGGAATGAGCGATTTTTTTCACAGATTTGCAGTTTTGAGACCAGAATTTCAATCAGTATAAAAAAACATTTTAACAAATATAAAATAAAGTGGAAAAGGATTTTCCGCCATTTTTCTGAAAAGAAAAAGGCCTGAAATTCGCCAGGAATTTATTCACTTCGACTTTATCAGATGCTTCAAGGTTTTTTGAGAAGACAAGAATGAGATATAAAAAATTTCATGTAAAAGATCAATTGAAGTCATTTTTTTCAAGTTTCAGGAAAATTGCGGAAAATAATTTTTCACTCATACATGGGCAGATTATAATTGAAAGGTGTCGGATGTCTTTCATTTAAAAAAGAAGGAAAAAAGAGGTACCGGCGAGCGAGGAGAGATTGTGACGGCTCTGACGTGCCTCCTGGGGGTCGTTGTACCGGAAGACGTGGTACTTGCCGAGGATAACTCGGGATCCGGTGTGCATGACCGTCGGCGCGGTGATCGGCTTGCCGTTGACGTAGCACTGGGCTCCAGTCATGGGCACCAGGGAGACGCTGCCATCTTCGTTCACAAACTCACAGTGCTGGTCGAGAATGGCTTGGCCCGAAAGCAAGACGTCGGGTCTGTTCTCCGCTTCTGGTCTTCCTACCCTGCAAGTTGGACGTCTATTTACCAAGAGTTGAGTTTTTGTGTCTCTCTCAAACTTTCGACTTAAAAAAAAAGACTGGCTGCCATTTTTTTTTCGGGTTTCCATCAATTGAGAAGATGCGGCGAAAGACGCGAACGGGAAAAAAGAATGCAAACCTGGTGATGCCTTCTTTCAAGTAATAGAGCAGACATTCGGACATCAGGGGGTCTTCGTTCAGGTTGACGAGATGAGGTAACTGCAAAGAAAAAGGTGCCGACGAGAACAGGAAATAAATTTTTGACTTGGTTCTGCAATTTGAAAACTTGCTTTAACCATTTTAGTTATTTTGGAAGGGGTAGTTTTGTGTGAGAAGCAGACATAGGCAGACCATTTTCGAAGGCCGCCGAGCGCTCCTCTCAATTTATCCTAAACTCAAGCTCCCTGAGGCTATAACTTTTATTTTTAAGGCCAAAACTACCTTCCTGAGGTAGAAACTATTATATCTGACCCCTTCTTCTTTTTTGCAAGACAACCCTTTCTCCCGGCCTAAATGAGTTCTGTTCTTGCCCATCTATGATGTGAAGAAGAGCTTCAGAGTACGTGCCGAGCCATTAAACGTGCTGGCAACATATACCTTTTTGGGACTAAATACACCGAGTGTCGTGCCATCTTCCAACGTGGCAAGACCCATTTCCCGGAGCTCCTCCTCTCGCTGTCTCCGTATTTCTTCCGTGTTGCGAAGCTTCTGCTCCCACGTCTTGTCGAGCTCGGCAATGAGTTTCTCGGAAGCCTCGAAAAAGTTGCGTTTCAAAGAGATTGACTAGATGCGAGTCACACCTTGAGCTGTTCAATCGTGTCGTGATCTTTGGCCGAGAAACGCGGTACTCGTTTGTTCTCATGAGCACTCTGTTCGCATTCATCCAGATCAATTCCCTTTTCCTCAAGTATGTGCTTGAGCTTGAACACCTGCAGAAAAATGTGTTTTTTCCTTTCAAGTGGAAAACTACACCTCTTGTTTAAGCTCGCGGATGAGCTTGGCATTGGGATCTTCGTTGACCACGGCTTGGCAAACGATCTGTTTGGCGCGGTCGGCATACCTAGAAACGATTTCTCTTTCCAAAAAACCAAAAAAGTATCATCTTTAAGAACCCCTTTTTTTCTCCGTTGCTACTATTTTAGCTTTCGTTTCGGGTTTAGCATCAGGAACAAACGCCTTGGAATAAAAGTGGAATTACGACGGAAAATAACAAAAATTGATCTGTAGTCAGAGGTAGAGCAAAACTCTGCCATGATCTAACGAGTCCAATTTTCGTTTATTCTAGAAAAAAGGAAATTGCCTTTTTGTTGAAAGTGAAACTTATGCCGTGTTCAAGTAATTGCCGCGAAATGCAAAATGGTCTCTGAATCTCTAGAATTTAGCAATATTTTCTTTCTCTGATGGCTATTTTGCATTTTGCAGAATCACTTTGAACACGGCATTACTCTTGTGAATGATCATGTTTTTGGCTGAGCTTAATCAGAGTATGAATTTCATGTAAAAAGCATCTTGTTTGAAAAATGGTAGACTTGATTGGAAATGCGTAAACCTCAATGTGCTCAGAGTTTCGTCAAAGTTGATGTCGGCAGGAGAAAGTGCAGCCAACATGGCAGTCTTGGAGTTTCCTCCGAGATTTTCTTTCAGCAGCCAGGTCAACACAGAGTCGCGATACGGAATCACAGATTTTCCTTTTCGGCCTTTTTTACCGGCCTGCAAAAACAAAAACTTGACGTCGTTTCATTTTTCGAATGAAATGTTTGATGAGCGAATAACGAGTGTGTCTGACCAGGAAAGTGTGAAAGATGAGCATCGCAGTTATTTTTCAAAGTTCTATGGTAGTTATTCCCGGATATGAGTATTTGAAAACAAGAAGAACTTGAGAAAAGTTTCTTTCTCGTCGTTCTTATGATACAGTGAATAACAGTAAACGTTTTAGAAATCGAAAAACCGGAGAAAACTAGTTTTTGAGCTTTTTCCTGTACGTTTTCGACGAACTGTTTCTCAATACCCTACGGCGCTTAGCAAACATTTCTTTTTATTTTCGAGTACTCATACCTAGAAATATCTACCACAGAGATTTGGACCCGATTTGCAATGTTCAACACACCTTCCCTGTGAGAAACTGTCGTTTTGTGGAATCGCAGACAAATTCCCAATGACGCACATGGATTTTCTAATGCGATTGTTTTCAGCTCATTTTCTAGCCGCTGAAGCGAGAAACTTTTCGAAACTTGATTGGAAGAAACGAGAAAAAAGAAAATCTTTGGAAAAACCTCTTCGGCGAGTTTGCTGATGACGAGCCCAAGAGTGGTCAAACTCTTGTTGATGTTGGCACCCTCTTTCAACCTCTGGCCCTCGGCCCCGGTCGAGTTGGCTCTTTCGCTGCCCGCAAGATCGACCAGTGAGATTTTGGACACCTAAATTTTCAATTTGTGTGCATATCCGACATTAATGATGGACTGCTCGCAAGAATGGTTCAGGAATGGTTGTTTGATATTAGTTGAAAAAAATGTTGATTTCTCCAAGAGACGGTCCAAAATTTGATCACTGATAGAGAAAGTTGATTCCTAAACGTTTTTTTTCTTGCCGTCAGATTTTCTAGATTTCCGAGAAGAGCTAGTGAAAATTAAAAAACCTTTTCCGTGTCCAAATTCGTCTCGAGACAGTGCTTTTTTTGCGTCAAAACTATAGTGAAGACGGCGTGGGACCGCGAAGAAGTCGAGTTCATGTTGGTCGCCGCCACTGTTCTGAACAAAACGGCAGGCTTTCAATTTCACATGCTTGTTGCAATCGCTACCTGGCCTTGTTTCCTTCGTCCATGAGATTGCAAATGTCGTTGTACGAGCACACGGCCATTTTCGTGAGGTCGTCGACGTACGGACCAAGAAGCGGGTGTTCTCGAACGCGCAAGTTGCCAGTGCTGTTAGGATTCAAAAGGTCTTTGACTCGCTCGCAGTAAATTTCCATGTACGAAACCTGAGATGAAACAAAACGTCTCTAACGGAAAAAGTGAGGGACCACCTCTATGGAACATTGTACATCTTGTTTATTGTCAATCCGAGAGAAGAGGTCGTTGCACAGGCGAGGAATAATACCCATCTCTACTGGATCGTTGGATTTGCCCATCATGGTGTAAGATTTGCCGCTGCCCGTCTGCCCGTATGCGAAAATGCACACGTTGTAGCCCTCGAAAGCGTGTTGAAGCATCTCCATCCCGACGTCTTCGTAGACCTGGAAATGTCTTTTTCAGTCCTGCCCGTTTCATAAAAACATGCATAAAGTTTTTTTTTTTCATGCTCCAATCAAATTTGAAAAGGAAAATAGAAAAATAACATACCTTGTTCTATTGAATCCATGCTCGTGTGGATTTTTTATAGTCTGTTCAGTTTTTGAATGTCAAGTACCTCCGAGATGGCTCAGATATAGCTAAAAGGTATGCTGGAAGTCTCACGATAGACACATTATGGGGCCTTCACGGTCCATTTTGAGAGGTACCTTTGTGAACACATTATGGTACCCTCTCGATTCGTCTGTGATTGCACAATAAAAAAATTTATTATAGGTAAATTACCTCCCATCGAATGAGCATTTAAAAAAATTTGAGAAATATTGAAATGAAAAAAAGTTTAAGGAGCACTTCAAAAAAATAAATAAATTTTATACACCTTGAACACTTAGCATCAGAAAAATTAAAAAAATAGAAAGCAGAGATTTAAAAAATCCTTGTATGGCGGAATTTATAATTGAGTTCGAAAAAAACAACCAAAAAAACTAGAATTTAATTTTTGTTAAGATTATTTATATAATAAAAAAACTTTAAACTGCATCAGCAAACTCAATTGGCTCTAAGTTACGCAAATTATTTTTTTCTATAAGAGGACAAAAAGATACAAAAACCGCAGAAAAACTAAAAAAGCACAAAAATTTAAAAAAATTTAAACTTTGAAAAATTTTTTTTAGTGTTTCTACTAGTTCTACCTTTCACGTCGTATGACCCAGAATTTTATTTCAGAATAAAAAAATTTAATTCTCTGCAAAAAACGAAACGTGAACCCCGTGGCAAGGTTTCATTTTCTTGATATCGAAAAAATTAATACGTACAAAAAAACCACGTGGCAACGTGTCATTTCTACTTATATGACCTGGATCGCATTTCATTTTCGCTTCCCTCACGATTCGTCTTGCTCCTGAATTCTACGTCAAGATGAGTTTCAAACTTCCATAGAACTTCTAATATCCAAAATAATTTTCTGAGTTGTAAGCGCTAGTAGATTAGGCCCGCGGGACTCCCGGAGTGCCGATCCTTTTTGCTTGCAAATTGGATACGCAAAGTCACGCCGAAGCCCATTCCAGTGGCCGAGGCACAAACTGTTGGCAGCGCGATGCTGACAAAGCGATGATGGGACCCCCGCGGAAAATGCCGTTACGGCTTTCGGCGTCTAGGAATTCTAGTTATGACAAGGCCGAGCGGAGCTCTAGCGCACCGCCTAGGTAGTTCTTATGATTGGATAGAGCTTCCCTAACTCACTCATGACTTTACATAGCTAATTAGTCAACAGTTGCGATTCTTATAATGAATATTCGACTTGCTTTTTTTCAATTTTGATTTTATTGCAGAAAGCTTTCAACAAACTTCATCTGTTCATTTCATGGAAATTCGACGAATCTAGATCCATGCCGAACAGAGTTCGATCAACGGCGGTGCCAGCTATACAACACCAGGTACCAGCCCAATGCTCTTAAAAGCAGCTGAGGGTTTTTTTTTGTGTTAAATTGCAAAGGAGAAAAGAAGTAACATTAAACACAATGACTGAAATCGCTCCTCACTAGATAATGAAATGGTCGTATATTCAAAACTAATTGAGACATGTTCAAAGCAGGCTTGCGCGAGGCCCTAATCTAGATTTTCAACCTATCGACGACCTCCGTTCACTTTCATATTTTTTGATAGACTTTGACATGAAACAAGTGAAAAGTAGTATTCATGTAAAAGCTTTTTTCTTCTTTTTTTTTAGAGTTTTTTTTCAGCGTCCTGCGTAGTGAAAAAAATGTAAAAAATTTGAAAATGCGGAGTGGCTTTGAAAGGTCTCGCATGCTGACCAGGGAACGTTTTTTACCCCCCCGGTTGAACTTTTGCTGAAACTTTGCTGAAGTGTACTTTAGGACCCCCTGATTGCAGATCAAGAAGAAAATTTCTCGCAATAGATCTTGTTTCCGAGTTATGGAGCTTCAAAGTGTGCAAAATACGCGAATCAAGCCAAAAAAGCGCTATTTCGGGCTTTTGAAGTGTCCTATCTCGAAAACGAGACCTATTGCGAGAAATTTTCTTCCTGTTCTGGAATCAGGGGGTCCTAAAGTACACTTCGGCAAAGTTTCAGCAAAAGTTCAACCGGGGGGTAAAAAACGTTCCCTAGTGAGAAGGTTCACACACCGTGCTAACACGGGGTCTTAGCGAGTGCCCCCGTGTTAAACCCGTATAAGCACAGTTGGTGTAAGAAAAATATGTAACCCGGCTGTGCTAAAGCGGGTCTCAGTTTGGCTAAAAGTTGCCAAAAGTTCTACCAACTGTTCTTATACACGGGTTTAATACGGGGGCACCCGCTGATACCCCGTGTTAGCACGGCTAGGTTACCCTGCTCAGCATGCGAGCCCACCCCGTTTGAGCGTTTGGGAACGTCGTGTCATATAACCAAATGAGCGAAATTAAAAATCATAAGTAATCGAAAAATGATATAATGTGTAAAATACACACACAAAGGTGAATCGGGAAGTCGATACAAATAGCTACCGGGTAGCAACTTTTTAAAAAGTCAATCGGCGTATGGCAATCGGTGGTCGTTTATATGCGACCGGGTGCTATCTCTATGGTACCTGCACTAACACTAAGAATAACTGACGAGATAAACGCGAGCTCGGTGGCGGTACATTGACTATCTCGCAAAAATGTCGCTTTTTTCTAGGCGCGATCCCGCATTTCTCTCGGCGCGACCTCACAATTTTCTCGGCGCCATCTCGCATTTATCTTGCATTTCGGAAATTTTCAAATTGCAAGAGAAATGCGAGCTCGCGCCTAGAAAAGTGCGAGCTGGCGCCGAGATAAATGCGAGATCGCGCCTAGAAAAAAGCGAGATGTTAGTGAAGAATAACTCTTAGTGAAGAATAACTGCCGAGATAAACGCAAGACGATGGCGGTACATTGACGAGCTCGCAAACATCTCGCTTTTTTTTTCTCGCGCCGGTCTCGCACTTTTTTAGGGGCGAGCTCGCATTTCACTCGCAATTTGAAAACTTTTCTGAAATGCAAGATAAATGCGAGATCGCGCCGAGATAAATGCGATCGCACCTAGAAAAAAGCGACATGTTTGCGAGTTCGTCAATGTACCGTCACCGACCTCGCGTTTATCTCGTCAGTTATTCTTGTGGGTCGGAGGTCGATGCGAGTAGCTAACGGGTAGCGACCTGACATTCGCGATTTCTACCGGAAAATCTGGAATTGCTCCCCGGGTCGTTATTTTTTATTAGCTCCATTCAATAAGACTTTGGAAGGCTTGGGAAGGTGTAAAAAAATTGGTGCTAAATAAACGACCGATGTGTCAGCCAGTAGAAATCGCAATTTTCGGGTACCTATCCGGTATCCAGATACCGATCAGGTTCATCCAGGTACCATAGAGATAGTACCCGGTCGCATACAAATGACCACCGATTACGATACGCCGATTGACTTGAGTTGCTACCCAGTACCTACTTGTACACCCCAAATAATTGCCGATATCGCAGCGGGCCGCTAGCCAAGGCTTCTTGCTGCGATCTCGTCAATATGTCGCTGCGACCTCGTTAAAGTCTCGCTGCCATATCGCTCCCTCTCAAAAATTGGAAGTTTGAAAAACATTTTTTTTTGCTTTATTTTTGATTTTTATGATGAAATCAATCAAATTCATGAAAAAAACATTTTTGAAGAAACATTTTTCAGGGAGCGATATAGCGCAAGACGTTTGCGAGAGGCGAGCGATATCTCCCCCGCTGAATAGCATTTTTCTCGTTGCGATATAATCCACAATATTGGATGTATCTACCTTCCGATTCACCAATGCAAAAAAGGCAACAAACAAAATTAGATCCAGTGAAAGGTTAAACATTACCGAGAAAAACAATAATAAATAAGGAGCAGTTCAGTTCGAAAGATAAGCATGCATCCCATATTCTAGAAAACTGATAAAAAGAAAGAAAAAATATAGAAAAAGGGAAAAAAGTCTGAAATTCGATTTTCCATGGAGCAAAAATGCGGCGTGGTCTGGTTTTCCAAACCGACCGACCGACCGACCGACTCAGGCACTGGTGCGCGCACGCGCAGGGGTACTGATTCTTTTTTCGCCTTTTCCATTGAAATACGGTTTTGAAATATATTTTTTATATTTTTATGATACTACCCAGTGCCCCTGCTCACGTTTTAAAGTTGTTCTGAGGACTTATGAACAAATTTATGAAAAAAAATTGCCAAGTGAAATTTTGATATATTTCAAATTTTCGTGCAATCTAATTGTTATAAACTGGTGCAGAGCAAGGATAAGAGATGAACAGACATGAATAATATTAAATTTATAGCTTTTCAATTATTTAAAAAGCTAAAAAACAAAAGAGACACCCCACGCGTACGCGCATGCGCACTTTTGGAAACAAACACGCGCCGTCAGTGCCTGAGGAATCGACCGATTTTTCCAGCATGCCTTTCTTGTTGCTCAAATGCTTCATTTTATTTTTCATGTTTGTTTCAGCTGTATCTTTATCTGCTTGTTTTTGATTTACGGTAAATATACTTCATTGCGACAGCAAAATGCGAAGGAATTGTTCGTTTTTCCGTTTTCAAACTAACTGATTGGTTTTGACGAAATTTCCCTTTTAAAGCTGAAAAATGCTTTGAGCGACATGTTCAGCGTCAAACTGAATTTTTTATTTGAATCAATCATTATTTTCATTTTCGCAACATCAGAATCACCCAATTTTATGGACTATATCGCAGCGAGAGTAACGCTATACCGCGGGGGAGCCGCGAGCGATATCGCTCGCTTCTCGCTGCGACCTCGCAAACGTCTTGCGCTATATCGCTCTCTGAAAAATTTTTCTTCAAAAATGTTTTTTTATTGAATTTGATTGATTTCATCATAAAAGTCAAAAATAAAGCAAAAAAAAATGTTTTTCAAATTTCAAATTTTTAAGAGGGAGCGATATGGCAGCGAGACTTTGACGAGGTCGCAGCGACATGTTGACGAGATCGCAGCGAGAAGCCTTGGCTATATCGCGTGCGGCCCCCTGCGATATCGGCAATTATGTTGGGTGATGGTATGGCGATGTTGCAGGGGAGAAAAAATATCATTAGAGGGATGAGCTAAACAACATCTGTAAAGAAAAATTTTTTTTTAATTTTTGATGAGTAGGAAAAAAAACATAAAACCACAATAAGTGATTTTCGGCACAGAATTCCTCGTTATTCTCTGAAAAAAAATACTTTAACTATTCTTGAGGGTATAAAGGTATAAAAGTGTTCAAAAAGTAAGAAAAAGTTGCGAGTTAGCGTCGTTCTGTGTATGAACCGAAGACGTCAAATATTACGAAAATTGTGGTCGTGGCGTCGTATTAAGAAAAGTTTAGGGGGGCCCGATAGGGATTTGGCCATTTCGGGGGCTCGATAGGGGGTAAAGTAGGGGCCCCTGCAGGAAGAAAATTTTAGGGACCTCGGAGCTTTTCTTGAACCCCTAAACGATTCGGGGCCCCTATAGGGGGTAATTTTTTTTGAAAATTTGTTTAAGAAGCGTTGTTTGAAAGAGTTAGGGACGAATAGGAAGAAGTGAATTCCAGTGAATATTTGATCCTACCCCTATAGGGGCCTCTTTTAATCAACCCTCGTGGGGGCCCCTACAAGGTACCACAATTGTTCCCCTAATCTTTTCTCAGTAAAAAGAACGCCGTGCGTAAACACAAACTTTTGCTCTACAAAACAGCTGAGAAGACAGCAGAAAACCAAGTCTTGAAGCGAAGATGCTCAATTTTGATCTAATTTGGTATACGGTATTTTAGGCAGCAGGAAAACCGTGACAAGCTGGCGCGGAATGAGCTATATCATCGTTTATGTTTTTTCTCTTTAGTGCGATAACTTCTTCATAATTTTTTGAGTGTTTTCTTATAAAATCATTCTGTGGTAAAATGATGTGCCTTGTTCAAACGCTTTCTTTTTTTGTTATTTCACAGATCTGAAAAAGCTTATTTTTTTCATCGCCAAAAAAATCATTGATAATGCAACAAAAAAATCTATTGACAGGAGAGTTTTTAGAAGAGAAAAAAAAAAATCTTTTTTTCATACCCCTTTAAAAACGCTGAGATTTTTAGTATGGTATGGAAATAGCAGCGCATTTTTCCACTGACGTCATTGGAATTCAAATTCTGAACAGACTCTAAGGCGACCGGACACGAGGACTGATTTCGAGGAAAAATTTGATGAACACACACAGACTGACCTGTTTTTGTGTGGTAAAGTGGGAGTCATTCTTGGAAAAGGACCAGTACGAGTGGTCAAAATTGAAGCTGTGTGTTTCCTTGCCAAGATCTCGTCCGTTGATGGCTGCAATTATTGTTAGTTTGTTTCAAGAAGAAAAAGTTGGGAAAGGAAAAGTAGTTCCCATCTGCGTTCAAATGTTTGCATTTGGAGACAAACGAACGTTGTGCTATTCAATTATCAGCAGACTTTTTTTTAATTACACCACGCTTGGGGGTTCAGCGCCAATAATGGCTGTTTTTTCCTTGTTTTTTTCTGGCTTGTCCGAATGCATTTCCAAACATGACGTGCGGCGCAGACGTCATGCACCACACAATTAGCACTTTATCAAAGCAATCTGACGTCATGTTGCAAGTATAGTTTGCTTTCTCTTGGTTTCTTAACGCTAAAAAAAGTTACTTTTGCTAAGGTTATTAAACTAACTCGTTGTGTTCGCAGTGACTCCAATGATACACTTTGACTCGTTGCCAATCTCGCGTTGGTTAAAAGGTCGCACGCGTACCGCTACTTTGACTGACGACATGTTTCGCGGCGAAGAGCTCGTTCACTAGGCCGATGATGAATCAGTTAGCTTCCTTAATTTTTTTGAATCGTCAATTTCGAAACGACAACTACTTGACAAGATCAGGATAGTTAATTTTTTTGAAAACGGTGAGAGCACAGTTTTTTACAAAGCGCGCCGTAGCGCAATAGGCGTGTCTGTCTACGGTCCAAAGGATCACAAGTTGGATCCCCTCCGCGACCCTCACAGAGGTTTGAGAAAAGTTGGTAGTTGGATGGAAAAAAAAACCACGACAATCCCCAGCTGTCACACACAATGAGGAGCCAATCCACTGACTCTCACTGTTTTCAGGTCCTCGGCGTCGGGGGGCCGATGCTGGACGAACGGTACAAATGCGTAAGAAAAAGAAGTAAGTTTTTTCTACGAAATTTCTCAGCCTCTTGCGAAAAAAAGAGAAGAACAAAAGTGTTTTGGTAGCTTCAATTGAAGAATTTCGTTCAAGTTTTCAAATATCATGAAAAATAAGATGGTTAAAATATTAATGCATGCATGATAACTCATATGAAGTTTCAAAAATCGCTTTAACTTCCAGCAAGTTTAATCCAGCAACTCACGAATTTCGGACAAAGAAAAAAAAACGATGGAGAAAGTTGCAAAAAAAAAGAGATAATACATACACGAAGCGACTTTTTTTGGGGGAGACCTCAAACCCAAATATGGAAAAAAATGTAGAAAAAAAGAGTTTTTGATTACTTTTTACACTTTTATTCGTCAAGCTGACCTTCTCAAAAGGATAAAAAAATCAAAAATTTGTTAAGAAATTTCTAAAAAAAGGAGATAAAATTGAAAAAAATAGTGGTTCGCCTTTGATCTCGATTTCCCGGTGAAAAGCCGCCTCGCGTACGCAACGCCAATCTACCCATCTCGCCTTTCAAGTAGCATAGGATAGACTATAGCGTGCCTCGGTGACGTTTCAGCCGGCTCGTTCGTTTTTTTTTTTTTTTGCTTTGGAATCCTCCTTCATTGGTCGCCCGAGCTTCAATGATTCCAAAAAAAAAGAGAATGACAATGAAGGCACGAATGAATGGATCGCGCGCCCCGTCGGAACCTGTGGCTTCACCTGACTTTCCACCATCTTTTAACGAGCTCATCATTAAACATGTGACAATAAAGAGGAGGAAAAAATAGCTTCCGGGTAGCTACTTCAAAATCATTCGGCATTAGCTAATCGGTAGTCATAAATTAGTCAACAAATATTTATGGTATCTAGATACTATGATTATCCTTTCTGACATTTGCGATTGCTACCTGGTAGCTATCCGGTAACTAGCTAATAAACGACCATCGGTTAGCTAACGCCCATTGTTTGGGTTTTCAAAATGGACACAATTTACAAAAAATACGAGACTTAGTAAACTAAAGTTTGGATTAAAAATGTGACTATAGTCAATTCACGGCTGAATTGGGCCATGAAAAAATAGTTTCGTTTGACATTTTAAGATAAAATATGAACCTAGTCGTTGAAATTTAACCTCATCCAGGACACATCCAGAAAATTTTGTAATGATTCGAGGAATTTTTTTGAAGAGAAGCGTGCGCGATATTTCAGAATTTACGCTCAAGATTTCAAGTTTTGACGCGTTTGTTTTGGGCTTCAAATAGCTTGAAAATGAATATGACGATTTTCAGTACAAGTTTTCCCCAGCTGTGCGTCTGATAAACTCGATTGTTCCTTCCTAATAGAGAAAAAGGAAGTTTTACATGGCAAATTTTGAAAAAAAGGAATATATCGCGAAAAAAGAGTGAAGGTGACTGATGTAGGCTTTTTGGGGTTAAGACAGAAGGATGAAGCTTCATAGGCGGACGGAGAGGTTAGGCCACAGATTGGGCAGAGGGAGGGTGAGCCATTGAGGCGGCGGCGGCGGCTCCGATAGAGAGCAATACGCCGCTGGTTGCCATCGATCGAGCAGAAGACGTCGCGGTTGCTCTCCCATGGCTCCCCTCCTTTTCTCGATGTACTGCTTCTGCAGCAATGACGAATCCGCTCCGCCGTGCGCAGGCTCGAAAGCTATCAGAAGATTATTTGAACTCTTTTAATTATTTTTTGGAGAAGCAGCTGATCGTTGAGACGCTCAACATTCGGCTGTTACTATCACAAAAAAAGGCGCGATGATTTAAAGCCCGTTCTTGATAAACGCCACTTTCGCGAACCGACAAACAACTCTATATGTATTCGTTCGGCAGAATATATCTCTAAAAAAACTGAAGAAGTGTAACATGTGCCTTTTTTTTTTTTTTTCATTTCTGATGAGAAAAAAAACGTCATGCGGTAATATTCTAACGATTTCGGCTTTCAATTTTTGTCGCTAAAGACGTGGAGAAAAAAAAATTGAGCTCTTGTTTGAAAAGTTGTCTCCTAATTTTAGGTTAGTTTTTAAAAAATTCAAATTTTGTTAACTTTTGTCAAGTTTTCTTTTTTTTAACTGGCATTGTTAAAAGGGTTGAATTTTTTGACCGCCTGGATATATTTTTATGAAAGTTTCAACCTATCAACAGAAGAACCTCAAAAAAATAAAAAAATTGGCGGCATTTACGTCTTGCCATTTGAGATTGGAATTTTGAGGACCTTGTCGTTTTAATCGAACAAAAAAGATGTTTTTTTGTATTTCGATATTCATTCAATTCTCTATCCATTTCAAACCCAAAATACTCGCAGGTGTGTAAATCATTACCCAACTAGATTTATTCAATCAGTCAAGGTGCAATTTTGTTGTATCGTATGAAAGTGTGCTCTTGCATGCCGTGCGTCAGCGTCTCCATGTTCAGACGTGCCTGCAACGTTGTGCTGTCCAGCAGCGTCCATTCGCGGACCAACTGAAATTTTCTCGAATGAAAGTCTCTAAACTATCTCTCAAGAGAATAGTTTCAAAAAAGCAACAAACATCGTGGACCGGCAGGTCTCGGCTAAAACTGATCCGGCCAATATCGCGAACACGCAACCTCAGTTGATTGCCTATCACCGGCCCTTCTTCAACAGTTACAAATCCTGAAAGATGGTTTCGTTCTGCCCGGAAAAGCATGAACTTATTATTCAGAGTTATAAAACACTATAATCTCATTTTTACCGCCACCCGACAAGGGCACCGTACTGATCCTATATGGAGAAGCAGCTGATTGTCGGAAGGCTCAAAACTCGTCTACCACTATCTCACGGAGGGACTATCCAACTCTTATTATTGACTACGATTCAGAATATAATCTTTTCTGAAGATTAAACAAATTTTTAATTGTGGAAACTATCATTTATGCTCCGGAATGGAAAAATGAAACGAAATCGGAAATAATTTTTTTAGATTTTCGAGAAGCCCTCGCAACGAGGAGGAAAGACATGTGCGAAATTTGTCTCGAGAAACTGAAAAGTCGCGAAAAACTGACCATTGCTCATGACGGTGGTGAGCGCGACCTCTTTAGTGTTTGGCTTGACGGAGATATAGCCGGACTCTGAGTGCAACTCGTCCCGATCATTGATTGACCACGCAAACGCCCTGTCGAGCACTCATTACTTTATCATCTTTAAGTTATTTGAAGAAAAAAAAAACATTGTGGTATAGTCAATCCTTCCCGACTTAAAAGGCGAGATGGGTAGATTGGCAAGGGTGATGCGTTGCGTACGCGAGGCGGCTTTTTGGCGAAGAGTTTGAGGTGAAACGCACGCATAGAAAGAAGTAGAAAAAAAAAAGCAAGTTTCCCATTATTTTTACACTTTTTTTTCAGTTCAAATTTCCTCGAAACTTTGAAAATGTAAATTCATCGAAAAAAACTTTGAAGAATGAAAAATAAATGGTGACTCGCGTCTCCGCCAAGAGACACCTCGCGTACGCAACGTTGGTCAATCTATACATCTCGTCTTTCGATTTGGGAAAAATTGACTATACACAAACAAAGAAGCCGATCACCAAGTTAGTAAAATTATTTTTGCTCTCTTCCTATTGAGGAGAACTGGCCCCAATGTGAGTATGTTCCGAAAAAGAAACGAAAAACCGTTTCGTAAGATTCTTCAACTTCAAGACAAGCCATTACCCCGAAAACCTCAACCAGACCGAAAAAAATGTCCCTTCTCCTCATAACTTGTAACCTCTTTGTATCATTCATCATGATTTTTTCTACGCTCCACGCGACAGCGCTGAAATGACTCGATAGGTGTGAAAATAGGTTCTCACTGAAGAGAAAAAAAGACTAACGTGTAGTTCAATGCTTTCTGAGCAGTCACTTCATCGTCGGGAATCGAGATTTCGACTTGCTCGCCAAATGTAAATTTGGGGATGGTGGGAAAAATGGCCTGAAAGTGATTCTTTTCAGATGAGAGACGTTAGGGCTCTCAGGATCAACTTTGCCTCCGTGCTCGGATCGCCACTTGCCTATCAGGAACGCCACCGGCTGAAGAGAGGAAGGTAATCTGCGAAGGTCATATTCTGCACAAAAAAAAAACTGAAATTTGAACAGAATTTCAGAAACCAACTTGGGTCGACAGAGCCGCAAACGCCGCAACTCCGTCTACAGCTCCTTTTGATGTACTCTGTGGATGTGCAGGCCTGCGCATTGACCGCCACCCAGTCCCGACAATTGTTGTCAAAGTCTCGACAGTCGCCTGGAAGATTATAAAAGGTTTTAGTTTTAGTTTATCCTTCTTTCGAAAGTCCAAAAGGATTACGAATGCTGTCTTTTTTCGGTTTTTAAGATTTGAAAAAAATCTTTCGATTAAAAAATAATGTAAGTCGGATGGTCCCATCGCGATACCTTCTAAGGTATATCGCAGGCTCTGAAGTCTCACGATGGTAACTCGAGGATATTTCTGAGGATTTTGAGCAAAATGAGATAGACTTGAGAGAAAGACCCTCAAGGACCTCCGATATGGCTCAGATGAAGCTAAAAGGTATGCTGGAAGTCTCACGTCGGACACATAATGGGGTCTTCACGATCCCTTTTGAGAAGTACCTTTGTGGACACATTATGGTACCCTCTCGATTCGCCTGTGGTGGATGACTTGCGAACTGGACCTACTGGATTCAACTCCAAAAAAACCAACGTCGCAAAAAATTTTCTTGTTTCACTGATTAGTTTCAAAGGTAACGAAAACAAAGAAACTCAACCTTGAGCGCCTACTACTTGACAAATCACTGCCAAGACTAGAAGTATCAGCATATCCCAAAATATGAAGAGCGGTACTTGTTCGTTTTTGGCAACCCAGCAAGTCGTTTCCTGAATTGCGCACGTTTAATAATTAATGGTAAGAATTCTCAAATAAAACAAAATTGGAGAAGAAAATTGAAACAAAATTAAACCATTAATGGTTGGCCGTGGTTAAAAAACATGCAATAAAAAAATTAATTCTGCTCATTTGCTTCCATTTTCTTCGTTTGAAACGACGGGTGGCGGCATTTGCAGTTCATGTGCAAGTCGCTATGTAGAAAAATTATCGCACCTAGTGAAAAATTTTTTTTGTGGAAATTGAATTAATTTTTCCCTTTGCCAAATAACCGTCCTTGAAAAAAAAATTTAAAATTATTCAAAGATTTTATTTTTTCAGTAAGAAACTTACTAGGAAACTTTTTTCAGCCCCCGGTTTAACTTTTGATGGAACTTTGCTGAAATGTACTTTAATACCATCTGATCCCAGAACAAGAAAAAAATTTCTCGCAATGGACCTTGTTTTTGGATTGAGACGCTTTGAAAGCTTGGAACAGCGCTTTTTTGTCATAACTTTCGTATATTTCAGACTTTGAAGCTCCATAACTCGGAAACAAGACCTAATGCGAGAAATTTTTCTATGTTTTGAAATCAGGAAATCCTAAAGAACACCTCAGCAAAGTTTCCTCAAAAGTTCAACCGAAAGGGGGTGAAAAACTTTTCCCAGTTAGGCAAAATGGGAAAGTACGACTTTGAATCAGTTCAAAAAACAATACACAGAAAATAAATTTTACCCCAATTAGTAAGCTAGAGGCTGACTCCCGAAAATGAGATGATTTGCAGGAAAAAAGGGACAAAAAGTTCAATCAAAACAGAGTTGAGTAAAATTACCTCTATTTTTTGGTTCGAAAATCACAAAAGTAAAAACTAATAGATGAGATCAGATCAGAAAAGATCCAAGATTACTAAAAGCTGATTTTTGAATGTCTCCTTAAACAAACGGACATAAGTCTGGCAAAAGAAATCGAAAGCGGTTGATATGTCTCAAGTGAAAGAGGGCGACAAAGAATAGAAAGCAAGAAGAGAAAGTCTCAACAGCCCTTCAATCAATTAATTTCGACCTTCTTCCCTGTTTCAGCGTTTTATCAACGGTTTTGGCGAAGCGGCGGCCGAATGGCGGCCGCGGCAACGGTGGGCAGAACGTTCGAACAAGTTGTCACACATCTTTACATCTTTTCTTCCTTTTTCTAGTTTACTTCTTGCCGCACTACTTTTAGGGCATCTTCGTCGTCGCCGTTGGCATAAAAGGCAAGACACGAGGACCGTGACAAAACGAGGCGCCTTGCGTAGATGTCAGAGGAACAGCAAGTTTCGTTCTTCTAGCCTAGGATTAAGGACGAATGGAAATGTGCGAAGGAACATGAACAGGGACCGCAGATCAAATTTTAAAAATTCAGTTTCTGAATCAAGTTTCAAAATATTAAATAGCTGTGTTGCTCTGACTTCCGAAACATCTCCTTTCTTGAAAAGTACTGAAAATGAAAAAAAAAATTGGTTAAAAGTAGAGTTCGCAAAACCGATCATTCAAGAGTCTAATAGATGAATTTAATTGGTATAGTCTGTTCAGATTTTGAATGTTAAGTCTTCGTTTGAGCTCCGCCCTTAAAGACTCGACAAACCAATCAGAAAGCGGGCCATCTACAGAGCGCTTTCGAGTGGCGTCATTGCGTTTGACATTCGAAGCATGAACATAGGTGTGTCTCCAAATTCAATGTAACTTTTAAATTTCTCTTACCGCGCATCAGTTCGACCTTTCCAGTTTGACGCTCTGTAGGTTTAAATTGTGCATACACCGACCGCGGTTTCTTGGCTATACATCTTCATCAATAACGAATTTTGAAGAAAAGTAGGAAAATTAGCAGAAAAACATGGCCAGGACATTGAAAGATAAAAAAATTTATTTCCAACAATAAAAAAATTTTTGCAAACGTCAGCAAGTTTTTGAAAAAAATGGCCTAATTTGAGAAATCTGCCTTTAGTAAATAAAAATATTGTGTTTTTCTGGGACTTTTCATCTATTAAAAATCGAAAAAAACCGTGTTCTTTTTATCACGTAGAAAAAATGATCTAGTAGTATGGCCAGAGGAGTCGGCGCAGTGGAAAGCGGACGGCTCCCTGTAGATCTGAGCTGGAGTGGCCGAGAGGTCGTTTGTCATATACTTTCCAAAAAAACTGATTTGGTGAAGAATCGCGAGCCTGAAATTCGTTCTTACCATCGACAAAAGTTGTAATAATGTTCGACCGTTTCTTGTTTGCGTTGAACGAAATATTCACGTGGGAAAGTTTTGTCGGTTTTTGTAGCAGTTACTGGGAGGAAAAATTTTCACAAAAGGTTTTTTTTTGATCATGGTCTATGGGACCAACAGAACACACGATGATGCATGCCTTCATGATTATTTTCCCGATATCGGTCCCCACGCGCTGCGTCACCGCCGAACGCGTCTTGCTCACGCCTCCGACAACCGCCTTTTGTCGCCTCCTCAGCACAAGGCGCACGTTTCGTGCCTCGAAAATCATGGGTCAGTCGCAGTCTTACGAGTTGAACCACGATAAGCATGATCGCCAAGAAGAAACTCCAGTGCGTGGCCTTCGCAGGACTAGTCGATCCGACGATTCTGTCTTTCCAGTGGTAGGAAAAAGCTTTTCTTTCGTACCTTTTTTTCATTTTCAGAACTTTTTTGTTCAAATTAACTTTTCACTACCTTGTTCAGTCGTCGAAAACGAGTAATTTTAAAAATAAAAGTGAAAAAATTCACAATTTCCAACATTTCAGCTGCATACACTGATTCAAAACTTTCATCAAATAATAAAAAATCGATTTGAAACTTTTTTTTTGACTATAATATCATCCATGTAATGAAAAGGTGAATAACGCGAGACTAGAATCAATCATTCGCACTGTCCACTTTTAACATCATTTTTCCACGGTTCTCCTTTTTTCAATTTGATTCAAAGACTGAAAGATTTCAGACGCATCCAAGAGCCCAAGAAGATGGCTTCGACTACCGCGAAGACGACCTGAGAGAACGAATCCGGAAATCTGAGCTTCGCGAAAGGAATGATGAGTACGCTCAAAGGCTGCGCGGAAATTCTCAGGTTTTTTTTTGATCATTTCATTCATGCCTATCCAGCACTGTTGGAAGCTTCCGGCGCTGGATGATTGCCGATTCACGGTGGGCTTGAGTAATTTGAAAAGGGTCCTAAGACGAAAAAATAAGACGATACCTGGTTGATCAAGCGCACAGATAGGACACGTATCTTGGAGTTTCGCCGTGAATCGGGTTTTAGACAATCGCTTATTATTTCGAGCGCATTTTACCAAAATACCATACGAAGGCCAGACGCTTTGAACAGGTATGCATAGGGACCGCAGGCCGATTTTTCAAATCTATTCAAAAATTATGTTCTTGATACTGCTCCATAGAGGTGAATGTATAAATTCATAATCCGTTTAGTTTTCGAAAAAAGGTTAACTTAGAAAAAAAAATATGGTCAGAAAAATTTTATCGTCGGCAATTTTTTCTGCAGCTCCTTTATATTCGGCTATCTTTTCACGGTTTTTTGCGGTTTTTTTGTCCCCAGACTGTGCTGAACATAATTCCTTACTAATGTCATGACTTCCACATAAAAATAAAAATCAAAAAGTGAAATAAACCTTCCAAATACCCTGGAAAAATTTTTTTACTTTGAATGTTACTTCTTTTTCCAAAAAAACCGTTTTCAACAACTAAATAAGCCAGAAAACAAAACTAATTTTAATGTTTTTTTTTTAGAAAACACAAGTTACACAGATATTGAATAAAGTTGAGAAAAAAACGAAATTTTCGAGGTTAAAACGCGCCAAGTACACCCAAACGCGCAAAGTTTGATTCGAAAAACGACTAAAATTGCGTGCAAAAACGAACCAATCTTTTTAAGGCAAAGCCGGGGTTCGCCCATTTTTTTTTCAACAATTTAAAATGACACGAAAAAACTTATAAGAATATTTCAGAACGTGATCCGTGGATGTTTTTGCTGGGAAATATTTTTAAAGCCAAAATTGGAATGCATCACTTGTTTATAAAATCGTTTTTTAACACTGTTTCCGGCAAAATTTATTTCTTAAATTCTTTATCGATGTGTCCACTAATTTTATAACTTTTCTCAATTTTTCGTTACACAATGGAGGACTGTTAAAAAAACATATCAAAAAAGCAGATATGTATATAGTTTCTGAGAAATCATCGTTTTTGTTGTTTTAGTCAGAGATATGTCTCAAAAACTCACGAAAAGACTAGAAAGGCTTCCTAGTTATCAAGGTTTGTCAAACGATGTCGATTATAGCCGATTCACGGCTAGCTTGGGACGCTGAGGGGGCGTGGCCTGTCTGCTCTCTCCACCAGCCATGCACTTTCTCTTTTATTTTCGTGTCATAACCCTTTTATCGATGGCTCGAGCCAGCCGTCAAAAAGCTATAGATGTAGTTGTAAAAGATTTGACTTTTTCTTTTTTTTTGAGCGTATAAAATGAGAAAAAACGGATTTCGCAACAAATAATGGCGCCTTTCTTGAGGAGCAGTGGGCGTGGCTCTACGGTCCAAAGCTGTATAGAGGAGAATTTTTTCGCGAAAGTTTTTTAAATATCAACAACAGAGTAGAGAAAAGAGTGTGCAACACCAATTTTGATTAAGAAATCGATATCTTGATCAGGTACCCGCCTACCCATTACCAACTGCGCCCGAAGAGCCCACCAAGTCGCCCACCAAATCGACGAGAGTGCCTAAGGTTTTTGGATTGCCAAAATAAAAAAAATTCAGCCAACGTGCATTGTAGATGAGACTCGAGTCACAGCAAAACGATTCCATCAAAGTTCACATCGAGAAGAGAACACCAGAATTAGATGATCAACTCGGCGTATCCAATTTTCTGCCCCCTTACAAGTCGGAGAAAGAAAAAAAAAGACCAGCTCCGCATTACGATGATGTCGCTTCAGAAAGCTTTCTTCCAGAGGAGACGACGAGTTTTGTTGGCGTCACTGAGCACAAACCTCCCAGGTGGACGAAACGCTCATCCTGGAAGGCAGTTTCTTTGGAAGCTCTCCATCGCAGTCCAGAGACGTGCGAACAAGGAAAACAGAATGATAGTATGGTTCTAACAAGGACAGAAAAGTCCTTGTTAGATAGTTTGCCTATCATTGAAAAAGGTGGTAGCAGTCCGACAAGGTCCCATCACCCACATTTTGACTACTGTCCACAGCAGCCAACACGGAAATGTGTATCAACACAAAGTTGTGAAGAGCTGGAAAGAACCCGAGAAGTCCACGAGTTACCGCTAACGCCTGATAGAATCCAAAAAGAAGAAGAAGAAGAAGGAACAACAAGGCTTGACCAAGTTTTCTACACTGAACATCATCGAGCTATTGTCGCAGTGGAAGGCGGAAACAAGGAGCCAAGAAAGATTCTGGCAAGTTTCATTTTAAATTGATGAATAAATTGAAAAATAAGTGTTTCCTGCCGTAATCGGCTTTTTTGTGCATCACTGCAAGTTTTTTATGTGTTTATTTTTTTTAAACGAACCGTCGAAACTTCGCGTCGAACCGAGGGAGACATTTTATTGCAGAGTCAACAACAACGGGCGACACAGATTGTGAGCATTAATGTCAACTGCAACGACGATGAGAATCGGCCAGAGTTTCCACAAACACCGGCACAAGACGACCCGAAAAAGATGACTAAGTCATTGAAGACGCCAACCGGCTTTCTTCTTGATTCTCCTCAAGAGGAGGTGGTGGAGCAATATTCTTTTGCCGTCTTTGAATAGTAATATGATGAACAAACGAGTGGTTCTTTTTTCTGCCAATTTCAAAGTTGAGAATCGAATAGGGGCTGTACTTTGAATCGTTTGAGTAATCGTCAACGACAATTGATTAAAACTTTTAACATTCAAAAAGAAAAGTTTGATTTGGGTCTTGTAAGTTTTTTTTTTTTGATTCTTTTTCAAATTAAAAGCTGAAAGAAAGATATCTCAAATTTTTAAGATGTATGCCGTGTTAACTGCAACAATCTTTAAGTCTTGATTTCTCTTTGCGCGGTAATGTAATTTTATCTTTCCAGAAGCTGTTCTACATTCCTCACATGGAGACAATCATTCTCGAACACCGGCCTCGCTTTTCTTCTTATGAGAAGCTCGCCGCATGAACCAACTTTTTTTGTTTTTTTTTTGCCAGCCATTTGTAAAAATTGAGTATTCCGGTTGGGGTTTGAATAAATTTTTTACTGCAAAAATGGCACCAAGACCAACTGCCGAGATGAGAGCTAGGTCGCTGGCGATACATTGATGTCCTTGAGAAAGTTTATGCTTAGCGGGCGGCGAAGAATTTCATTTGCGAATTTTCAATGTACCGCCTCCAACCTCGCTTTTCTCTCGCGCCGGACACGACGTTCATCTTTAGAGGGTCAATTCATTCATGAGCAAATGTCCCTGTCCGCTCGACAGTCGGCTCCCGGAGCCGCCAAGAAGAGTTTGCCGTTGTGGCACACGCAAAGCTGCATCTGAGGCGTGCCTCTCCCGTCGGCTCTGTGCAGCTTTTCCATAAAGATGGACGCCGACTCCAGTCGAATCTCGCCCTGTACTACTTTATCTTTGAAAAAAACATTTTTTTTTCCATCAATCGAGGCGAACCGTTTTTCGTTTGACAGTTACAAGGTGACAAGCGTACCGTTTTGGAAGAGATGGCCACGTCGAGCAGCGAGTTGACGTTGACTTCCCCGGCCGCAGCTAGCAGTTCAATGTCTTGCGCGGCGTCGACGGAAACGCTTCTTGTTGGAGATTCTAGTCTGGAAAATCTTGGTGACACCTCTTGTCTTTCGATTCGAATGACGGAAAAAAAAAAACTGAACCTCAACGGAGTATCGGGCTGTGGCCTTATGATTGCCGTTTGAATAGCTCCTTCGAAAACACTTCCTCCGTCATCTGAAATTTGGAAAAAAAAAATGTGTTTTTGTATCTTATTCATTCTACAAAATGAAGCAAATCCGGTTTTTTCAATTTTTGGGGAAAAAAATAAATTTTTTTCCAGAAAAGGAAATAATTTTTTTAAAAAATTATAGCATACTTACCGAGGATTCTCAAATTTTCCAGTTTGAGCCCCAACTCGTCGGAATCGGCAAAGAAGAGTAACTTGCTGTCCTCGTCGAACACCTACAAAAAGCAGTTTCTTTTTTTGAAAAAAAGTTGCAAGAAAGAGAATACCAACCTCGAAGCGGTCGCAAATGATCTGTGCCTTTCCTTCTGGCAAAAGACTTAGTCTTGACGAGATGGATCCGGTCGAGTTGCGTGCTTGGAGGTTGATTCCCTTGAAGGAGTCTATCGTCATTGTTTCATCCTGCAAAATGTGGAACAAACATTTATTTTCAAGGATATGTCAAGGCTGACCCGCAGCGTGCTGAGTTCGGAAAAATGAACTGGCCTGTCGAATTGGGCTCTGCCTTGTACTCTAATGCCTTCTTGCTCAATCTTGAGAGCTCCGATTCCTTCCTGCACGAGAAGTTGAAATTTAAAAACGTGCAAGTGCACAAAAAAGGGTTACCGTGGAAAAATCGAGAACAGTGACAATCCAAACTGTGAGAGCCACGTTGAAAATTATGACAATCGTGAGAACCAATATGAATATGTACAAGAGTCGTTTCCTCCACCCGTAGATTCCGACTCTGAAGCCTTTCACGCTCTAACAGTTTATGGCCGAATCGTATTGAGTCTCATCACAGAAAAAGAAAGTTTTCCTACAAGAGGCAGACAATTAAAAAAAAAAAAGAAGAACAAGAAAGAGTCCATTTCAAATTACTTAGATTATTGAGTTTGAAAAGACCCTCAACTTTTTCCAAAAAAAAACTTCAGAAAAAAAAAATTATGAACCGATAAATGTCAGCATCCGGCATGGATTTGGTGGTTGATTGGACGACGGTCGTGTGGGAAGGATAGGCGGCGTACGACGAGCGCATGTTGGCTGGATGTTGAGTGACGTTGCGACTTGCCGGCGTCGCGTACATGACTGGAGTCGTCACCGAGTGGTGCGACACGGCTCGGGGAATCGCCTCTTCATTGAGAGACCACACGGCTTCGTCTGTCGCCACCCCATAGACTGGGTAAGAACGCATCTCAAAACTGTATCAAACCTCACATTTTTTATCACAAGTTAATTTGAAGATAAAGGATGATAGAGAAAAAACAGTTCTTACGCTTAAAAAGGCCTTTGGATAACTTTAGAAACTTGAAGCCCTTAACCTCGAACTCTTGAAGTAGGAGATTTATTCATTTTTGTTGGAAAAAAAATGTGACATATGAAAATGTTGACCAAAAATTGGTCAAAAGATCTTTTTTTGCAGACTTCATTAAATACGTCGGTTGACCAGTGTAAATATTCTTGCCGGAAAAAAAGTATTTTGGAAGAAAATAACTTTATTTCTTTGATAATTTTTTTTTGAATGAGATTAATTAAAGGAAAATCGATAACACAACGCGACAAATAGTAGATGGAAGGGGTGAAAGGCGAGCAACGAAACTTTTACACTAGCGGATCGCGTGGGACATCTGTTCTTCAGTAGCAACGGGAACTCCCTGCTAAACCTGCCTTTCGTCAGTTTGCTCGATGGAAATATTGGTGGTCAATCGACGTGTCCATAGAATGAGCTGACAGAGTGCACTCTCAAATTTAATCGCGATAAGCTAACGATCACTCGATGAATAACATACAGAGAACTTTTGGTATTTCAATACTATTGGTGTAAACTATTTCAATTCTGTCTTGGTTCGCGAGGGCTAAGGAAGCCTTAGAAGTATACAAAGCTATCTCATCGCGTCTCCTTTTTTTAGACTGACTGTGTACATACCTCGATTGACCTTTGTTGAATGTACTCATTGAGCTGTGATGAAGGATATTGACCAAAAAGCTTTTTTTATTATCTTTTTTGATCATTTTAGACAGAGCTGTGCGTTGGGCCGAGGTTGTTGGCCGAATCGGCCCCAATCGTTGAAATCGCGAACTTTTATCTCTCATTTTTTTTTTCTAAATAACATATTTTCGATCACTCACTTCCCCGTTTAAACAGTCTATGAAATTTTCGAGAGAAAAAAGTTCGAAAAGTAGCAATTTTTTGACCACTTCGCGACCGCGTTGCAACACTATGGCCAGAGCCAGAGCACAGCTCTGGTTTTAGATCATTTTTGCAGACTCTAGCATACAACGATCGCCGTTTTTGGGCGATATAGTTTACAACGAGTTTTTAGTACGAAAAAATGAACAAATTTGAAGAAAAAAAAATTCACGGCGTTCTTGTCAGTGACAGAAAATGCAGAAAAAAAATACCAGGGGCGGGCGCCGTGAAACGTACGACTACAGTAGTTTCGATCTGTTCAGGACCTGTTTTTGGATTACAAGGCGCACCCTTTAAAGATCTCTCAAGATTTACGGTAAGAGTTATTTGAAAAAAAGCATGTATTTGGCTTTTTACTTTATTAATACTTCGTTTGACGTTTTTTCTATGAGCAAAAGTTATTATCCAGTTCTTTTGACGTTGTTTGGAACCAGTTTCGTGCAAATTAGAGCCAAATTGAATTTGCTGATGCATTTTGAAGATTTTGTTATATGAACTATTAGGTTGGCATGAAAGAAATGCGGGTCGTTTTTGTCGGCTTCTAATTCATCCAAGAAGCAATATTATTTAAAACAGTATTTTTTGTTGAAGATGAATTGTCCTTGTGCGTCATTATATATACATAATTTCAAAGAAGAACACGACGTTAAAAAAAAACCTTTTTGTAAAAAAAAATTTCGAATTGATGATTACAAAACAAAAACATAAAAGATTGTTCTGGTAGGTTGCCTCGCATCATAAAATCAATAAAAATATGAAAATTTTCAGAACAAGCAGAAAGTTGAGAAGAGTACCGTAAAAATGAATAATTTTTTATGCCTTGGAAATTTAACTTCAGAAAAACGATGAAAAGATAGAAATAAAAAATTGAATAACCTTGAAGGGCGAAATATATAATATAGTTTGAAAAACCAACAAAAAATTATAAAAAAAAAACTACAAAGTGCCATGTTCAATTTGACTCCAAACTGCACGACACCCGTTTCACTTTAAGTGAAAGTAACTGGATAATGACAACAACCATACAAAAAACAGGCCAAAAAGAATACTAATAATTATAAAAGTTAAATGGAATCGTATTCCTCACGGCGTTTTTTTTATTACTCAGGCACTGGTGCGCGCACGCGCGGGGGTACCGATTCTTTTTTTCGCCTTTTTTTCACTGAAATACGGTTTTGAAATAGATTTTTTTATATTTTTTTGTGATACTACCTTGTGTCCCTGCTCACGTTTTAAAGTTGTTCCGAGCACTTTCGAACAAATTTATGAAAAAGAATTGCCAAGTGAAACTTTGATATTTAAAATTTTTGGGCAATCTAATTGTTATAAACTGGTGCAGAGCAATGTTAAGAGATGAACAGACATGAAAAATATTAAATTTATAACTTTTCAATTAGTTAAAAAGCTAAAAACAAAAGAGACACCCCGCGCGTGCGCGCAGCAGGCGGCGCGCATGCGCACTTTTGGCAACAAACACGCGCCGTCAGTGCCTGAGTACGCAAGGTCAAGACTTCTCGTAAATTATGATGCTTAGGGTGTAAGCACACCGAGACGCACTATCTCATACTCAAAATTGTTTTTTTCAATTTTAGAATTCGCAATTTTAGGATAATAACTCCTGAAATGTTCGAAATCTTGTCAGTTTGAAGAGTATTATGTGAAAAAAACATTCACTTACGTTTAAAAAAATTAGGAACGATTTCGGAGGGGGAAAAACTCTAAATTACTGATTACAAAAATTAAAAACAAAAAAATTATTATGAAGGTAAATTAGCTCCCATTGAATAAGCAATTATAAATACGAAAAAAATATTGAAATGAGGGAAAAATCGAGGAGCAAATGAAAAAAAGAAACATTTTATATACCTTGAAAACCTAGCTTTAGAAAAACAAATAATGGATAGAAAGCAGAAATTTTAGAAAAAAACCTCGTATGGCGAAATTTTTTTTTGATCCAAAAAACCATCAAAAAACTAGAAAAAAATATATAATTTAGATGATTCATATAACAAAATCTTCAAACTGCATCAGCAAATTCAATTTGGCTCTAATTTACACGAAACCGGTTTCAAAATACGTCTAAGGAACTGGGTAATATCTTTTGCTTATAGAAAAAACGTCAAACAAAATATTAAAAAAGTAAAAAGCAAAAATTATGCTTTTTTTCAATTAACTCTTTCCGTAAATCTTGCGAGAGCTTTAAAGGGTGGGTCTTGTAATCCAAAAACGGGTCCTGAACAGATCAAATCTACTGTAGTCGTACGATTTAGAGAGGCCCGCCCCTAGTATTTTTTTTCTGCATTTTCTTTCACTGACAAGAACGCCGTGTTCTTTGAACTCTTCGGTAAAACTGGAGATTCCTCCATTTTGCGAGTCTGTTCATCAGAAAATGGGTCCTGCACAGACAAAACTACCGTAGTCGTACGAATTACGGCGCCCACCCCTGGTCTTTCTTTTCTGCATTTTTTACTGCCAAGAGCGCCGTGCTTCTCGCAATACGCATGGCTCGCCCCGGAAGCATACATGCAATTTTTCACATTCTGAATGAAGCTCAAGGCTTGAAATTATAGGGCTTGTTCTTGTTTTCGAGCCCAAACGACGACGATGACAATTACGAAGCGTCACTCTAGAGGAATTTTAATATTGCATTCTAGATGCCTCTTGAGAGGGATGTGAGCTTTTTTTTGCAGAACAATGTTGAAAAGTGAAAACTTGACAAGACATTTTCCAACAGTTTCATTTGATGATGAGAAGTGTAATGAAAATTGGCTGAGAACAAGGCTTTTTTGCAAGGAAGCCTTTCTTCAAAATTGTGATTCAAGTTTGCGAATAGTCAAGCTTTAAATTACTTGCGGCGACGTCCGGCGCGTTCAAGAAAGTCGGACAACTCGAGAGAGTGCTCCAAGTCGTGGGCCGGCGACAACGATCTTTTCCCAGCATCAAAAAGTCGGCTGTACATCTGCATAGGTTCACTTGTTTGCCACGTATAAATGAATTATGTATATATGTATATATGTATACATAATTGTATACATATATACATATATATATATATATATATAATTCTGTAAAAGTTCAAAGTTTTCTTACAAAATAATATTAAAGCTTTGATGACTGAAAGAACTGAAAGAACCTGAACTTGACCGCCAAGGTCGTTAGCTACAGAAACTTGTCGCTTGCCAATGTCCAACAGGTTTCGCATGTTTCCAGCGTCGACTTCGACGTCGAACGAAGGCGACACGTGCCTTTTGAGTTGGCTTCGAGACCGCTTGAACTGCATTTGCTGAAAAGCTCGTTTTTCTCAATTTGACTTGCTTGTACAGTTCATTCAACTTTTGCTACTACAATGCTCCACATAATGTTAAGTCTACCCATGAAGTTCGAGGAAAAATTCTTTTCTAGAGTTCATGAGTTGGTTTTTTATAATAACGATGTATTTTAAGATGAAGTGAAAAGAAAGAAAGAACCGTATGAAAAGTTTGTATGAGTGAGATTTATGCGGAGAACTTGTTTTGAAAATGAGCATCTTGATAAGAAAAAAAGTATAAAATGTAAAAGGCGAAATTTATCAGTTCATATAAACAAAAGTAGCAACAAAAAAACAAAAAAAAGATTCGCCCGGGGCGTCCCGCTTGAGACGAGCGCGCCATCAAATCCTGAGATGAGAGAAATCTACTTCAAAAAAAATCGTTGGCGGTCCCTACTTGTAAATTTTAAATTGAAAATTTTTTTGGTTTTCATTTTGGAGAGCGATATGGCGCAAGACTTTCCCGAGCTGGCAGCGAGAGGTGAGCTACACGCTTTTACAGGTTGTGCAAAGGCAGGCCCATCAGCCTATCGGCCCCCGCCATTTTCTAAGCCTCTCCCGGCCTTAAGGAGGCCTTAGTAAAAAAAATCAAGTCTGATATTAAGCTTTTTTTTAACGAGAAAAGTGATGTTTTGACTTATTTTTTTTCTTTTGGACTTCAACAGAAACTAGGATTTAACCAGTGAAAACAAAATTTCGGTGAAATCTCTCAGCCATACGCACAAGCCTACCGGTATAGTCTGTTCAGATTTTGAATTTCAAGCAGCTAACTCCACTCCTAAGGCTGCAATAAGTTTCGCGTTAATGTTTTATCTATAGATGACGATGGCCCTTTTATAAGGCTGCATTTTTGACTTCTTTTCAAAGTTAGTCCCGCACAATAAAACATCGACGAGAAAAGGTACCGTCTCAGCAGGAGCGGAGTTAGCTTCGAAGCTTCGAAAAAAATTCGAAATTTTAAAAGACCATAGTATATAGCGAATATCCCATAATATTGGCACCAGCCCCACAGCGTCGCATGTAGCCGTGAATCGGCTATAAACACGATGTGAAACTTCGGACACCACCAAACGAAGGGGAGACGCTCCAATTTTCTTGATTACATGGCGCGGAATGGGATATATACTCATATTCAATTTTAGTTCGTGTGTGAGAAATGGAAAACTTTGGTTTTGGTCATCACACGGGCGTATTTATTTCTCCAACAAGAAAAATCTTAAGCTTAAAACTTTTCCACCCACCTGAACCTCACTTTCACGAGCTCTCAAACAATTAAAAAAAAATTCACCTCTGGACCATATCCATACATGCCCACTAGCAGAGGACGGAGCTCGTTTTCCAGTCGTACCGCCGGCGATAGTTGACGCTTGTGGCGAATATCGTCGGTCGACAGAACGAAGATGCAGCAAGAAAACGCCATCAAGATGACGAGCATCGAAGAAGACATGCCTTCTCGTCCCTGCTGCAAGTCGTAATTTTCAATGCGGATTTTAGGCATTTCCGAATAAAATCAACGCTGAAATATTGACTTTTCAAAAGCGCTTCGAAGTGCATATTGAACAAGTTTGAATAAAACTCAACTAGGCGCGGAACCTTTTTTTGCGACTCCAGGCTACGAATCAAATCACTAGAAATTAATTAGGGAACGCTTTTTACACCCCGGTTGAACTTTTGCTGAAACTTTGTTGAAGTTAACTTTAGGACCTCCTGATTACAGAACAAGAAAATTTCTCGCAATAGATCCTGTTTTCGAGTTATTACACTTCAAAAGCTCACAAACTTTTTCTGTCACAATTCGCGTATTTTGCGGAATCGGAAACTTCATAACTTGGAAACAGGATCTATTGAGAAACATTTTATTCTTGTTCTGGGATCAGGTGGTATTAAAGTACACTTCAGAAAAAGTTCAACCGATGGGTAAAAAACGTTCCCTGGTATAGAGGTGAATCGGGAAGTCGATGTGGATTTGTTATCGAGTAGCTACATGTTAGCTAGATTCATGGTACCGGAAAGCATACGCTCGTCAGAAATCCTACTCGGTTGCATCGCGATACCTCTCCGGCCGTGTCCAGGTACCATAGAGTTAGTACCCGGTCAAAAACGACCATCGATCACAATATGCCGATTGACTTAAAAGTTGTTACCTACTTTTAGTGACATCTCGTTTGACCAGTGAAAAATTTATTTCAAACATGTCCTAAAAACGGCTCAAATCCGTGCGATGACAAAGAACACGTCTGTGTGTGTGTTTGGTAATCCGACACCGATGAGGAACGACTACCAAGTTCGTGGCACCGTCCAGGAAAAGTGATATCCGTTTAGTTCAAGATTTCTTTTCAAAATAATTTTTTGTGAACGTGGGAAAAGAAGGAGGAGGAGGAGGAGAGGAGGTAGGAGAATGTAGGAAAGAATTTTTGTCTCGCCCAGATTTCGATTTCTCTTGTCCAAAATACACGGTTTAAACGACAATATTTTGAATTGCTTTCAAATATCACACAAAAAGGCAGAATAAAAACTACGTCGCTTGAAAAATTGGCAGGGCTTGATGAACAACAACAGGGCGGAGCCAGGAAAAGAGGAGCGAAATTCAGACATGACAATAATATTCCATTAGCAAAAAGCTTTGGTTGCTTCCCCAACACTCACACGCGTCGTCAAATCTAGAAGCCTTCTATATTTAAATGGGAGCGATGTGGCGGGAGGAAGGGGGGGAGGTGACCGAAAAGAGCTCAAGTGCAAACTGAGATGCCCGTAATTACTTTCGAAACTTGCGCGAATTTGTCATTCAGAAGAATTGAGCTCACTTGCATTTAAAATTTTTCTTTGCCAAATTGCAAAAAAAAACTTGTAAAAAAGAAAACTCAAATTATAAAATCACTGAAGGAAAAGATAAAAAGGAAAAGAGTGGAGAATAGCTGGAAAAGCGTCGAAGCTTCGGCGGAAAATGTTTTAGGCCGTTTATCCAATTTTAGACGACATCCTTTGCTCTAACAACGACGACGACACTGACTTGCTATTCTTCAATATTTAATGTATATTCAAAGAGCAAGCTATCTTCTTAGAACACCATTCGGTCCTTATACCAACACAAGTGAACGAAAAATTATGTGCAACTGTGTCTTAACGTACTCAAAGCTACTTACATGGGAGGTCATTTTAGCGTAGGGTTCAGAATTTTTTATAAATTTGCTCAAACAATCTTTGATGGACTGGGAGTCGATCCCCCATAGTCGCTACCTGCACAAACTTTTTGTTTTGGAGATATGATTTTTCAAAGTTTTTATCCTTAACCATGTGACGCCGTTTGGAAGGAATGTGGCCGCGCCACCAACCACTGCATGGCAGCTAGGAGCGTGGTGCAGTGGCTAGCGTGTTAGCCTGCGGAGCCTATTATGAAGGTTCGAATCCTTTTGCCGCTAACTTTTTTTGCCATTATTTTTTTAAAGAATTCTGATGAGAATATTAAAATTTCATGAGTTAAACCTTTCCAAATAAGTTCGATAGCTATTTTCTTTCTATAAATCGATTTTTTATGGACAATAGTTATGGAAACTTTCTTAAGTTGTGGCGGACTTCACATCATCAGAGAATTTTTCCCAAAAAAACATTTTGCTCAAAAAGATTTTTTTAGATTCCTGAAAAATTTGAAAAATCTGGATTAGGATGGAAATGGGGTTTGGAAATTTTTTTCAATAAAACTCGGGTGACGGGTAAGTTTCCATAATCTGTGAAGATTTTTCTCCAGAAGTAAGGCAGAAATTGGCTATTGAAATATTGAAAAGCCACTGTTATTTATCACAACCAAGACATGCGAAGATCTTCGATGAAGGTTCAGCGCTTTTTTGAAACATTTTTCGCTGATTTTCAAAAAAATAGTCTCTGATGATCATCATGATGTGGAGTCTGCCACAACTTTAGAAATTTTTCATCATTTTTTCCCATCAAAAAAAGCGATTTCAGAAAGAAAATAGCTATCGAACTTATTTGGAAAGGTTTTACTCATGAAGTTTTGATATTCTCATCAGAATTCTTTAAAAAAATAATGGCAAAAAAAGTTAGCGGCAAAAGGATTTGAACCTTCATCATAGGCTCCGCAGGCTGACACGCTTGCCACTGCACCACGCTCCTAGCTGCCATGCAGTGGTTGGTGGCGCGGCCACATTCCTTCCAAACGGCGTCACATGGTTAAGGATAAAAACTTTGAAAAATCATATCTCCAAAACAAAAAGTTTGTGCAGATAGCGACTATGGGGGATCGATTCCCAGTCCATCAAAGATTGTTTGAGCGAATTTAGAAAAAATTCTGAACCCTACGCTAAAATGACCTCCCATGTTAGAGATACATCTCGTTCCGCGCCAGCTTGTCACGTTATTCCGCCAAAAAGACTGTATACCAAATTAGATCGAAATTGAGCTTTTTCGCTTTAAAAATTTAGTTTTTTCCTGTCTTTCTAGCCGTTTTGTAGAGCAAAAGTTTGTGTTTACTTTTTCTTCTGTGTTCTTTCAAAGCGTGACCGACTCGCACGGAACCCACTATATTGGAGAAAAAATGTAGATTGAAAAGATCACTTAAAAATATTTAGCAACCCCAGAGTGTATCCTTGAATCTAGTTCGCTATGAGCTTCAGATTGGCTTTGGGCTCGGCATCTGTTTCAGGGGAAATCGTGTCGAGGAGCGACCAAAAAAAAAGGGGAAAACTTATTTGGCCGACTCAAATGAAACCCGTTGGGAGCAATGAAAAAGGGCGCTTTCATTTCATGTCTCTATAGACATCGTGAAAAACCAAAAAGAAATCAAGTAGCATCTGACTCAAAAAATACGAGACCGATTTTTTTTTGTTTCGCTTGGCCTTGATCGCTCTTAGGCTTGGGAACTGCAAAAGAGTTGTCGTTCGCATGATATAAAGTGCGGTCGTTAGCAAAACAAACTTTTAGCACGCTCCTTCATATCGTAGTCGCTCGTTGAAGCTCCTCGTCACTCTTTCTTCTCGACGTCGGGTTCCTGCTGCATTCCATGTCACCGCGCTTCTCCTCTGCGCTTCATTCGTCTTCTCCAGTTTTATCGCACATCACCTAGATTCATTGTAAGATTCTCGTGGCTTAGCTCCGTCCATCGCGCTTCTGATCATGGTGGCTTCCGTCGTCGGCCATTTGTCACCTAACACCATGCACAAGCCTCCTGCCCGCTCTTCATCGCATCTTCTTCTATCTCCTTGGTATTGCTTTATCAGATTTTCCACCGCTTGGCAGATCTTCTCTACCAATGAGAAGTTTCGCTGTCTCACTGGTCAGATGGAAAATCGCTCCCATTTTGTCGACAGTTGAGGATGTTTTATTTTCTTCTATGTGCCATTGCAGCTCCTGTAATACTACTTCAAGCCCCTCGTCCTTTATATACTCAGGCAAACTCTCTAGCGTTCTTTTCAATTCTCCTCTCAGTTTTTGATATGAAATTTTAGTTTTGTCTTTTCGCTTAAAAATTCATTCGGACCTCCGTACTAAAGCTTTGAACTCTCTAACGAACTCCTCAAAAGTTCATCCCGTCGCCTCTAACCCCTGCTTGTCATACGGAGCTGGCTCTTTATCAGATTCTACGCTCCTGCTCCATCCATCTTCTATCTGACAAAGTTTGCGTTATAAAATAATAGTTGCTTGGCTGAAGATTTTGATGACTCCATTTTGAGTGGAACTCGAATGTAATCTTCTGAGGCAAACTCCTATTGTTTCCTTCTGCTTCATTTTCGACTCTTTTTATGTGTGATAAATATTTACTTCTATAATAGCAAAATAAAACATATTACATAAACTAAATATAGAAGCCCTAGCTTCAGAACCATCTCCTCTAGCTTCAGAGCCATCTCCTCTAGCTTCAGAACTATCTCCCCTAGCTTCAGAACTATCTCCCTAGCTTCAGAACTATCTCCCCTAGCATCAGAACTATCCCTAGCTTCAGAACTATCACCCCTAGCTTCAGAACTATCACCCTAGCTTGGGAACTATCTTACACCCTCCGAAACATCTTCCGTCAATTCACTCTAGCAAACATTCATGAGATCAAACATTAGGTTTGCTAGTTATGAAGACAGGTTAGCTCAGATTAACACAAACTCTCTTTTAGAAGACGAGTCAATTTGGTCTAAGAACACTACATAAAATTTATATTAAGGAGAGTCATTTTGCCAGTTTTCTCCACAGTGTTTTCAGGAGATCAAATTCAGTACGTGCTCTATCACGTCTTATCAGAGTAGGGATTCGTTTCGAAAATGAGACGTTCTATCCCTCTTTGGAATAAACTGGCTACATTGGGAAACCTCAATGTTCCTCCAGATCGTTTCAGGTCTTTGTTACTATCCCTCGATAACAATTTCTTTTTGGATCTATTCCCAGCAGACTCCGTTGAGCCAGGTACCTGTAGCTTCATCCTACTCTAATCCATCTAATGCGTGTCTATATCATTACAAACAATTAAATTCCCCATTCACCTGTGCTACACTGTGTCATAACTTATAATGCTTTCTTTACCATTCTACTACCTTTATGTGCAATCCTCACCTCTTATTCTTTCATTACTGGCTCAGAGGCTCGTGAGGCCTCAAGTGCCTTTTATTTATTTATTTCAGGCTTAAAACGCCAATTTTTCCTTCTTTTTGTACATGTTATGTTGTTCTGCCTGTAAATAAATAATATTATTAGCCAGAGAGCTGAATCTCTCGTGGCCTCGACCTTCTAAAGTCTGCTCGCGTCCTCCATGGACTCCTAGGGGCGGAGCCTAGGGCGTTCACCTTCCCATGGTGCCATGCGTCCGAGGAAAAATAGACTCTTAGCGGTCGCAAGTTACGTCCCGCCTCCGCTGAAGCTGGATCCGTCCTCAGAGCAGGAGACGATAAGAACGTGGAAATTCTTTAACAATAAAAATTCAATGAGGAGAAAAAGTACTATGAGAAACGAGGCAAAATATTAACTTATTTCAGATTTTTAATTAAATGTATTTACTCATCAAATTTTTTTTCTTCGCTATGTTATTTTGAAGGAAATTTCGGTCCCCAATGTCGATAAATTCTTCCTAGGAATTTTGGCAAACGAATTTCTTCAAAAGGTTTCGAACCCCGGTCAGACACCGCAGTGCAGGGACGCTAGCCAATTACACCACGTAGCCAACTGGAGTAGAGGATTGCACGCGAACCAGATTCCTCTTGCCTTGCAGCACTTATTCAGCGTGCAAACTTTGAAGTTTCATAACTCGAAAACGAGATTCATTGCGAGAAATTTATTTGTGTTTTGGTTAGAGGTCTTATAGTACCTTCTTTCAGCAAAGTTTCAACAAAAGTTCAACCGGCCACCAAAACACTTCCCTTTGTTAAACCAATCAATTTTAGAGGAGTTATCATTTTTAAAAAATCGTTTTTTGCCTTACCCTCTCGCTACTGTATATCAATTCGATAGAGAACAACATCAGGATCAAGAAACACTAGGTGTCCTAGATGCACGGGCCGAAAGGCGACGAAATGCAACGAAACGCAGTAGGCCCACAGCGTCCAATATGAACTTATTTTCAAAAATATTTCTCTCTCGCCAGAGTGGGGCCAACCAATCATGTGGTGATAATCTGATGCGTTTCGCCGTGTTTCGGCTCGTGCTTTTGAACCAGAAAAACAGTTTTGCTTACGCGTAGAGACCGCAGAGCCACGCCCCTTTTGCGATGGTGAAAATGCACTGGTAGATTTGTGTTTGATGTTTTCGTAAAAGCGCAATACTGAATCAAAACACAGAGAAATTTGGTGGAAACATAGAGAAAAACCTTCCTCTTCAATCTCATATACTTTTCATCCGATTTTCGAAGCGTTTTAGCGGGAGTGTCGCGCCACCAAAACTACTCTTCGGGTTTTCTAACTCCAGTTCCATGTCGTTGCGCCTTTTTATTTTCGAATCTGATTCTATGAAAACAAATCTTTTAAGACAAAAATTGTATTTTACAGTGCCCAATCTTCGGACGCCAAAGTTGAAAATGTTGTACTGCTTTCGAGAGCGTGGCAAAAATGTTTCATTTTAACTTGTGGATTAAATTGTAACTAAAATTTTATTAATATAAAACTTATTTCGAAAACTTTGTTTTCTGAGAAAGAAAAGACAGTGAAAATTTCGAAATTCATTTTAGCATGGTCAGATGTCGCTGGCGCCTTTTTATTTCTTAAATATTAGCGTATCTCAATTTTCAATCAATTAAAAATAAAATAAAAATTTTAGCGGTGCCTAAAAAGTTTAATTATTGTTAACTTGAAGCCAACGTTTAAAAATAACAAAAACACCGAAAACGGAAGCATTTTGAACTGAATCTCTATGTAATAAATTATTTTTAGGTGGTCCGAACACACGTGACTCAATAATTGTTCAACTATCATAACTAAACAAGATAGTCGGTAAATGCTGTACTTTGAGGTGAAGTGGTGTATAAGCGCGAACGCCTCCCATCTCCGAGGGGTGGACGTGGAGCAGCGCAAGTGCGTTGCATACAGTTTTGATATCGCGAGTTCAATCCTCGCAGCGGCCATTTTTAATTTTTCAAGATAGCTTTTCTTTTCAAACTTGTGGTTTTATACTGTTTTAATAACTAATTATGACTTTGAAAACCGAACTAAACTACTAAGAAATTTAAATCCGATATGAAAAACAAAATGAACGACCAAACAGTGTAAAAATCTAAACTTTCAGTACTAAATTTCGAGACTTTTTCACTACTGTTTTGACTATAACTCCTCAACCTTTTTCGAAAACTAAATTGTTTTTGAATAGTAAAATTAGAGCAGCTACCAACCTTATTAATATTGAAGTTCGAACAATTTTTGAAAAATTCGTCTGCAGGTCCCTAGCTACGCATCAAATTAGCTTCTCGGATAACCAGTTGCAAGAGCTTTGCACTTCAATACAGACTAGTTTGCATACAATGCAGAAGTTTGCAGTTTGCAACGAGAAACACACTGAGTTGCAACCAAACAAGCTCAATTGCAACTAGGTTGCAATTTTTGGCTGGAAAAGGGTCTTGCAAGTGGTTTGCAATTCTGCAATTGAGTTGCAAACTAGTTGCAGGAACTTGAAACCTAATCGCCCGACCTTTTTTCGAGTTGCAAAACAAGTTGTTCGCAGATTGTTTGCAGATTTATGAAAGATAGACAATCACATCAACACTTCTGATTATATGAATGTGTGCTCTACTGAGCTTTTTGATCGTGATTATAAGAGTTTTTGAAAGTCATTTTTCGAGAATCTTTGGACTTTATATGAAAACCGGAAAAGCAGCTAGGAAGAGGCAAAGAAAAACTGGCTCGGTCTCGGCCCAAAAGCTCAAATTTTTCGCTCCACGAGAAAAGTGTTTTTCGGTTGTTTTTCTCATAGAGTTATTAGAAACTGATTCAACAAGTCGAAACTATTTTCGGTAAAATTTCTTTTTCAAATGAAATTCAAAAATCGAGCTGTGCTCTCTCGAGCCCGCGCTCGGGCCAGGACGGAATTTTGTTATCTCGGAACTTTGTTATTTTTCAGTGCTCACCTAACCTTAAGAATCTGCTGAATATCTGGTTATGCACTCAGTTCATGTCGAGTTTCAAATAAATGGGTAACTTGGAGAATACATTTTCACAAACAACGACAACATATTTGCAGCTAAGCTGCATTGAGAAAAACAGTTAATTGCAACTGATTTGCAACAGCGAACTTTCTGCAAGCAAGTGAATTGCAATTTGCAATGTAGTCACTTACAACAGCTGCAAACTAGTGGGTTTTTAGTTGAAAAGTTTTTGCAACTGGTTATCCGAGTTTGAACGCAGCATTAGAAACGCCGTGTTTTTAAGTTGCTTCTAGCATAGCCATGAGTCAAAAAATTTCTAACGCAAGCGTAATTATTCGAAAAGATATGATACGTGTGTGCAAGTAACTTTCCTCATTCCTTTGCCACGATGGACAAAGAAGCGCTTCCGGCAGTCTCTTCGTCGTCGAGGAGAACCCAAATCTCCAAAAGAAGCTTGAAGTCGGACAGAGCTCCATCGAGCTTGAAGAAGCCAACTCACAGCCTCGAAAAATCAGGTCGAGGTAATAAAACAAATCGATTTGCAGCAGCGCAACCCGCGGCTCTCCTCCGGCAAGAAACAACGGTCGGTTAAAATAAATAATACAAATTTACAAAGGTTTTCAGAAGCAAGTCCTATAAACTTAGCCGCATTTATATTGGAAACGATGCCATGTTCGAAGCAACGGAACGAGGAAGGCTGTTCTGGCTACTTCATGATCGTCTTTCAGGTCTAAATTTTCATGAAGATCAAGATTTCTATTCGCTCGTTCCTCAGGATTTATCTTTGGAGTTGTTTTCCTGTTTTACGTCTACACCATTTTACGCCACCGGGCACTTTTTCTCCAGAAACGGATTCTACCTGAAGCAGCTCTTTTGCTAACGTATTAACCATCCAAAGTGACTATGATCATCCACTTTTAGTTCATCCTTCTGTGGCTGTTTTGTCGTCGCTGTTGAGCAGGGAGTTTTCCGCACGTCTTCTGATCGTTCTTCTTTACTTCTTCTTCATTTTCATCAACATGTTCATTTTGGTAGACGGCATCGACGAAGCCTATCGAATTATGTAAGCGTGAATGATTCTGTGAAAAATTGTGCGCTTCCGCATTGAAAAACCTCCTAGTGTCGGCGATATTCTCAAGAAAAATGTTTTGAATGATTCTGTGAAAAGTTGCAAAAGAAAATCAAAAGCTTTTAAGAGAAGCGTCGAACGAGTTGAAAATTGAAGGGACAGGGCCAAATGTTGATCACGTTCTTTTGTTCTGACGTCCTACGCATTTCTTATTTTTGCTGCTATTGTGAGAATTTATATTTTTGTAGATTTTCTACGCCACTATTATTTTTTAGATTGACTTTCCTGTACGACACTACGTTATAAGAAAAATCTCATTGAACATTTTTAGGACCATGCCGGCAACTCTGATGCAGACGAAGACAAGGTCGAGAAAAATGATCTTTGAAACGACCTCTCACAGAAAGGTTTTTAGATTTCAAAAATAAGTTAGAACTTTCTCTGTGTTTTGTTTTTAACAGTATTGTTGAAAGTAACCAGTATGGTTGAAAAATGTGAGCTACAAAGAGAATACTAAGCGAGCTACTAAACCCCGCTAATGTTTAAATAGGATGTTTACAGAAAAAGTTCTTGGAATGGTGGCAAACTTGACGCGAGCTGCTTCAAACGAAATCAACAAAGCGTTGGTTTCCTAATCATTTTAGAAGAATTCGTTTTTCTTTTTGAGCGTATATCTTATTATTAATTAGAAAAACTCTGATGTCTTCGCGCGCTCTCTATTCCTCGGCAAAGCTTCCGTGTTGATTGTTCGAGGGAGTAGATGACGCATGAATAGGTCTTGTTCAATTTGGGATAAATATAATAGAGCTGTAAAAATCGATGTAACACTAAGAATTGTTCGCAATGAAAACATTTTTAGACGCGTCGGTATCCGTCGTCGATGAAGCAGGAAAGCCGTTGAAATTCGCTGAGGGATCTAAGATTCGCACGGTGAGCATTTCATCAAATTTTTCATTGAACATTGTTTTCATTTCAAAAATTACAGGACGTGAAAGAGCCGCGGAATGGGCGCCACAATGGGCCGCGGCTGGCGCGAAGTCGTTTTTCAATAGCGATGTCGAGTGCTCGGCGAGTGTTTTCTTTTTCAATTCTTGGATAGCCGCCAACAAATAGCTCACAAGCGAATTTCATCTTATAGATAAGGGATCTTTCATCAACAAAAATACCCTTTCTAAAAACAGGTCAAAGTCTTAATCTCTAATCTGTTTCAATAACTGATCTGTCTTTCAGACTGTTGTTTCGACTCCTGGCACAGAAGAAAGGGTTGCCGCTCTTCCCCAGCGTTCCCCCAAAGACTCTTCGACTAAAAGAAGCTTGGACGAGGAGGTTTTTTATTTCTAGTAAAATGATGAAATGATAATCTTTTCAGTTGTCCTCCAATGGCTTTTGCTACAACAGCTGCTTTAAGGTAGGTTCCGGTAAAAGTTTGTGATTTCTGAGAAAATCATCTTTTTCAGGCCTAATAACTGAGCTCCCTCGCGTTGCCCTCTGATTTTGCTTCCGTTTCCATTTATTCCGTTTTCAAGTCGCAGAAGCCAGCCTAACGGACTTTTTGGCCTATCATAAATTTTTGAAAAGTGAATCTTTGAGAATATGTGAAGCACGGCGTGGTACGTCAGTCGAAACGTTCCGTGAATTATGGTAGTTATGGGTAAACACACCGGGACGCAGGCCCATAATCTTCCACGCCCAATTTATTTTTATTTGTCTCACTCAAACACAAATATACAGATACAGAATAGAAAGTATTTGAGTGAAGTGAAACCCGATATGTAAACGCCCCAACGAGCGATTTACCGGGGGATGGAGACACGTATTGAAAATTGAGAACAAAAGTTTTCGATGAGCAGTCTGCTGGGCACACTTTGCGAGTAGTTGTCGAGAGAGTCGAGAAAAATTCCCTGAAGCGGGAGGCTGAAGTGTTCATGTCGAATCTTTGAGCAATAGTCTGTTTCAGATAGGAATGACTGTGCTGAAGAACTGTTAAAACGAGGACCCGTCTGTAATACAGTATGAGTCTCATTGGAAAACGAGGCGAATCAGTTCTTCTGGAAGAAATTTTCTGCGCTTGAAAAATGGTAGGAGCCCAGGACTAATTTTGGAGAGTAGTAGAGAACATTATTCTTCTTTCGGAAAGCATGGACAGAGCCGAGTACACTTATACGGTCAGAATATGAATTAAAACGAACATTTCTTCTTAATAAACACCTTCTGTGCAGAAACGGAGAGGTCAAGTTGGGGAGGAGAGAACACTGGTTAGAGGTGGATTAAAAACTTCACAAGCGTATTCGAGGTAAGGACGTGATCGTAAAGATTGAAAAGAAGCTTATAGTGAGTGTAAGCCGAAATGTGAAAAAGCCTAAGATAGTTGGACGAAGTTTCAAATAACATAGCGATATTGACAATATGATTAATATGAGAATCGACGGTGAGTCCTCCTTATCAATCAAAAGACCACGTCTCTAACCACACTTTCAGATCTTATAGGATTTCCATTTGCTAGAAAAATTTTCTCTCAGGATTGTTTCTACTCTAGGTGAAGAACCGTTGTTTTGTTGCCATCCAAAGCAGACCCCATGTTTTGGACCATTCCAACAACTTGTTGATACTTTTCTTGAAGTTCGATAGAGTTATTCGAAGAGATTTTTGAGATCATCCGCAAAAAGGTGTAGAAAGTATGTCAATGTTTCCCGAATTGAAAGGCGAGGGAGGCGGGGCAGGCGGGACGCGTAGCGTGGTAGCGTGTGCGTTCGCGGTTCTTGGCACGAGTTCAATTCAATTGGCGCCGACTATACAAAAAGCTTTGGCAACCGCTCTTTTTCAATTTTTCTACTATTTTTGATGAACACATGAACATAATCAATAAATAATTGAAAAAGGGAATGAAAGAGCAAAAACGGATTTTCAAAGAGTCAATGGCGGTTGAATTGAAACACGTGCCAAGAACCGCGAACGCACACGCTACGCGTCCCGCCCCCTGCCCCGCCTCCCTCGCCTTTCAAGTCGGGAAACATTGACTATAACAGAGCTGTCAAAAATACTAGGAAGATCATTGATGAAAATTAAGAAAAGCAGGGGCCCAGTGACAGTTTCTTGAAGAACTCCAGAAACGACGTTAAATTTTCTTTCGGAAATAACTCCATTTATGAGGACACTGAAAGTGCGGTCAGATATGAAATTTTTGAACAATTTTATCATTGTTTCACTCAGACCTAGGCACCGCAAGCGTAATTTTTCAAAACCATTCACTCGCATGATCTTGGTCTCAATCGACAGCTTGAGATGTCCATTTCATTATATCAATAGACTTTATGATGGAGTTTAGGAAAAAGAGGCGAAAAACGAAAATTTTGTGAAGGATGGGAAACTCCTCGCAATTTTTAAGGCGTGTCCGCAAAACCATGCGGCGCCTTTGCATAATTGTGGGAATTACGCTGTTGAAAAAGAAATCGGGTGATGAAAACATTATATTTTTCAACCTTTTCAGAGATCAAAATGAATATCACGAGTTGTTCTCACACGATGTTAGAAGACCCGAAACAGCACGCTCTTTTCTTTTATTAAAACATAATTCAGTCGTCAAATTCACAATTGTAGAAAGTTATAAAGGTTTCAAACTCCACTAACTTTTTGAAATGGAAGTTTAACGAACTCACGGGTATTGAATATATCACAGCACGATAAATTGAACAAATATTTCGATAGATGAACTATCGAAAACTGGTCGACAAAAGTTCCATTGCATAGAGATAAGAGGAAATTCAACGAAATAATAAAAATCAAGAACAAAGAAAAGTAAAATTTATTCAATTTCACATCAATCAAGAATCCACTCGCTTGGTCAGAGGTTGGTAAGTGTCGCACCACTTTTTCATCATTTTATTTTTGATTAAATTGAGGCATTTATTCATGCCAACCTGTGTGCAGCTCTACACAAACCAGCATGTGGAGTGGTTTTAGACCTTTTACAGGAATCATTTACAAGATATCAGTAGAACATGTAACGTAGAACGAGTTTTTCATCTAACGTAAAGTCAAAATCTGAAAGCGAAATGATTAATACATTAACTGAACATGAAAAGAGATAAAAGAAACTATCTCTCTTTAACCACAATGAAAGAAATAATATTTACAATATAAGTGAGTTACCAAAATTACTTGATGAAATTGTTGTGAAAACTCTTTTGAACAATATGTATATTCGATTTCCCATATATGGGACTCGAATATGCATATTGTTCAAAAGTTCAAAAACCATATAGGAAATCGGAAAAATTATCAAATCTGTATTTTTAGACGATTGAATAAATTTTGGACAGATTCAAAACAAGAAATTTTTCGATCGACCAAGATTTTTAAAGAAAGATATAGTCTGTTCAGATTTTGAATGTCTAAGAAGATATGTTTGAGCTGGTTCCACGTCAGCTCAATTGGATTGTAAATGGCAGTGGTATGGCGGAAGGCGCACAACGTCGACGTTGTGTTCCTGCGCACATCGCGCCAACCTCTCAACGCGTGTAAATTTCAGCCCTCGTCAACCACAAATTTCGATGATATTCCAAAGAATAGCTTTGGTCAGTCGACGTGGGAAAAGGAACAGTGGATATAACTATCATCAATAAAATCCTCCATTTCTCAAGCACGTTTTGGTGGGAGGCTAAAATTATTTATGATTTCAGAAAGTGTTTAAACCGTTCACCTTAATGGACACAACGCCTGTGGTAAGACGCATTGTCCATGACAATGACCGCAGTTCGTCCGTTTGCCGCTTGAGAGGCTGGGATCATGTCATCGACGTACGTCTCAAACACTCGAAGTCATTTCGCGGTGATAGTTGGCAATGGCTCTTTATGACCGCTCATGAAAGATCAAAAGAAGTGAAAATACTACTGAACAACGTACCTTTGGCACTTGAACTGCCTTTTCTTCCGTCTCAACTTTACTCGTTTGAGTCTCACATCCCGCCACAGGAACGGGCTTGGCTACGTCTCAAAATAACCTTCTTTGGTGTTGAGGGCATCTTATAATAATTAGATTGAGCCTCGATTTATTTGAAAAATCAGATAAATCCAATTCCTATCTTGCATCATGCAAATTTTTAAATAAACCTCGTTGAATGTGCCAAAATGTTTATTTTTCGCCATCACTTCACTCTTTTGGCTCTTCTAGTGAGCTCCAAATCAATTTTTTGCGCCTTTTAACCACAGACAAGAAAAATATGAAGATAAAATATTTTATTGATAATTGCGATTTTTCGTAAAAGTTGATTTTAAGTCGAACCGTCTTGCCTCTGACTCGCGAAGACACACTTGTTAATCCTCAACGTTAAGCCCCTCAAAAATCTCTCTTAAATAGCCACGGCGTGGGACGCTCCGCCCACTTTTTCTCGTCATTTATCACGTTACTTGTGCATACACCGACACTGCAATAAAAATTTCGCCCGCGAATCTTTTTTGAAACGCACAGGGACAATTGGTCTTTTCCTAATGTTTTTCCATATTTTATGGCATTCCAGTGGTGATTAATATTCTACGTTTGCCTATTTCGTCATATTTCGGCACTATTCGGATGCGTTTTTCTTACGTATTTGTTTTTTTCGTTTATCGTGTTTTGTTAGTATTGCCAATTCACTGTAGCGTTCTAAAGCGGGGTTCCCGCCCTTTTCTGAGAGCTACGCGGACGTTGTACGAGCGCGGGCTAACAATCGTCTTTTCGCGTCGTACTAAGATTCCGGATTTTTGATTATTTGAAGGCTAGCATCCTGACATTTATAGTTTCCAAGTAAGCTGCTAGTCATTTCTATAACTCTTTAAAATTTCGCAGTTTATTTTCTTGTGGTTTGATTGGTTCAAAGGACTACATAATTGTTCTGCTCACGAAAAGTCGAAATTTTAACTCAGTTTTGATTTTATATTCTCCTGTTTGAGTAATGGAAACTGATAATGTGATCGATTCCTGGAGTTGGAATTTCGATTTTCGGTTTTGTCTCTTAGGTACAGACCAATTACACTTTTTGAATTTTCGTCAAGTCGAAATTTTTCTCTTTTGCGCGGACACTGACAGCTCTTGTTTATTAGTTGAAAACTGATATTTTGATCGATTCTTGAGTTGAATTTCGATTTTTCGTTTGTCTCTTGGATACAGTATTTTATTTTATAAACAACGTTTTCCGACATTAACGAGCTCATGGACACTTTTCACTGTCTAATACGTTTAGCATTAATTAAAAATTTACGCATGGAAACAAAAAGATTTTAAAAACAATCGAAAAAGTTAATAGCATGTAAATTAAAGAGCACCTTGATTTTTGATTGACAACGCCCAAGTTACGCGCTCCATTGAGAATAGTGTGCGCCTCTTTTGCGTGAACCCCGTTTTTAGAACGCGTGAATTATTTTGAATTTTTGAAAAGAGAGTTCTTTTGACATAAGGGGGTGCTGGTTCATAATAATGTATCCTTTAAGAAAACAACTAATTGGTCCCACTGAAATTGACGCGTGTTTTTATAACGGACCATGTTTGAACGACTTCGTTGAAAAAGACAAAAACAATCAAAAATTTTGGTGTCGTGCAGTTTACCAGGCCGGCCCGCGCATAGTTCTCACCGAAAACCGGCAAAAGGGAAGGCTTATGAAGGTGCGTTGTTATCATATTATTATTAAAAGGACGCATACGATTAACTGTACAGACGGTAGACTTGCGACGGCATTTAACGCCTCGAATCATGACATTTTAGGGACCGCGGAAAAAGTTCCACGGACGGTTTGGGGGTCTACCGTGCTTTTTCTACGTTATAGCAAAAATTCTTGCAAACCCGATCTAGAAAGCATAAATTTTTACTTTATTTCCTATTCGTGCAGATTCTTACCTTGTGGTTTTAGAAGTAATATCAATTTGTCATTTTTCTTTAGTAATGTGCAACTAGTTTCTCTTTTCATCCATTCCTCTGATAAATCTCCGTGCGCAAACGACAAAAATATCGATAAATATCGATAGAATCTGATTACCATTGTATTCTTGAAAATACACCGCGATCGATACCGATTTCTTCTCTTTGAGAACGCGCTCAAGTTCATCACGCTTGGGCCAGTCTTTTGAGTCAGTGATTGAACCAATAAACTTCATCTTTGACCACGGCATGAGCAGATCGAACGAGAGATGAAGAAGCGGCTTCCGTGTGTCAAGTCGTGATTTTGCAATAATTCGCGGTGAAGCAGAAGCTTTTGACAGTTGGAATTCCCATTGAGCTTCTAGTGGAACGTATTCTTCAATCGTTGACATCTTCGATCTTCGTCGGAGAGAACCAGCGCATTGCAGAAGAAGATTGTTGGATCTGTTCGTCTTCAATCCGATCGTAGATCCATTTGCCGGCGCTTTGATGGTTTGAGAGCTTCAAGCGACTGCAGCGAGAAAGAAAAAGATTGGTTTTGATGTTGTTGAATTTGGGCCCAAAGAATTCACGTCGTATTAATCTGAAAAGTTTTGAAATAAATTAGATTTGATATAAGGTTTGATTGCGAGAAAATTTATTTTGAATTATAATTTAGAGAAAATGAATATTTAATATGAATAAATTAAAAGGATTTCCCAGCTGAGTATAGCTTGCAAAGCCTTTTGAAACGCGTCAGGATTTCTTTGGTCCAACTTGAGATTGAAGTTAGCCTTGTGAGAAGAAGAGATACAGATAAAAGAAGTTGAAAACTGTACAACATCAAATAATGAAAACAAAGAGCTGGGAGTGTGTGACTAAAAGTACCAGGGGTGGGACAGTAAGCTCTGGTCAGAAAAGGTGTGGAATTAACTAAAAGATAAGTAAGTGCTAAGGGTCTGGCGTCCTAAGTCAGCTGTCTTGCGATTCAAGTAAGCGTCTGGTGACCTTACCTAGAGATTAGGTGCTTGTAATACTTGAGTACGGTATGAGGCACGAACAGCGGGACGCTTGGTAGCGCGACCCAAAAACAATCTTTCAAAGAAACTTCGCCTAATAAATGATATTAGCAAACGATTTACGATACAGTACCTGGGAAAGAGATTAGATATGTTAGTGGAATTTTTAAATGATAAACTTTAAACGAAATATGGGGAAAAATAAAGTTTTGGTTTTGAAAGACTGAAATTGAAAAATAAAAAGTTTTTGAGAGTTGGAACAATTCTATGAGAGGGTTTTGAAAATTTTGAAACGAAAATGTGAGAAATGGGCTTTTTGAAAATTTGAACTAAAACATGAAATTGAACAAACTAATACAGAAATATACGAAAAGACACGAAAATATACTCAAAAGAAATGTGGGCTGACCGGAGTGAATGGAGTTGGTGGGCTCGCGGACGTCTCCTTCACAATCCTGGAGCCGTATTGGACAGGTGAGCGTGTCGTTCATAAAAGCGACAGCGTCGAGAAGCGTATGAGTTAGGATCGGCAACTTCTACACGGAATGGGCCCCTGTGGACATTGAGCGACCGCGGATCCAGTCGATGTCGTCCTCCGTTAATGTGCAAGGCGTCCCGAGATGGTCGGCACCTTGGTCAGGGGGCAGTTTCCACAAACCGTAGTCGATCCTGGCGAGAAAGAGGCACTTTCGGCTTCCATACATAGCGCTGCAAGGGCTGTATGCTGATTTAATCCACCTCTCTTCCAGAGGACGCCATGGCGACGCTAACTGTGCTTTAGCTCCAGAGACAGAAGAAATATGTCCACAGCGGATGGGAAGTAGCGTTTAAGCTAGGATCACAAACCCGATGTTGCTCCATCGGTCGGCGCGCAAATCTTTTACATTTGCTGAATTTATTTTCGAACAAAAGCTCCGTCACATAGAATGAAAACTTCTAGCTTTTGAACTTAAAACTTCCAGCACGATCGAGTAACCGCTCTTTTTATCACTCTTCAAAAGCGCAAGCAAGCGGAAGCACGCGCACAATCTGCCCCTGAAAAACGCAGCGGAAATTATAAACAAACACCACCGAATGTGACAAAAATCCGTGAAGATTCCTGTTTTCTTTTCCTGTCAAAATTCGTTTCTGAAAACCACCAATCAAAACAAAAACGAGTGATGAAAAATAATAAAAATGTTGTTTTAACAGGAGACTTTTAATACAAACCATATTTTCAAAACCACTTTCAAAAATATATTTTTATTCATGAAAAGTTTCCGTTTGAATTATCGGAAGAAAAATGCTCATAAATTATCACATGGTAGAATCTTTCACTTTCTTTCGAACAGTATAATGCGGTCGCATTCACACAAATCGAATTGTTCATCGTTGAAATGCGGCAAATACACTATATTCGAAAACAATATACAGCGTACTAAAGAAATAGCGGATATCGAGAAACAGCAAAATAAAACATGACTAATAGTGTAAAAGAAATCAACAAATGTGCAAGCTATTATTACAGTGAACATCTCCACGCGCGGAAATGTATCGACGCGAAAAACTGACTGTGAAGCCAGTGAGTGAGCGAGCTGCTTTGACATTCAAAAATCTGAACAGACTATAGCGCCAAATCCCGCCAGCGAGTTGAGTCGTGCGCCATGGCGTGTTTCTTCCCGCCCTCAGTAAGCAGTGTCCATGGACACCTCCAGCCTCGATTCTGACCAGTAAGTCCTAAAATTTTGTTCTTTTTGATCTCCTGTCTCCTTCTTTTCTTTTTAACTCTATTTCTTCTTACTAGTATTAGTTACTCCTTCGCTTCAAAACTCTGAATCTTATTTAATCTCATACTTTCACCTGGGCGCCTATTTCGACCTTTCTTTATTTGAATTGCTAAATTATTCTCTTTATATTTATAACTTTCTCCTTCTCTAGCGTTTTTAGTTTAATTTACCCACCTCTTCACTACATGCCCTCTCTCTCTAAAAGGCTGTCCCAGCCGTTTATTTATACAACCAACCTTTCTCCTTGACGTGCTTTCAGATCACATCTCGGCAACGCCTTGTCGCCTGGGGTTTCAGTTCAACATTTCGAACAGCAGCGTGACATTTGCTTGACTTCCATTTTTCCTCCTTGTATTTGCGTTCGAACTCCTACTGCAATGCGCCTCCGAATTTTTCGCACCGCCTGCGCCTCCTCATTGTCCGGGAACCAATCTGTTTTCTCCTCTCCACCCCTTTGGAGTTCTTGTCCGAAACGAAACACATTCGGTATCGCCCATCGACTGGAAAACCTGCTCCGAACACCATCAATATTCCTTCTTGTTTCCATTCTGCAGCTTTCTCCATAATTTGCTCCCGTAGGTGATCAAATCAGTCGTCGAATCGTCGACCAGAATAACCAGTAAATCCGGCCTGATAGGATCTCCTCTCATCGCCTCGACTTTCCTTACAGTCTCCTCCAAAGAACTAATGTTTCGTAGTTCATACCCACATATGATGAAATA